CCTCACTTCTCTCCTCTCTCTCAGTCCAGCTCCATCTGCGGCTGCGCTAGCGGTCTGCTATTGTTTGTTAGCTTTCTGGCTACAAAATGGAGGCCTCCCTGTAAGGCTCGGATCAGATTTAGCTTCAGGCGGGCCAGGGAAAGACAATGAGCAAAACCCAGCATAAGACTAATGACACTAATGACTTGTTGTTTTCAGTCGTAAAATTCCATTTTTTTCACAGCTTTTCTGAACGAGTCTAGCTTGTAGAGAGACGTTTCCTCCGACCAATCAGAGCAAAGCAGGGGGGTGGGCACTTCTGAGCCATGGCCAATAGCTTTTTTCCCACCTCACAGCCAGAGAGCCTGCATGCTGAGCTGTGTGACACAAATGAAGATCAGCTCTGTTTTGAATGGTTTCAAAGGGTTTCTTAGGCATCAAAATGCCACTGTATATATTTTTTTATTATTTCATATTAATGACTTAAAACACATTTCTCCCAATTTTCCTTTTAGAGAGGTTTATGGGCACCAGTGAAAAAATGAATTATAAAGCCCTATTAAACTAAACTATTAGGCCTAGAAGCTTTGCAGCTTCACAGAGCAGTTTTTGACAAGATGTAGAAGTACTATGGATCTTTTCATTGTTCTTGTATAAAGTGTATCTTATTGACAGTTATGAAAAATTGCTTTTACAGGGGAACACTGAAAAATACAAAAAATATCATGTATGAGATGATGAAGTTTAGGTTGGGTTGTAGTCACACTGTCCATAGCTCTTTTGAATAGTCCCACCAAGCTAACTAGACTAGCTAGCAGAGGAGCACCACCAACTGCCATGTTAGCCTCTGACTCTAGTGGAGTAAATATCATTTGATGTGGTCAATCTACCTTTAAAACATGCATTTAAATAGCGAAGTGGCCTACAAACCCTTTTTTCTCAAATTCACCAATCCACTGGTTTTTACGTGCAATTTGAATTTACAGATTAAAAAAGTGGAAATGGTGAAATGTATGTATCGCATAAAAAAAACTTAGCTGAGGAGGAAAAGTAGGTGTATAAAAGCTAAATGCAAATGCAAAGTGCTTTGGAAATAGACTTGGTGAATAAATCATGGCACATGATGTTACTTAAACTGAAGCTTCTGCTCCAGTGGAGAGATGAGATGAGAAGCTGCAGCTAAATTTGGATGGAAACATGACTACTGTTTGAGCTGTTTTCTGTCTAAGGCAGTATCTTACAAAGTCTTTCTAATATGCTCAAGCAAATGATTTAAAGGGTGAAACAGCAGCAGGGCTAAAGGGATAATGACCCCACTTTCTAACAAGAGCCTTTACAAAGGCTTTATACGCTATAATAAACTACATAGACTTAAGCTTATGTAGGCTAAAATGCACTGATAAATGTCTGTGGGTCCTCATGCCCCTTATTCTCTCGGGGTACATCACTATTAGCAAGCCTTTAATGAAAATATTGATTATAGCCAGTTCAAAGAGCTGGCAAAAAGGACAACAAACTTGTTCTCATTAATGGCTTATATTAAGGCCATTAATTAGCACTTACAAACCCTTTGTAAAAGGTGCCTTATTAAAAATTGGTACCAGGATGAGTGATACCCATGATATTAATGTGAAAACCAGCAGGTAATGAGTTCCACTGCACTGACTTTATCTTTCATCTGCTTCTCAGAGGACAGACGGGACGGGGACGGTATCACGGCAACAGGTTTGTTTAGGGCAGCCTCTGTATCAGCGGGACTTGGACGGCTTGGCTCTGTTTGGAGTAACTTAGGCTGCTGTGAAAAAATCCAAGGCATGCTAAAAACATAATATACAGGAGCCTGGCATCTCTAAGAGAGAGTCTCACTGTCTGTTCCTCTCTGCAGGTAGCCATGTTTGGAAGTGCTGACAAACAGAGAAGAAAGATAGAATGCATGGGGTCCCAGCCGGTGGCTGGCTCCTCGCCAAAATGTCCCGTCCTCTTCATATTTGGGCTCCAACTATGGTCACCTTTCATAACCATGCTTGATTGCATATATTTGGAGGGAACTTGACAACTTTAACAACTGCTTTGGATTGATTTCCCTGCTTTGCATGGATTTTGCAAAGCATTAAGTATGAAAAAATGTGTGGTGTTGCAGATATATGGACACATTCTGTTTCTTTCTCTCTTTGTTTTAAGGATGTCTGTGCAAAGCGGGATTTGCTTAAAGCCATCACCCAATGAGTCAGTCACTAAGGTAGAGGAATCTCATAATTAAGGCCTCATTAAAGCTACACAGCACAACTATGTTGGTTTACAGGCAGACAGAAACCTCACAGATTCACAATGGGGCCATTCATAATACCTCACGTCTCTGTAGGAAAAGAGAAAAAGCAGTTGCTCTTAGCATTTGGGCAGATGTAATTGCAATCACTCAGCTTGTCTGATGCTGATAATGGGGTGATGGGAAATTCCTGTCAGAGTCGTGGCGCAGGGTGGTTTCACAACCACTTTGGCAGGCTCCGTGTTCCACTGCAGGGCAGCGAATGCGTTACGGCATGCTCACATAGCTGTCATTAAACACATTTTGAAAAAAAGAAAAAAAACACATAAGACAATCAAAACTCACAAGTGTGTGCCACTCTCTTGCTTCTTGAGCAATGAAAAGGCAAACATTATGTGAAACGTGTCGTCTTTCATCCCTGCACAGTTAAACATGTTGAAAGACTCCAGCTTATGAAAGAAAAAAAAGGAAAGTGAATATGCTTTAGCAATCCCAGTCATCTAATGTACACTATAAATCCTGGCTGGGCTATTTTCAACATCTTTATTTTCATTTGTCATTTTCAAAACATGGCTCTTGACTGGTGGTTTATGTAAAAATTAAGATGTGGGGGGAATAACAGATATTAACTTGTACCTAAAAATGTTGGGCAATTCATTTAAAAATAAAAATGTAATGTTTGTTTTCCAAATTTTGGGAGTGCTTTTCAGCAAGCAGCCCACTCCTGTCTGAGATGTGTGCTACAGTAGGTGGCTGAAATAGCATGTGGGTGCAACGTTCTTGTGGTTGGTCCTTGGGTACAGTATGTGACACTTGGCATCTCAGCAATGCTTCCATGAGAAGCCTCTATTATAAGGCATTCATGCAATGACGCTAACAAGCTCATTTCACTGACTGGACAAGCATTCATGCCAAAAAGTCTAAGACCTTCTTATTAGAGCTTTGTGAGACCACCCAGGAAACAATATACTAATATTAAAGAGGAGCAATAAAGTCCTGATTTACCTGGAGAGGGTGGACTCCTACAAGTCAAATCAATAAAAAAAACTCCTTGTCAGGAAGCAACAGATCAAGGCATTCCTGAGATATCGCTTTCACCAGGCCAAAAATGCGTTTTTTGTGAGATCACAGTGACCTTGAACTTTGATCCTTGGCGACCAAATTGTAAACAGTTCATCCTGGAGTCAAAGTGCATGTTTGTATCAGATGTGATGTTATTCCGACGGGGCATTCCTGATACACCACATTCACAAGAACATGAGGTCACCGCAGCCTTGACCTTTGACAACCAAAATTTGAAGATATATTCATGAGAATGTGACGGATGGACCCGAAAACATAATTCCTCCAGCCATGCCTGTCACCAGCGTGGAGGCATAAAAACACATAATAGCCATTAGATTTAGTTCCCCAAACACATAATCCTGAATGACATGCAGACTGTCTAATTACAAAGACCAAGATGTTTTAGTAATATTTTACAGGTAACTGCAGTCATGAATTTATTCAGCAGTTGGCAATGTTTGCAAAGGTATTTGAGGTATTTTGGGTATTTTACAATTCAAATCATGCCACAGAGGAATGTAAATTGTTGTTGCACTGCAGAGGATGGTTTCATAAATAAAGATGAAAAAAAAAAAAAAGAAATTCCAATCATTGAATTTAAATAGAGACCTGAACTTGTTATTATAATGTGTTTTTGTGAATAAGCATCACTATAATGTGCAGAGACAAAGTGACAATGTTTTTAAAGAGTTTAATTTCAAATTACAGAATATTATGGGTAATAAAAAAATAGTAAAAAGATATAATTTTATTCTTGCAATAATCTGTGGTTACAACAGTCCACATGAGTGTAAATCAACACACGATTGATACATTTTCTCAAACATAAATATCAAATTTCAATGCTTTCCAATGTTACTGGTGTATCAGTTATGATAAATTACAAACATCTAAATGTCAGGAAAATAATAAAATACAGTAAAAATGAACAGATAATAAATTGGAAACACAAAAAGGACTGTAAAAATAATCTACCCAAAAAATCGTTCCATTACAGCTCTCTTACAGTCAAAAGGCGTGTGTGTAGATTTGTCTAACACATTTAAACAAGACTAAAGGCTTATTCACTTTATCGCAGAAAAACAGCTTCTGCACAAATGTCCATGGTGTGCTCAGCGGAGAGTGGGTGTGCCAGGAGTTCAAATTTGTTGAACTTAAACATGAGCAGCACTGATATTTGCAGCCAATTTTCTGTTGAACTTAAAAGATGGACGGACATTTAATTACTTGTGTTTCTGAATTTCCAGAAGTGTATAGCAAAGAACTGACCTCATATCAAGCACAGACAAAAAGATACCTGGCAGGTGCAGCTGCAGCTTTAGTACAGCATTCGCTAACACACAGGCACAACGCATAGCGCAAGACCCCTGTTTTTCCACTGTAATGAATATATCATATGAGTCCACAGCTCGGCTAGCAGCTCTACAAGGCTGTACTTAGGCACAATAGTCCTTTGAGCTAAATGCTAACGTCGGCTGCATGTTCAAATGACAATGATAACATGCTGATGTTTATATGTTCTTCTTCTATATGTTTATACCATCTTAATTTAGCTTGTTAGCATGTCAACATTGGTTACAATTAAGGGAAACATGAAGTGTGTAGAAAATTTCATGGCAATCCATCCAATGGTTGTTGAGATACTTCAATCAAAACCACAAATATCATGGTGTAATGGCTAAATGAAAAGTCAGAGCATCACCAAAGTCAGTAGGATACATCCTCTAGAAACCATGAATATCTGTACAAAATGTGACTGCAATCCATATAATAGTTGTTGAGCTATTTTGGTCTGACTGAAGTCATATAGAGCCACGCTGCTAACATTGCTAGCTATGTTACAAATTATGTAATTACCCATGTGAGCCATCAGTTTTTCTAAGACCATATTCTGTTGATTGGGCATATTTCCATTGTCCAGTGTACTCACAGAGTCTATGTACCATATAACTTAAGTGTAAGATTTAACCCATGATAAAACTATAGTTCATGAGTGTGTAGATCATGTAGACAAAAAACATCAACATGTCAGTATACATAAAAACACAAATGCACTTTTTCATGTTCCCCTGCTCTTCTGATATCTATCCAGAGACCATAAAAAATCATTTATATTTGGCTTACCACAAAAGCGTTCGACAACCAAGAAAAATATACTGTAAGAGACTTATTCACTGCTGTACATACAGGTTATTTTACTGGTGAAGCAACAGGCAACCAAGTTCCTCTGGGAAGTCGCAGTGCACGGTGAAAAACAAACTCAGTCCTTGAGTTCTTCACATTGTCCTTTCACCATCTGACAAGCAGTCAAGTCAATGTCAGCCTTACATCCTTCCTTCAAACCTCCCCTGTCGTTTGGTACTGTGTGATGGTCCTCATAAGCAGTCCATTGAATAAAAAAAAAAAAAAAAAAAAAAATGGCAGCAGTGGATGGCTTGAACGATGCCCTGTTCGTATGTGAGGCTATACACCAAGCAGCATGCCCATGAAATCTGAACCATTCTGTATTGTAATGGAAGCACCGGCTGCATTATCCACAAATATGGAGGTGTACTGCCCGGCCTGCGGAGGAAAATATACACCATTGGAGCATAAAGATTGCATAAATCCAGTTATTTTTGCTTGTGTTTTTCTTGCGTGTTGCTCACCTGTAGCTCCAGCAGCCCCTGCACGCTGACGGTGAATATCTTGCTGTTACTCTCTAACCCAACAATCATCTCCAGTGAGCTGCAGTAATATTAAAAATAAAATTTCTCGATAAATATTGTTTTCAACAATGTCATGTCATGTATTTTCATTTGACTGTAATTATCAATCAAATTTCATTGTTTTCAGATGTGCTCTATGAAAACAATGACTTGACTTCTTTTGTTTAGATAAGGACCTTAGTTTTTTGAAAAACAATCTCGTATCATTGTTTATGTAATATTGATCTTTCATAGCGGCCTTTCATGAATGCCATTTCCCACAAGCCCTAGACATTCACAGGCTGAACGTCACAGCTCGACAGAAGAGTCGAGTCCAATTCACTGGAGCTGTAGTTTTTTCTGTGTTCACAAAGAAATTTTTTTTGTAAATTTTAGTAGTAATAAAAGTAAAATTTTGTTGAAACAATAGAGGTTCTAACAGCGAGTGCTGTAGTGGATGCCGATTGGAGTTTGCTTTGAGTTAGCTGTGTGAGAAGCTAGCTGAACAGAGGCCTCTTCGGCTATATAACGTACTTAATAAGTGTTAATTAGCTAGTGGATTTGTTATCTTTGGACATAGCCATACTAGCTAGTTTTCTCCTGTTTCCAGTCTTTGAGCTATGCTAAGTTAGCAGCAGCTTCATACATAGCATACAGTCATGCGAGGGGTATCGAGCTTCGTATCTAAGCAAGAAAGCGGATAAGTGTGTTTTCCAAATGTAAAACTTTTCCTTTATAACAACTCAGTGCCCTCAGAGTCTGTATAAATGGCTGTAACATCGCTGCAGGCTTTAACCACACTGGCTCCTGTTAAGTGGAAAATGCTACATTTTTATGGCAAATCAATCATGTTTGTCTTCACTCCAACTGCCATCACAATGAGCCTCATTTCACATTCTCTGCATTTTCATGTGTGGGAGAGCGAGACCAGCCGGGGCTTTGGCTCAAAAAAATAAAAAAAAGTCAAGAGCTTTTGGGTTAGGTAACCCATCATAATAATATTATTTATATGCTCCCCTCATTGTACCACACTAGAAGGGAGGCTGTGGAGTTCTGTATAGTCTGGGGGAGACTTTAGGGAGCAATTCATTTCAGCAATTTTCACTGACTTTATGTAAATAGAAATTTTGAAATATTGAGAAGAACTCAGAACCGTTCCCAACTGGATTTGTAAGTTTTCGCTGGTGTATCAGATACTTCATTATCTGCCTCCCACATCCCAAATAAAGGCATTTCACTTATGTGCTGCTGAATATTACAGGCTGCCTGAAGTGTCAAAGGTGAGTCTATAAAGATTAGTTAGGCGACAGGGATGAGGGCTCTAAGTGAGAGGACATTTCCTTTAAAGACCTGCTCTGCTTTTATACAGGAAATGCCAAACTGGTTCCACACAAACTGTAACAGACAACACCTTTAACAGCTCATAAATTCTGGTGAAAGTGAAGGCAGCATTAAACACCAATAAAATATCACTGTTTTATGTCAAAAGTAAACAACTGTCAAAACAAGAATGTCAAGAATGCAAAGTGTGGTAGTTGTAGTCAGATTAATTACTTCCCCACGATACATTTCATTAACTTCTATATTGGTGTTAGGTGGGGTATTACTGACCAACATGTGTTATAGCCATAACAAATGAAAAGCACATGGTTACAAAGGTGCTAGGTAGGGCATATTTGATTTAGATTTAGGGGGAGTTCTCCAGCACGCTTAACAATAATACTGAATACCTACGTGTATCGGTGGCAGAGTGATTCGATACAGATCAGCACCCGAACATTGTCCCTGGCCTTGAGCTGACTCTTGCTCCTCTTCACCTCATTGTGGTCTGTAAGGAAGTAAAATGCTCACAATCACATAAAAATACTGGCTTACCCGTAGCTCGCGAAAACTTATATTCCCCTTAAATTAAAACAGTCTTAATATTTTCATGTAATCAGATTCAGTTTTTTTTTAATACTTTTTATGATTCTTTGGAGTCTTTCGGCAAGTGCCATTCATTGTACGTACATTCTGTAATTGCCTTCACACAAGAGAGATTTGCAGGAACGATACAGCATATACTGTTTGTAATTCATTTTTATCTCATTGGTATCAACCTCAAAGTTTGCAGTTCTCTCTCTCCTACGTCTCCCAATGTAAACAGAATGTTTTCCACTGCTCCAGGTTCACATAAAAAACACTCAGCTGATGAAACATGGAGTGGCTTTTATTGTGAAGCCCAGTCACAGTGAATACAATGTATTTATGACGAATGTTAGAGCTGAAAGTCAATGTTCTGTAGATTGTTGCGTTGAAAAAAAATTCAGCTTTTATTGATAGTGAGTCAGTTTTAAATACTGCTGCCAGTAATGGAACAAGAAGAACTGTAAGCTCCACCTCAAAGTCCTCAGCAAGGTAACCAACTCCTTTTGCCAGCACCTTGCTCAGCATGAAATCAGATGGCAGTTGCTCACTGCTTGATAGAAGGAGGCTGACTACAGACTGACTTCTGTATTAAAATAATGTGAGTTTGCTTGGCTGCGCTGTAAACGGATACACCAGTTGCTCTTGTGTTATATTTTTGACAAAGTCACTGCTCAAGGAGTGTTTGCTGCCTGTAGAATTCTGGGATCTGTAGTATTAAACCAAACTTGCTGTTCCGACCAGTAACCACAGAGGCCGCTACATCAACCAGGTGTGAAATGTTAAAGATTATAACTTGACATGTTTAGTCAATAATGCACATAATTTGGCCGACTCAGGTCTATTCATTTACTGGTTTTAATTCTCAAGTGCTCTGCACACCCACACAGGTGTTTTTAATCACTCTGGCTAATTACAAAGCTAGCCAGGTGCAAGCTGGGTGGAGCTAGGCTGGGAATTAAATGTTGTCACCAAACTCTATGTACTAATAAGAATGACAACACAGAAAGTTGTCCCGCAGTTAAGTTCCTGTAGACTACAAGTGTTTAGCAGCTTTAAGGCCTCGGTATATGTAATATGCCGCATATAGGAAAGTTATTGTGATTTACCAATGTGGACGTTAGCAGAGAACTGGTAGATCCCTGTGATGGGAGCTGTGAATCTCCCAGTAGATTGGTCCATTCCCGACCCTCTGAGAAAGGCTCCTTTAGCAGGTGGCTGAAAGCACAGAAAATCTGCATTAATGTTTACATTTTAGAGCAATAATCCATTGATCCCTCCTTACACACCTCCTCCTGGATCTCAAACCAAAGGCTCTGCCACAGAACACAGTATTCAGCGCCTGGCTCAAGGGCATTTCAGCAGAGCTAATCCCAAAGGCCTGGTCACACCTGCATTTAAACCAGCAACATTTTACAAGAATTCAAGAAATCAGTTAGTTTCAATTGGATCATTGCCATCAGTGGATTCACTCATGTGGGTGAAGTAAATCTGCACAAATGTTTCATATCAAGTTCAGTTTTGGTGAACCTTGACCCTCAAATTTGAAATGAATCCCTAAAATTAATTTTTCTAGGGTGAGATGTTTATAATCCTGTTTACCAACTAGCTTATCAGACCATATATTTTGTTAAGATGTGCAGATGAAACTTTGCTGTCCCATTTTCTGGTGTGACCAGGCTTTAAGGCCCCTCCTCTTCCTCCTCTTTACTCCTGACTCTGCTTAAACATTAAAATATAACTTTCCAAATCTGTAGTAACACGTCTTCGCAAACATAGTGCTTTGTTAGCATGTTAAATAGTTCAGCAAAGCTTGTCAGCCCATCCCAACACAGCATAGTTCTTCCACTACAGCATGCTGTTTCAAACAGTGTCTATTTCTGTCCTCTCCACACTTTATTCCAAGTCAGAGACAGAGTGCCTTTTGTATGCCGCCCAGAGAGTGATGTGTAGAATTGAAAAAGTAGATATTTTTGACCAAAGAGCCAGTCTGAGTCTCGGAGTGGCACTGCATGCTTTGCCAGTGCCAGTTACCAGTGAGGGGATGATCCGCTCATAATTCCCCCACATGCAAAATAAGCGATGATTACCGAACACTCACCCATTCACATACAGTTAAGACAGAGAAGCAAAATGGGTCAGAAACAAACCATGTAACCATGCAGAGGGCCAAAACTTTACTTTTTCAGGCACAGGCAGGGAGCAAAGCAGAACCAGTTCATAAACATTTACTTGGTTTCAAACAAACATACTGTCTGAAAGTTCTGGAGCTCCACCAGAGTCTTCTTATCCACCACCACAGGGCCCTTGAGCTTGCAGTGGAAAGCCTCCTCTATTCGCCGGTACGAGGTCATCCCCTCCAGGGTGAGCAGAGCTGTAGGTAGCTGGCTGGGGCTGATTTGTCTGTCAAGTGCTGCTGCTCTCCTCTCTGTAGCCTCTGACAGAAACAAATCCAGGTCATTACAGTGCAGAGTGAGTTAACACTGTTCCCTCATGATAATGTGGTGAGATACCAAATATGGACATTATATTGTGGAAGTAAAGTTGTGTATAGCCAGATGTGTAACGGTTAAGGTTATCTCATCTCTAATCTTATCTCTAAATTGAATGAAAGAACAACCTTCTAGCCTAAAGATGAGCGGAAATGTGTTGGAAATGGGCTGGAAAAACAATATGTTTCTACCTTTGATCATCTCTTTGAACTCCTGGAGTAGAACTTCCTGGGTCACTTCGGCGCCAGGAGAACCAGGAGGTCCCTGTGGGCCAGGAGGACCTGGAGGACCAGGTGGGCCCGGCTGGTGGAGTGCAGACGTACAGAACATTTGTCATACATCAGTCTTGATTTGTAAATCATTAGTTTGTCTTATTTATCAATTATTATTTCACAGTATATATACTGAGTTTACCAGGGGACGTTTGCGTTTGCGACACTTTCCAGGGAAGTTGCCAACGGGTCTTTTGACAAAGTCCATCCATGATCCCAGTGGGTCGACTCTCTGGTGGTCAGAAATCTACACCACAAAAATAAAGACACAAAAAAGAAAATTTTCCCCCATTAATTACTAGGCCAACATCAATACCAACTACTTATGAAATAGAGCATATCAAGGAAAAACACAGCATAATCAATACTGATGTGAACTGATGACAAATCAGGCAGAATTAAAAAACATGTCCTGCCAGAGAGAAGCAAGGTTCTATAACAAGGAACGTTTTTCAACTCAAACTTTTCTCTTAAGTCTCCACACTGTATTCTCAATCAGTAATTACAACAAGCCTATAAAAAGCTGCTATTTCCAAGTTTAATCATATATTTTATTTTGAAATTTTGTTGCCTAATACACCACAATGCAAAGGACTGTACCTATGAAGTAAAATCCAATGTGTCCTTAACATCCTTTAATTGAATACTGGAAAATCTTGCCGTAAGATACAATTAAATGGGTGCCAGACACCAAGGAAGGTCAAACAGGGAAACCTCTTTTTCTTTCAGTCGGTTTTTCTGCTATTCCTTCGAAGAGTAGTGCGTCTTTTCAATTTGCCATCTAAGTTTAGTCGCCATTCTTCTCTGAAAGGTTCGCTTGACGCTTATTTTTTCATTCCCGATAATCCACTCAGGTGCCACGTCAGTTCTTATTTGCCCAATATGCTCAGATGAATGTAAACAAACCTTGTCAAGTGATTTTTTTTTTTTTCAGCACATGAAAATTTCCATGAGCGCTCCAGTGAAAAATGAGTCTGCTTGTGTGATGTAGATTCTGTGGATTGCAGACCTCAGTTACTGTAGTTTGTAACAACATGTCAAAATGGCCAACACTTTCTACTCCACCCAAAGACACACTAGTATTTTCTTTTATTAATACGACTTGTCTGAGTAATGTTATGATGGAAAATGTAATAAACAAGATAACAAAAGTATACACAGTATGTATACCAGGGCGAGTTATGATTTAGGATTGTTTGTCTATTTCCTAACCGTAGGTATGCTCAATCTCCTTATCTGAAATAACTCATTTATGATAAATTACTGTATAAGAGACTGGGATCTGTTAGGGAGATAAACTCCAAGAAGACCTCTGGAAGTAACGCTTTTATGCATAGTACTACAACTGGCATGTTTTTCATTTTGGTCAAAGGTGAGGCTGAATGAATTCCAATTACAGCAAGCTCGAATTTTACCCTAACCCTTCCCCAAATGTCAAGTGCCTTCAGTTGAGATAGAAGAGGAGATAAAGACAAGCCATGGAGGTGAGCTGTCTGAAATGGAATTTGTTTAGGTTTGGCAGTGGGACACGGATCACTTATCTGCAAAACCAACATGCCCCTTTCTTCACTGTTGAAGACTTGCCTCTTGTTCCACCGCAACAAAGTAACTCCTTGTTTGTCTTTTCGATATGCTGGAATAAAAAACAGTTTTTTTTTCTTTACAGTATATATTTGCAGCAGTCTCTTTCTCCCTGTGACTTTCTCTTCTCTCTGACAGCAGAAAAAATAAACAACGTAACAGGCGCTGCGCCGGCTGCATGTTGGATCGTCGTCTGTTTTTGTTGTGATTTTGAGGCTTGGAAACAGATAAAAGCAAAACTGATTTGGTCAAGAGAAGAATGCTTGTATGCTACTCAGTGCAGTTTCCACAAGGCTGGGAACCTGATGGATAAACTGCTTTTTCCATTGCTGTGTAAATTTTTCATATTCTTTAGCATACTATAGTTCAACATTTTGGGAAGTACTTAAACCCACAATAGATTATTTTTTTGGCAACTTGGGGGCAGTGAAGACAAGCTGTTCACACAACATCGACATATCATCACCTTTTAAAGTGATAGAGAACTTGTTAGTGAACAGTTGCTTATTTACACATTCAGCAGTTATGGAGCAACATCATCATTCATTTGGAGTCATGGTTGCGCCCACCTGGCAAATGTAAGTCCAATATCCACTCTCTTTTAACTTTGTTTTAGTCTCCACCAGCTCCTGGTGGAAATGTTTTGTTCTTTGTCTTGTTTCTTTCTAAAAAGCTGTGTTAAAGCTTAGTCCATTTCTTGCTGAGCGCTAGATGAGAACACCAATACCACTCTCAATATGAATCTACGGCTAGCAGCCTGCTACATTAGCTTAGCACGAGGACTGGAAATAAGGGGAAACATGTAGACTGTTTGCAGGTAACAAAATCTGCCTACCAGCATCTCTAATGATCACTGATTATGAGGTCATACAAAAAATATATAACATATTATATATATGTATATTATAATATATATATATATATAGTTTTATGGGGGCTTCATGTCATATCAAAGTTATTAGAATTACGAGGGTCTGATTTGTAAACATCGTGAAATATCCAAGTCATAATTACAAACAAGAAACTCTGATTTTTCTGAAAGCTCTAATATATCGACTTGAAGCTTAATAGCATGGGAGTACAGCTTCATTTAGCCAAAGTTCATTGGTCAATGCAATTAAAACCCAAGTTTGATCTATACAGTGTTACACTGCATTGTTAATGCACTGCATTTCAAACTCTCACACGACCTGCTCTGAATTCATACAACTGTCCTGAGTTGTCGAATAGTGTGGACGCTCGGAAAAATGGGAATCTCTCCAAACTCTACGATCCTATATGACGGAAAGGAAACTATAACCACAAAGTGTAGTTTTTTTTACACGTCAGTTTTTGTATGGATTAAACAAACGAGATACGACGTGTTAATTGCTGAGTTTTTCAGGTGCGGTCTGGCAGATTTTTTCATTTGTTTCCCCCTGATTCTACTTGATTTTCCTGCAGACATGATAGTGGTATCAATCATCTCAACTAACTCTCGAGAAGAAAGTGAAAAAGCATAATATCCAAAATGTCTCGTTATTCCTTTAACATACAAGCTCGGTAAGCTTGAGCAAATACTATCATGTAGATGAAAGGGGTTTGTGTTGTTCTACTAGTATTCCACGCCTGTGGCAGTTTGAGTATATTTCCACTGGGAATAATAGTAAAACTGTGAATCATCACCTCAGACAGCTCTGTGTGATTTAAAAGACACCCACGCGATCTTGACAGCCAGCGGACACCATTCCAAAAAAAGTAAAAGCCTAACATTTGTTCTTGTGTTTATGTCAAAGATCGTCTTAATGTTCCAAAGATATGAAACTGAGCAAGTTGGCCCACACATGTGGCATATAATTACATATCTTAGCACTGCATAATAATAAAAGAAAAAAAGACAGAATATCATTGCCAGGAAATCAGCCATACTGTGAGCTTGTTATCCTCTTTAACACACAGCATTGTAATTAAACCATTAAAACCTTGCCCTCAAGGATTTTCTGTGCTCAAGGAAGAAAGGCTATGACCAAGGTAATTATTACCTTCATTTCTGAGCTAAAAAATAACAGCAAATCACTGTATAAATAATTTAATCATCAGCTTAAGAAATAACTCAAGTCTTTCCATTAAACAGACTGTGTTCTCTGCATTGCATTTGTCTCCAATGTCAGAGCATAACTGACTGTACATATAGTGACAGCTGGGATGCCTCACACAACTTGCCAAAAAAAAGAAATTGTGATTCATTGTATGCAGGTGAGTCTCTGTCTCGACTGAGAACTTCAAAGACTCCACACATGCAGACATGAAAACCATATTGCTTGATGACACAGAAAAATCTGTCAGAAGCGTTCAATCTCTCACTCACTGCTATTGACTGTGGCGTAAAGTAAACTATGGATCCCCTCACATAGCTCTGTATCAGCATGTACAAATCGTGAACAAAGTGGGGAGGGAGCGGATCCAGGTATCAGTCTAGAGAGTTGATGAAGAACACTGGGGCTCTGGCTTTGATCAGCGCTGATGTGCGGAGTGCCTCAAAGTGGCCTCGTCTGTCAGCAGGTGTGAGCGCACGCTGTTCCAGCACAGACCGAGAGAATGTGTCAGGTATTCTGTGGAAAGGTGAGAAACTTTAAATCTTCAAGCCAGTGTTTATCCTCACTGACTCTAAATCATGACACGTTACTGAAGCTCAGGGCTCAAGAATGTGATGCATTGTGTCCACCGGTGGAAGAAGTATTCAGATCCTTCCCTTCCGTAAAAGTACCAATACGACAATGTTGAAATTAGTGAATACGCCTACTTGGTTTCTTGCAGAGAAAAGATTGATACGATGTTATATCATTTGTTAGCCTGTACAAAAGCTACCACACTTATATTCAGGTGCCTGAAACAGTAACTTCCTGAAGTCTTTGTTCAGATTAAACAAACGAGTCACCTTTGAACAGAATCAAGCTAGCTGTTTCACCCCGTTTCTAGTCTTTATGCTAAGCTAAGATAACCAGTTGTGACTTATATTCAATGTACAGACATGTGAGGGGTTATCAGTCTTCTCATCTGACTCAGAAAGAAGGCGAATAAGAGTATGTGATGCATCAATGCTTAAGTAGAATAAAAAGTTCTGCAACACAAAACTGTATTCATTTTTTTGACTTTTCTTTAAACTTTGTTTAACTGCCTCAAGCAGTTATTTATGATGAATGAAACCATCAGAGTGGTTTAGAGGTGGAAATGTGTCAAGGGGCCCCAAGCAGACATTGTTTTTTGCCACAAAGGTTGGGAACCATTGGTTTAACCTTTAACCATGCATTGTATTTTTACAAGTTTATCTATTAAGTATGCCTTTTTTGGAAAATCTTAACTTAAAAAGTAATTGACAAATACAAACAAGAGAGTAAACTGTATTAAAGTAGAAGTATAAAGTAACATAATACGGAAATACAAAAGCAGAAGTACCTGAAAATTGCATTAAGTACTGTATTTGAGTAAATATACTTTTTCTACCTCTGACTGGTTCTTGTACCCAGTGCAGAGAGTGAAAAGAGAATGTTTTATTAACCCACAGCTGGGGGGTGTGTTCTGAGTGTTTGGATCAATCATGGTTGATCATTCCCAGGAGCATATGAGATTTTATTACCATGAAAAAGAATGACTTGGGTCTGCATGAATAATTCTTTTACGTGCACTGCTTTAAGTGTGTTTGTCATGTAGTTTGGGGAAAATTAGGTTGAATTTATTTGAAGCAATAAAATGGGAAAATATTTCCCTGGGGCGGCGTGCCACCAAAAACACAAACACAACTGTTAAAACATGTCTCTGGGGCTGCAACCAGACACTGAAACTCTACCCGACTGCAGCCAGCTCCTGAATTCTTCCATGTGTACAGTTGAACTTATCTTATTTTCTTTTACGTGTTATCTGTTTTTCTACCTGTTCGTACACACTAGATGACATGAAACGTTTTGCTGCTGATAAAAATGTTGCACAGGCAGGTTTAAGGTTGGACAGGATGATGGAGAGAACTTCTATAATCCCTTGTTTTTATATCCCTGTACTGCTCCCTGTGCAGTCATCCATGCATGGGTGGACGGGCCCAACGCTGAGCCCATCCCACCCCGGGAGGCAGGGATCCCCAGGCTCTGCGGGACAGGGGGATCCTAGTAACCTGCGTGCATCCCAGTCATCATGCGTCCACCCCCGTGTTCCCCACCGCTGCACTTCACAGACACAGGCCTGCCTTGAGGATTTATCACCGAAGAGCTAAATACAGTTAGGCATGCAATGTTGACTCTGTTCTCTTCTTACTGTGTTATTACTCAATTGCCAAGCACCATGTGCAAAACATAATTACTCTATCACACTATGAGGATGCTGCTATTAGTTGTTATTGTAGCAGGAACACCATTTGGAAGTGTAATTAATTATAGTTATTATATAATAAGGTTGAGCATGCTTCTTAAAATACGGCCTGATTTATAAGTTGCAGCTTCACTGTTGCTTCAACAAAGGTGTGTATATGCTTTTATCATGTGTGAGAGAAAGTGAATAAATTTGTGTTTATGCTAAAGAAATCACCAGACTGAATCTTGGCTCTCTCTCTTGATATAAAAAAGGTGATATAAGCTGATTGCTTTGATCGCTCTGTCACATCTGTTTTGTGTACAAATTATAGCTTTGAAATTGGAGCGAGTGCTCATTTTCCCTGTGGTAGGTAAAATGAGGTGTTGAAAAGTACCAGTGATCCAGTTCCATCTCGGGTACAGGTTTGTCACACGGTCCGAGTTTGGGCACAAAATTTCAGGTAGGAAGTCATTAGATCCTCCTTCTTATATGATTAATTTGTGGTTCTGCATTATGTTACATAAGTACATTATGTAATTGATTAAATTTTTTTGGCTCATTTTTATTATGCAACAAATTTTCCCTTGTCGTGTTGGGTTATGAGTGGAAACATTTGATGGTGGTGACACAAACAGGGGTATTAACTGTACATTAAAATACAATTGTTTTTTATTTGCATATAATAGATGCAAAAAACAATATAAAAGTAGCAGTAAATATGAAGATGTTTAGCTTAGCTTAGCATTAAGACTGGAAACCAACAAGTCCTCCAACCTGAACAGCCTCTGACACAACACATAGAAGTGTCTCCTGAAATAGCGCCCTTACTGCCGCAGGTATACCAGACATTGGTTGTCATGGTTACAATAATAAACACGTGTACTGCACCGAGAGCAGCGTACCTTCCTTTGTCACCATGGTTACTATTATAACAGTCATGGCTTGGTTAGGTTAAGGAAAAGATTGTGATTTGGGTTCAAATAAGTACTACCTACACATTAGATGATATTTGTTGTCATGGTTACAATAATAACAACGTGGTTAACTTTGTTGAATGGTCATGGATAATAGAAACAACATAAACTGCTACTTTCACATGGGTATCGAACACTCCTCCCCTGTGTCATATTACTGATCCTACGTCACTACAGCCGCTAGATGTCGCCTAACGGTAAAACGTAACTAGAGGTCATAATAACCTGCTGCACAAACAACCTATGGACTCATTTTTTATAGGAAGACAGTCTCCTGGAGACAGAGGGAACTACTAGCCTGGCTCTATTGAAAAATAAAAGTTTAGTGAGTTTTATAGGTGCTGGTAGGCAGATAATGTTAGCCAGGCTTTATGCTAAGCTAAGCTAACCAGCTGCTGGCTGTATCTTTATACTTACTGGACAGATATGAGACTGGTATATATTTTGCTATTCCCAGCATGTCAAACTATTGCTTTAATCTGACAATTTCAACACTCACAGATGTATTATTATTATTGTGATTGTTTTTAATACAACTACACGCCGCAATGCCCGTCATGTGCATTAGCGGAATAAATCTGAAAAACCATCCTTCAGCATCAATACCAAAATGAAGTGGTCATCTTACGTTGACTAATCAGCTCTATAGTTGTTTTTACTTAAAGCCTCAGTTTACTGTAAAATGTAGCAATAATTCTGAAATTCTGAAATTGTGGTTTCAGGAACATGACCAGCACATGATAAGAATCAGGCAAGATTATTAAGGGATTTCTATAAATCTGGCACCAATCTGAGGTTATTATAAATGAAACAAAAATCCAAATAAAACAGTCCCTCTATGTCTGTGGGGTGAAGCACACATAACTGTGCAGTTTATTTTACTTGCATATTTCAGATGTAATGACAAAAGACTGTTTATTTTTCTTTCAGATGACTTCATTAGGTAATTTTACAATGTTAAACAAGCGTAACCTTTACAGGGGTCTGACGTGTTGAAAGTAGAGTTCATTATCATGAAACACAAACTGAAGGTAGTTCACACCGTCAGTAGTGCATGAGAGGTGTGTGCTCTCACAGTGGCCCTGTTTCCTATGGGACTTGCTCTTCTCTCTTATGTGTAGGTTGATCCAAAAGGTCCCACACACTGCTGCATTAATCATCACTGAGGATGAGAGAGAGGAAACAAAAACCCTTGCCTCGGGCTAAACCCAGCCATTACTCAACACGCCAGGCGTGATGTTTGACTTGACTCCCTCAATTACAGCCATCACAGATCCCGCACTGCTCTCAACAATGACAGATTCCTCTCATCTTTAGAGTGGAGAGCAATAAGGCTTACAAATGTGTACCTTTGACATATTGCTCTGAAATTGTACGACGTGACGGTTCAGAGAGATCACAGTTGTTTGAAATGTACTTCAGTTATCGTCTCATTAAAAAAATTCCACTCGCAGCACAACTCCACACCTCACTATTGTGATCACTTTCAAATGGAAAATCTCCCGAGGAATGCAGTGTGCGACTGCATGCTGCCAACACAGCCCACACACGGGATTGGTCAGATAGAAAGCAAATGCCATCATAAGAACTGTTTCAACTGTTTCCACTGGGCACAAGGGAAAAAAATGTAAATGTGGAGTGTAAATGTTTGGCTTGTTTGAGAACACAAATTTCTTGCCAAGACAGCTCCAATGGACGTGTTGTTTTCTCTGGGGCCTAACAGATGTGTAATAGGATAAACTTACAAACTACCCAAGAAAATCAAGTTTACAACTTCTCACAGTGTGTGGTACACTTTCTTTTTCTGCTTCAACAGAAATCCGGGTAGAGTGGCACCAACAAATGCGACCTTGAATACAGCCACTTCCACAGATGTCAAGCTTAAAGCTCAGGTTCTCGTCAGAGGTGACAATGTTTGGCAAAGACACTATCTGGCATAACACTGCGTCTTAAGAGTGATTATGTCATTACCCTCTGATTGTGGGAGATGAGATGAAAAGAATGTCAGAGAGAGAGGCACTGGGGGCTAATCCTCACCGAGGTGTTCTCTTTCAGGACCCTTTCTATGGGGCTTTGTGAGGGGCTTACACGGCATGCTGCCCCAGTTCTCGGGGCCGCACCGCCCCTATCGGATGTCCCAGACACAGCGGAGTCAGACTAGTCCTGTGAATGACAGAATCAATGGGCTGGGAACAACATCGCCATAGGTCTTTAAATATCTGCCCACCTAACTTTCCCAGGAGTTACATCATGGCAGTGGGCCTATAAGGGACCTCAGGAGGAGGGGTGGGGGGTGGGCAGTGTTTGTGAAGGCACCATGCTCCCTATGGGATGAGACAGAGGAGTGAAATCCCAATGGGGTGCAATCCTCAGCAGGCTTGAGGGTTGACACAAGGTCATCCTTCATAGCTTGTGCTTTTACAGCGCAAACCAAGTCAAATAAACACCACCAGGCCACAACCACCTACAATGTGTTCTTAAAGATACAAAGGAGACCTCACTGCTTGGTTTTCAAGGAGGGGGGGGGTGGAGGTTACCGTTAGGAATCCAGAGACTGGCTGCTGCTGGTAGAAGCTGAAGCGAAGGCTGGTATATAGGGCAGTGAGAGTTATATGAGAATGCCAACATAATGGGTGGGCTGAAAGCAAAACAAATAGCCTGTTGGAAACCCTCGCAAATATGCAACACCCGCAATAAACCAATAAATAACAAGAGTCAAGGGCCAACTGTTGCTCCTGAAAATGGAATTGTACCATAGTAACACTGGCCTACAGTTACAGATGACTGTTTTTGCACTTAATAATAGTAACAATTCCCTCTAGATAATACATATAATTTCAGTTAGTCTGTGTTTAACTTAATTTCCTGCTGCAGTGATGAGGCATCAATAAATATCCTTCCTTATCTTATCTCTCCGTCTGATGCATTAAACTTACCGCATTCCTGATTTTTTGTTCTCATAGGCTGGAAAATTGGTGGCCGACAACCCGCAGTGCGCACTAATTGATGCATTGATCAGCCTTTAGATGTCCACATTCCTGGCATACCTCCGGAAGTCATCCATTTAGTGTTTCACACATTTTGGTCCGTCTCACTGTCTGAGGCTTGACCTGGGAGGGCACACCTGTCCCATCCTGGCTTTTTACCTTTTCCACACTTTATTTGCCCTGCATGTTGCCTGTGCTGACAGGAACATCTCTCACATATCTGAAGGTTGACTTCAAACTTTAATCTGTACTATTGTTTTTCTGTGTGCGCTGTCGCCATATGGAGGCAGCAAAACAAATATTGAACAAGTTTAAAATATCAAAGACGCTACTTTAACATAGAATTTTGACATTAAGAGTGTTTCAGTCTCTACCTTGATGCTTCCATCGACCTCTTCACTGTTGGAGAGAGTTGCATTGTACGTCTCTGTGTGTTGTGGGGTGGCCTCCTTTGGCTTCTTTCTCTCCTTCTTGGCATCCACCCCATCCAGTAGGACACACTGAGTCCAAAACACTGCAGCCACCACAGCCAGAGGCCCAGCCCCACACCACATCTTCACACTCCTTTGATCAGCACCAGAATGCCTGAAGAAACAACACTGAATCTTCTGTGATGGACCGGTCGTGCGATTGGACGGGAGCTGAGGATGCCCACAAGGCTCACACAAAACACCAAGTCCCAACGGGGAGAAGGAGACCAGAGGAATGCAGCTTCAGGGACTCCCCGTCCAAGAGACTGTCAGACTGACTGCTGCCGCCGTTGCTCCCCTTTTGATGAGCTCTCAGCCAGCACAACGTTGCAGGGGCACTGTTAACTCTAGACAGAAAGCCAGGAGGCTTACTCAACTATGAAATGTGTCAAGCAGAATGGTCCAAGGGAATGACAGATCGGCGCAGATCTGACAGCAAATAAACCCATTAGTGAGATTTTTCACGCTTTCTGCTCTGTTGGGGGGTGAGGTGTAGTGGAGAGAGTGGGGTGGGGGTGGGGGGGCACAGGGGGCAAAAGAAGAGACAGAGAGGAGGGGCGTCCAAAGCTGAGGGTGGGCTGCGGGGGTGAGAGATGGATGGCAATATTCTCTTTTCCCCCCCCTTGCTTTCTCCCGCTGTTTCTCACACTGAGCACTGGATCCAGACTCCAGCACAGTGGTGTGGTAGCTGGAAAAGCTGCAAGATCCACAAAAGTTGGGCTTTCATCAAAAGATGCAGTTTAGAAAATCAGTCTGTCAATCCGCACACCATACCCCCACAGGGATGCAGAGTGAGCCCAGCCAAAGAGGAGATGGATGAGGTCCAGTTTCTGATCTTCGCCCAGCCTTCTTCTCTCCTCCTTGAAGTATAAACTGGTTTCACACAAAACAACAAAACTTTGCAGGTAGCAGTGCGCTCTCCTGCTTCTGGCTGACACAAGTCAAGTGCTGCCTACTGATTGTCCCAACAAGTCATCAAGTCCAAGGCAGTGTGTGCAGAGATTTGCTGTGTGGCAGGTCTCTTTTTTTTTTTTTTTGCCTGCTCCGTTGCACTCGTCTCAGTTGCTCCTTTGCTCTCTGACTGAGCTTGCAGGAGGGCTCACAGTGGAGTTTTATCATCACCCTTTCTCCCTCCCGCTACTCTTTCTCCCCCTCTCCCACTCCCTCTCTCTCTTTCCCTGCCTTCCCTCTCTCTGTTGGCAACCTTACTAGCTTATTCAGCTCTGTTTTATCTCATAGATGAAATGCTCAAGCTGAAGAGGTTCTCTGGCAGACAAGTTGTATGTGTGTGTGCGATGTGTATAAAGTTGTGTATCTGTCTGAGAGTGTCTGTCATGTTGGCTCAATATTGGCCTACTCTACCAAAGCCCCATGTTTGGATCCAAGCAAGAAATAGAAACAAATTCCTGTACTTTTTTGTGACCTTAAGGTATTATCTCGTGCAATGTTGTTTGGAAACCTGCCAAAGAATCTTGACTGTGCCATATGCATATATAGAGTGCATGCCTGTTTGTTTTTATTCTGTGTTACAATTCAGAAAAGTGTCTCACTTTTCTGAAAGCTCTAGTGGAAAAAGAGTTGAATTAACACTTAAACTTCAAGTAGCATAAATTGCAGGTTTCAGTAAATAACCCATGACTGATGTGAACAAATTGTTGTTCTGTGTATTCCTACAATCAGCTCATTTGTCTAAAAGGAATTCAGCCCCCTTATACACTTATCAGGATAAATAACATGTTAGCTCATAAGTGCCAACTTTACTATTTTTAACTTCACAAATTACATTTTTAGACTGCTACTTGTTCCAGCTGATATTATTAAATTTTAACACAGCGTCACCCAGAGGCAGTAGCCCGAAGTACAAACAACTAACCAGTACCTTTCCAGTAGGACGCGATACTGGTGTCATCTCAGTTCCTGTATCCGCTGACACTCCTGTCTATAAAACGCAGCAGCCAGGCGGCGTCAAGCTCCACACACGGAGACAGAGCTAAGACGGAAATTGGGTTGTCATTGAGTTGTCATCAAAATAAGAGAGAAATTAAATTTACATGAGCTTGAATAAAATAAAGAAAAATATACAAAAATAACTTTTATAGCCTTCTTTTCTTTGTTTTATGCATATTTGCGCCGGCTTTTCCTCCTCATCTAATTAGTGTTTTAAACCATTTGCCTTTAATTTTTAGCCATTTTAAGCATCCACTGATTACAACAGCTAACTATTTCAAGCATTTAGCTACTACTTTTAGCTATTTCAACAATCAATCCATTAAATGGTTCAATTTTTTGCTTGGTACTTTTAGTTCGGTTTACTTTTAGCTATCAATATATAATGTTTATTACTCAACCACTTATCCCTGACTTTTAGCCAACTATTTCAACTGTTTCTAGTTGTCAAGCAGTACGTTTAGCCAACTATTTTAACCATTTAGCCATTACCTTCATCTGTTTGACCATCCGTCCATTACTTGTACTTCAATTGTTTACCTATTACTGTTATCTACTTCCATTACTTTATCTATTTTCTATTTATTTTAGCCATTGATATATTACTCTTAACAAGTGTATCAACTGCCATTAATATCTATTTTAACCGTTTACCATTACTTTTAGCTAGCTATTTTGACAATGTATCCATTACTTTTAGCTTCAGCAACAATTTTAACTATATCCATTTCTTTTATTTGTCTATTTTGACCATTTATACCTTACCTTTTAGCATTTATCCGTTATTCTTAGCTAGCTGTTTCAAGTTCGTTCACAAGGCCAATTAGGGAGTCCTGTACACAACGCAACAAATTCCCGACATCAGCTGCACATTACTTAACAAAGGTTTTACTTTGAAAGTGGTGACCGGATGTTGCACGTAACAACGTGAGTAGCTTAACACAACTAATCGCACCAAGGCTAGCGGTTAGCCAGCCACCAGCTACACTGACAGCTTGAGTGAATTAGCGCAAACTGGAACATCGGCGCGGATTTTGTTGCCGACCCGGGTCTCTCTAGTGTTGTTCGAAACTGAGCCGTCCCACATTTTGGAGTTAAGTCTTGGGAGGAGCCACGTGTACAGGAACTGGAGCCTGACAGCTTTCACTGACTGTATCCACCGCAGGTCTGTTTAATATTAGCTGCCTGGTACTTACACCGCAGCAGCCAGACATCTCTCATACCCCAAGTCGTTTTAACTTCCCCGCTGTGTCGTGTTTTTGTTACGGAGCTTGACAGGTCGGTTCTTCTCTGCGAGCACTTAGCGCTTATTTCTAACGTCGGAGGGCAGTTTACTTATATCAACAACCGCTTGTCAACAATGTTTCACTAGCCTGCCTATGCTAGCCACTTAGCATAATTACGATGCAAAATGATTCAGATGACATGACGAGGCTAAATTAACGAGCTAACCGTTGTTTACTTTAAGGAATCGTCAGCCGCCTTACGAGCGCGTAGTTTTATGGTGACTAAAATATTTAAGTGGATAAAGTGATCATAAGTAAATAAAAACCTAGTGTTGTTGCTAAGTTAATGTTACAACCTTATGTTGCTCAATAAATACACGTTGTAATACCTTAAAAACAATCACGTCCTTTGCTACAAATTAGTGTTTTGTTTATTTTTTTTTTTTTACTAAAGTTTCTGAAATTAACCAACTGTAGCGGGTACTGCTCGAGTTTTAAAGTTGACTTCACTGTGTTTCATAGATCGTGTTCATTTACGTAAATGTGCTTGCATTTGGCTGACCGTATTTGTGTATACCTCGATTTCAAAGGCCTGTTCAAATTTCACAAAATGTATTAAATCCTTCACGTAAATATGCCAGTAATGGTGTTGACACAAACTGGATTTTACAGTAGGCGTGCTGCAATTCTGTGTTTGACTTTGATACCTTTGGTTGATACTTTCATTTTCGGAGTTACCTAACCACTTTGCTTTTATTATCCTTCCATAGGCAATCATGGCTGTTTGGAGGAAACTGTGGTGCAGAAACCTCATGGCTGCGTCTCTGCTTGTCTGTATCCTGCTCCACACCATGGATGTGCATGCACGGCCAGCCAACATGTCAGCCTCTAAAGATAAGCTTCCGGCCAGCAAGGATGAGAATGAGATTCTTCCCCCAGACCACCTGAACGGGGTGAAGATGGAGATGGACGGCCACCTCAACAAGGACTTCCATCAGGAAGTTTTCCTGGGGAAAGAGATGGAGGAGTTTGACGAGGACTCAGAGCCCAGGAGAAACAGGAAGAAGCTTATTGACATTTTCACCAAGTGAGACATGCTTTTCATTCTTTGTTATCTCAGTCACTAAATGCCTGAGCATAGTTGCTGACCAGGTTCTTAAGAATTCACCAGCATGAAGTCAGACAGCATTTACAGAACTTCATATGCCAAACAAAGAGGCATAGCCCTTAGGGAATTTCCTCCTTTAACTACTTTTTATCACAAGAAGCTGAAAGTGTCAAGTATTTAGGCATCCTTGGGCCATGTCACAAAAACATGGTATTGCAAAACATGCACAGAATGAGAAAGTGAATTGTTTTGTAATATTGTGAAACAGCAGTATTATTTACTATAAGTCATTTCCTCTTTGTGAAAGGCTGAATCCAGATAGAGAAAAAAAAAAACTTTCACCTTAGAGCAAACATGAAGCAGCATCCTTTAAATGTACCTGAGCTCTGAAAGAAAGAATGCTCCTAGGTTATTTCTTTGTATAATATACAGTTACCAGGCAAGGTGCCACTGTTATAGCAGAGAATGATGATACAGAGAAAACTAATAACTAATTCTCTCTGACTTGACAAAAATTCTTCCCTTAATTTTAGGGCTGTAATTTTTTTTTTATGCATCTGCTATTACTTGATTAATTGACTGTTTGTTTGGTCTATAAAATGTCACAAATTTCTAAAGCCAGAGATAACGTCTTCCAATTGCTTGGCTTTGTGCAACCAACAGTCCAAAACCTAAAAATATTCAATTTGTTTTCATGTAAAGCAAAGAAAAGCAGCACATCCTCACAAGTGAGAAGCTGGAACTAGGTACTGTTTGTTAAATTGTGCTTAAAAATGTCAACAATTAATCAGTTATCAAAGTGGCTGACGATTAATGTTCCATCAGTCAGCTAATCAATTAATCAACTAATTGTTTCAGCTGCACTTATCTTCCTTTAAATGGTAAATAGTGTCTATATTAAAAGGTATGTCCTTGTCATACTTAAATGAAAGCATCAGACTGTACACAAGCCAGACGGATATGTGTCATGACAGCAGATAGTACATAATGGAAGTGCTAATGTTCAACAACCCGAGCCAAATTAGACTCTAATTTCTTTTTTTTAAATTCCCCTTTCACAGAGTAGATTTCAACAAGGACAGGAGCGTCAGCGCCAAGGAGATGCAGCGCTGGATCATGGAGAAGACGGAGGAGCACTTTCAGGAGGCCATGAAGGAGAACAAGAACAGTTTCCGCGCTGTTGACCCAGACGGCGACGGTAAGAGAAAAGTCACATCCACTTTTTTCTTCAAACCACACTGTCTGTTTTTCAAACCCGGTCAGCCTTGTAGGCCACAAGTGTGGGCCATGTTGCAATTCGATGTCCTCAGCAAACAAATATTTTCCGTTTAGTCGAAAACTGAAGAATCTGAGATCCTGAATTCATGCTTTGTCCTCAGGTCATGTGACATGGGATGAATACAGAGTCAAATTTCTGGCCAGCAAAGGTTTCAATGAAAAAGAAATTGCTGAGAAAATAAAGAATAATGAAGATCTGAAACTGGATGAGGAAAGTAAGTATAGAATCATATGGATTATATCGCAGTATTTTGACTAAATCTGTGAATGTGTGCTGCAGACATTCAGTTTAAATCTGTCTGAGTTGCATTGTGTTTTTAATGTTTTTTCCATTTTCATCATTGCAGCTCAGGAGGTTTTGGAAAGTCTGAAGGACCGCTGGTTTCAGGCTGACAACCCTCCAGCTGACCAGCTGCTGAATGAGCAGGAGTTCCTGTCTTTCCTCCACCCCGAGCACAGCAGAGGCATGCTCAAATACATGGTCAAGGAGATCGTCCGGGACTTGGGTAACTTTTGATTAAAATATCTGAATCATGAACTTTGTCGTCTTGAACCTGTTTTTAAAGTGATTTTGTTTTTGGCCATTTGGGGGCAGCAGAAACAAACAGTTGCTTATTTACACATCAAGCAGATGCAGAGCAAAATTAGCATTTATCTGGAGTGGTGTTTTTGGACATCAGATGAATGAGCTCTGCTATAAACTCCACTGACTCCTGAGGGAAATATCTGCCAGGAAATATCTACAGAGTATAAATCAGCTGTTTACGATGCTTTGCTTGCAGACCAGGATGGTGATAAGAAACTCACCCTGTCCGAGTTCATCTCTTTACCCGTGGGCACCGTGGAGAACCAGCAGGCTCAGGACATCGACGACGACTGGGTTCGAGAGAGGAAGAAGGAGTTTGAGGAAGTCATCGATTCAGACCGTGATGGCATCGTAACTATGGAGGAACTGGAGGTTAGTATATTTATTAATTGTATTTACTTCCTAATACTCAATATTGGGTTTTTTTCTGATGTTTCCCAGCTAGTATTTCTGAAGCACTGTGTATCCAATTGACTAAAATATGTCAACTCGGTCAGCATAACTCAATAACACACCATCAATTCTTTTTCAACTTTGTCCAGTCCAACCATTTCATAAATGCAGGTGTTTCTTGTTATTTCCCACCTCCATGGCAGATGGTCTGCAGGGCTCTGTACACACGTTCTTGTGTCTACATGGTAACTCAAGAATGATCCAGAGTAGAAACTTCATATTTACCCTGGTGGAGTAGATGATCTGATTAGATTTTAGAGCACTTTTCTGCAGATTAATGAGGGAACACCGATTTCCTAGAAGTTGCTGTAACTCATTAACACTTTAATCCAACAAGTTCAAACTGGTACCAGGTATGTAGCATACAAAGAGAAACATGTTAGTATAAAAATCTTTAATAAAGAATGAGTTAATTGGAGGAGGCAGATTTTTGTTTGAACACAGTAACTCAAGAATGATAAAAGTAGAAATTCAATACTTACACCACATGTACTGCCCATGTAGTAGATGATCTGATTAGATTGCGGTGTACCTTGCTGCATAAATTTGCATATTAATGAGGTAAATTAGTAAAAATTATTATTATTGTTATTCGTTTTTTAACTTCTGTTGATATTGTTGATGATAAACGATTAGTCCTGTGAGCTCATGACATAAATAATTTGAGTGCCTTTGGTTTTAAATGTGAGCTTGAATTGAAACTTGATCAGTACTGACGGATATCCACCCTGTCCCCCTCTGGTACGTCTTCCTGCGCGTTTTACAGGAGTACATGGACCCGATGAACGAGCACAACGCTTTGAACGAGGCCAAGCAGATGATTGCCGTCGCAGACGAGAACCAGAATCATAATTTGGAGCTGGACGAGATTCTCAAGTATAGCGAGTACTTCACAGGCAGCAAGCTCATGGATTACGCCAGAAACGTCCACGAGGAGTTCTGAGGAGAAATCCATCCTCCTCTGTCTGCTCAGCAAGGCAGGGCGGTATCCTACATCTGCTTCAGGGACGAGCCGGTAGAGAGGGGCAACCTAATGATAGGATGTTTCTATTGTGCAATTCTGTGTTTAAAGCCTAGCCTCAACGGCCTCTTTCACTGCTGACTCCAGTGAACACACCCTTCCCTCAACCCTGGACTGTCTGCCAAACATCAGAGGTAACGTGGTCTGCCTTCTGTGTGCCATTGGGACTTTTTGACCTTTTAAATGTTGAGGCATTGCACCAACTCCAAATTTCTTTGTGTTATATTGTGAAATGTGTGTATATGAGGAATTTTAACCCTGAGTAGACTCCCTGGGCCAGTGGTGAGAGAGACTGCGCAGCTAGGCCAGCTATTTGTGCTGCAGGATCATGTTGTTTTTAGCTGGCGTGTCTGTATACAGTGTAAATATTCATCATCGCATACTAATGCAAAAAAGTTGAAAAAATGAATGTAATGCTGCTGAAAGGAACAACTCTTCTAGAGAAATCATATCATTATATAAATGATGAAACACTAACTATCTGCTAGCACTGCATTGCCCAAATTGTAAAGGTGATTTTTGTCAGTCGTGGTGTACAATTTCACTGGTTGGTATCCGTCCATCTACAGTACTTAAAAACAGGGTATCGGTAAAAATAGAAGTAATAGTAATAAAAAATAAAAAAAACGCCTCAATGACATACAGTAATCCTACTTAGCACAGACATTCATTAACAATTTATTGTCAGAGTAATGAAAACTTCCAATGGAGGAAAATAGATTAATATATAAGAACAATGCCTGTCTTTTTCACAGCAGATGTTTGGGCTGATTGAAGGAAAAAGCACAGGTGCAGCACAGCAACAGTAAGAAGCACAAGATAACGTTAACGATGTCTCCAAAAGGGAAGCTTTAGTTTCACCTGTGTGTCAGGTCAGAGTGTCTCCTGTGGTAAAGGCTTGTTGTGTTGTTCTTTGCTACATACAATCTAATTCAGTTGTTGAGATGTGGATAAAGATGAATTCATGTATTTGACCGGTTTGATCTTTGAACATCTCACAGGTTTGTCTTTTTTCTTTTTCTTTTTTTTTTTGCTCTGTTGCGGTGCAGGCTGGTCATAGTGTCTTTGTCTTGGTTCACTCCTGTCCTTTACTGTTTTGAATGCTCTCAGTTAAACCATACAGTTCCACTTGTGCCATGTTTTTAAATGCATGAACAAATAGTGGAATTACATTCCTCGGCTCTGTTGAGATTTTCAATAACCTGTGGAAGCGTTTGGATCCTGCGACAGTCTCCTCGGTCCTGTGTGGATTGTAAAATATGTTTATGATAACAGAATGTGACACAGCTTTATAAAACATACTGCAGACATACTGGTAAACAATAAATATTTCTTATCAAGTAAAGAGCACATGGATTTCTGTGATTATTTTTAGGGCTGCAATGAAGGATTATTAACTATATATGTTCTTCTCAGGTTAAAAAATTCTTTATTAGATCATATTATTTCTACATGCTTCAACATAGAAACCATACTATACTCCATTCAAACTTTAAAATCTTCAGCTCAATTAGGACATTACTATATGTATTCGTTTTTTATTTTTTTATTTTTTTATAGGTCATACTTTCCAAAATATTCAGTTTTTCAGAAATTTTTTTTCCCCATTAAGATGAATGCTCAAAATCTCCTAAAGTTTTCATGCATTTTACAACCCCTTTCTTGTTATCTCACCATCCCATAGATAGTGGCAAAGAATATATCCTGACACAGCTGTATTAAACTCGGGGAGGTTTAATCAGCACACATAAGCTGCAACCTTGGATCAATGTAAAGCCAGGTTCCTAATCAAATCAAATACATGGCTCCTACACACCGGCCCCTAATTGCTCATGGTAAAAGACAAAACAAACAAATAATATTTAAAGGAGCCATGAAACTGCAAACAAACCCAAATCCTTACCAAATAACATGCTTAAACATAAGTATTAATAACTCACGCCACGTTTCTCATTGGATAACCATCGTCAATACATGATCTACATATTCATCTGTGGCTTAAGACAGATTTTAGTCGGATCTCTTTTGATTAAACAGAACGTACAAGGCCTTTCAAGACAAACAAGACATTTAATTTCCTCATAATGTATATGTGAAGAAGCTTGAAATTCTAGAAGCGTATGCTACTACCCTTTGATTCAGTAGTAATATTGACTGATTATAAAATCCATACTGAAGCCAAATGCATATAAAATGAGCTGACCCACAGCTGTACTTAATCCACTACGGATCCAGTATGGACCAAATACAGATGTGGGCCGGATTAAGTACAGACCTGGATAATTTAAATCATAATAAGTCTTTATCACCCATCAAGTCAATAATAGTCAGACAATTTGTTTAATCTTGTGTTTTTGCATATTGTCTATTTTTTCCATCAATGCTTTGGGTGTTAGTTCACAGAAGGTTTTTTCACAGTTTCACTTCCCAGCAGTTAATCATCAGCGAGTGCGTCGCCAGGGTTTGTATTTTCCTCTTCCATTATTTACATCAAGTCAGTGGCCCACTAAAAGTTTTACGTCCGCAAACATACGTCTTAAGGCGACAAAAAATTTTTAACGGTTGCAACCAATGCGTTGGATTTACTTTTCACATTAATATGTGCACACAAATTTACAATGATTGTATCAGCACCGCACATACCCCAAACGTTGGAAGCATTGGTGATCGGACGTCCCGATTTCTGATGCTCGGTTTCCCTTAATCACTCGATTATCTCCGGCGCGTCACACCAGCAGCTCCCGCGCAGCTCCAATCAAGCCAGTAGAAGAGGATCGATACGTCAGATGCATCTTAATAAATTGTCCAACAGCGAACTTTGCTGATTCCCGATGAAGCAACACGTCTTGTCCCGGTGATTCAAAATCAAGTACTTAATAAATACTTGTAAATTGTCCGAGCACAGTCACAAACTGTTTGACTATTTACAATGAGCAACACCTGTGTGATGCTGCCTCGGGGGCTTTCATTTTCCGTGGCCAGCCTCGGCCTTGCATCACCCCCTAGTGCTCGGAGGGGGGATCATACAAATCAAACACATGGCTCCTGCAGGGGTGATGTGTGATAAACTGGTAAAACTCAGCAGCAGTAAATAATCTGTAAAATATGGATGCATTAATGAATGAGGGTATCACTAATATTGCAGCTGGCCCCTCTATCATCTTTTCTTGTAAGGTACTGCATGTGCAAGTCATTTATCAACAAAAACAGCAAACCTTCTCTGCATGAAGGTTTTCACTTTCATATAATTAAAAAACTGATTATTTTCAGGTTTTGGATTGGTGGTCATACAAAAAAAAGAGACATCAACCTGGACTCTTTTTTTCTGACATTTCTTTGGCCACATGATTAATCAGCAATGACAATAGTCTTTAGTTGCAGCCCTGCTATTGGATTCTGGATGTAATTTGGATGTACTTATGATCTGTAATCAATTAATTTGAAAAGATTCTTTAGTTTTAATCACAAATGAGTCACAGTTCTGTTTTGAGAAGATTTTATTGCGTATATACGGGTTAAGGTTCATTGTGTGTCCTATGTAATGTAGCACTTCACAACACAGCAGGATTGTGAGAACAACCATCATTTCACCAAACCAATGATTTTGTTTAGAAGCAGTGAACATACTGAACATCAATTCATATTTCTATAAATCATCTTTGTCGGATTTGATTATTCACAATTCAAACGCATCACTGTGAATTTTACAATTGTCATCTAAATGGCCTTAACTTTTACATGATAAGTGTGATACCCAATCGGATTTTATGTGCACGCTTTTACTTCACAGACATCACTTCACAAGACAAGAGCTTTTTTTACATTTTCCCAATATCGTTAATGTGTTTGTCGTACAAATTAAACATAACATTACTAATCCCTCTGTGAGCGACACCCGGTGCAGCTGTAGTTTACAAATCTTTCCTGATTGCTACTCCATGTCCGACACGTGCAACCTTAACACTGACTTTAAAACCGTAAAAAACAGGACAGTCCCCCTCTGAATACCACACCCTACTCTACAGTGAAATGTACTGCATTATTCAACATACTAAACATAGAAATATAATTAAGTTAATGGCTGATACTGAAACGGAATTAACGTGGAAAACATTGAAGAACACAGTGACACATCATTATACAGTACAGTACATAGCTTACGCTCTCCATTTGTTTTTGTAGCACAGGTAAACACACACTACATTCATAAAGAAAACACACAACATATTCATCTAACTCATCACAACGTGCTGACATAGTAAGATTTAAAATAACAAAAGAAATTGGCCTAAATAAGTAAGGCGATTGTGTATATGTAAATGCAACTTTTAAACAATTATTTGATGATTGACAATGATAATAATTATTAATAATTATAATAATAATAATTAGGATAATAACAGAGCAGCATAACAGTTAGTCAAGTTCCAGTTTCTTCTTAACACACATTTTTCAAATAAAATCAACCTTTTTTAGGTTTTACATGTTAACACATACAGTGCAGTCTGTAAGTAGTAACAGGATTTTGTTCCCATTAATTCGGGCACTATGTATAAAAAGGGCTACAATTCCCAAGAGGTTTATCTCATGTGGGTATAAACACAACCTCTTCCTCGTTGGTTTCAGTTTCAAATCAGATGTGCTGGAGTACGGCGCCACCACCAACACTGCTCAGATGCTTCCAGACTGCACTGTTAGTCGCTGTTAAGACACCAGTATGCAACACAAACTCCAAAGTAGGAATAGATTAAAAAAAAAAAAAAAAAAAATTATCATGATTAAAATATAAATACATCCTGTGATTATTTTATCCAAAATAATCAGAGAAAGTTCTAAAAACAAAGACTGGACAGTGCAGGGAAAGTAAAAAGTTGAGTTGAAAACAAGTCCAGTCACAGCCGCCTGTCATGAGCTTGTGCTCCTCTCTAGTCTCGGTCTTCATTTGGTCTTCGTGCAGAGCTTCTGTCTCAATCAGCCCTCAGTCAGTCAGTCTTTACAGGTAGGGATACTGGTTGAGTTTTCGTTGGTAAGCAGCACTGGAGCGGTGGAAAGGCTGCCCTGCCAGCTGATGTTGCTGCTGCTGCTGTTGCTGCTGCTGCTGCTGCTGCTGCTGCTGCGGCTGCTGCTGCTGTGGCTGCTGCTGCTGCGGCTGTTGTTGTTGTTGTTGTTGTTGTTGTTGTTGTTGTTGGTTGCCGTACTGTCCCGGAGCAGACCCCCCCAGGGCTAAGCTGCCGTTCTTCTGGAGCAGCGCCAGGGAGGAATACGCCCCGCTCGCTCTGCTGTGGCGGGATGAGCCACCTTGCATCTGGTCCACAGCTTGGGACACGGAGGCCAGGGCGGCAGAGGCCGGGTAGGCGTACAGGTTGGGGGTCGAGCTGAAGAGGGCGTTCTCGTGAAGCCGGTAGGATGAGTGGGAGGGGACGGGAGGGGGGTACGTGGGCTGCCGCCTCAGGGAACTACTGCTTCCTGTTTGGTCATGAGAGGATGACATCACAGACTGCTGTACCTGAAACAACAGAGAGCGATGAGCTCTGCAAACAGAGGGTCCGTCCCACGAGTCGTCATGTGCCCACTTGTGTGGCATGCTTCCAGTTACAGCCACAGTGTCCTCTGCACCAGCGAGTTCAACTTCAACCTCTTTAAAGTTTATCAGCTGCGTTAATTTGTTCATTTGGTCAGACATTAGGACACTTTGATTGGTGCTTGATAGAAAAGATCCTTAGCTTCTGATCTGTGTCTGGCTCAGTGATAGACACCCCCCCCCCCCCCAAAAAAAAGGGTGGATGGATAAAGTTGTTTATCAGCAAATTAAAAAAGCTGTGTGTATATTGTTTGTGTCATGTGGAATGCAACTGTTCCCATTAAGACCACGAGTCTGTGGAGAGCCAGCGGCCTGCGGAGAATCTCTCAGCATCGATCACCACACAATACATGCTGATTCGCTTTTCTGCCCAAACAAAGTGAGTCATAATATTGTGAGATCAGTTCTTTCTGCTGTTTTGGGAGCTATGTGCCGCGGTTGCTTTCCAACAACTGAAAATTTACACCCGATTTCCCTCTGATCTAAGAGCTGATTGGTTTAGATGTTGAATCAACAACTTGACGTTTTACAAAAACTTCTCCTTTCAAAGGCTTCTAGATAATTTAATAGAATGTATCTACTAAGTCCCTACTCAGTTGTTAATTATGTGGACATTAAATAAAACCAACAAAGCACCTGAGCCTGAGTGAGTCATAGTGTATATTAGCGGCAGTGAGAAGATAACCTCATTCATCAAGTGTATCCCGATGTGTTTGAATTAACCTCTACACTCTTGCTGTCTTTATGAGCACTTCGGCACTGAAGCATTTACTGAAAATACGTCACGCAAGTGACTCTCGGTGGGTTCACCGCGGGAACAGACATCAGCTACATTTGAAAGCTGTTACCTGACTCAGGTTAAGAGGCTGAGATCTGCTGGATGCGGCCCGTTGGTGGCGATCAGTGTTGGACTCTGCTGGCCGACTTGACTGCTGAGTCGACCCCTTCTTGGACTTTCCAGAGCCACTTGTAGCTTGTTCTACCATTGGGAAAACCAGATAGAATACTGTGAGAATATACATAGACTAAATAAGAATAACATTGATGGCTGTATAGAATACAAATAAATATGGACTGTATGCGGATTTCTGCCCAAGTGGACCTGGAGCTGCTGGAGCTTTATGGGTTGTGCTCTCTCCAGGCTGGCTCTTCACAGAGGGCATGATAATGGCCAGAGACTTGGTGGGCTGTGAGGTGGTCTTGGGGCTGAGGGGGCTGCTGGTGGAGGAATCAGAGTCATGGGAGTCGTGTACTGTCACACAGCTGATCACGTTGGTCCTCTGGCTCGTTCCAGAGCTGCAGGAGAGAATAAGAACAGAGTGAATTAACACATCAGGGAAATAAAACAAAACAAAAACATAAAACCTCTCATTTTTACTCAAATTGTTCTACAGACAGGGAAAGCTCTCACCATGCAGCGGGGAACTTCCTGTCATCCTCATCTTCTGAGTCGCTGTGGATGGTGATGATGCTGACAGCGGGACTGGGTGTGTCAGAGATGACGATGGGCTGAGACTGGTCACCAGCAAAAGTATTGTGGACCACAGTGGCGGCTGATTGCACCGATGACACAGGCCTGAAGGGAAAAAGACGATCTATGACTGCCTTCATTCTATGGACGACCTGCTCTCTATCAACATGTAGATGATGTGATACCTGGCTCTGCTCTCAGCATGTCGAGCCTTTGACCTCTTGCCCTGTTGGGCTCTTGAGTGAGCGGCCCCTGAGTTGTGGTTTTGGGAGGCAGCGTGACGGCCAACACCAGAGTCCTGCTGGCTGGCGCCATCGTACTGGCTGCCGTGACGACCCCTTTGAAAAAGCATCAACAAATATAACTTAGCTTAATCTGAAAACTGCATCACGTCTGTATGACCGCGTGATCGTTTACCAATCATCCAGAGTCGTGTTTGACTCAACTTACCTCCAGCCAGAAGCTTGTTGACTGTCAGAGACCGGGGCTCCCATAGGTGAGTCAGGCACTACGGTCTGCCCAGGGTTGTGGATGGCCATGCCTGGCATCTGCTGCCATGTGGAAGGGATGAGGATCTGCTGTGTGCCTGCTGGCCAGCCCTGCTGCATGCACACACACACACACACACACACACACACACACATAAACACAAATTTAAAAGCATACAATGACTAGATGTCACTCGGTCCAGTGTCAGCAGTGACAGTCTGTTAGAAGAGAACAAAGTGCAGTGTGTCAAACATAGTGGGAAAGAAGTCGCAGTTATTTTCTTAGTGAACCATACTGAAAGAAAAGACATGCAGTCTGTAGACAAACACAAAGCTTCCCGTCTCTCCTACACCAAAACATCCAGCAGATGTCACATTGAAAACTAATCACTGACAAGCTGAACAAAACGGGAGATGAAGTCACCATCTGCAGACTTATTCCTGCGCAGAGAGAGCTACTTGTGTTACTGCCGAGAAGGAAATGTGCTCAGAGAGACTTCCAAAGCAGTAAATACCGGACGAAGCTCACACAAAGACAGTCTGATGCCAAGCATGCATGCCACACAGCTGCACTGCGACTCAGGAGTCCAGTGGAAACACAGCCAACCTGAAAATCAAAAGGACTGTGTTAATGTGAGATAGGGAAGGTGTCGACGCTGGTCTCGCTGCTATAGTGACAGCTCCTGGCATTTTCTCAACAGCATTGTTAACAAAATAAACGACTTGCACAAGCGTCTCAAGCTTTAAAAACATAGTGGTGTGTACTGCTGTTTGCAACTGCCTCTCTTTTTTTACCCTGGATTTCTAAAAAATCAACTGTCATAACTAAAATGTCAAACACATTTTTGTGAATTTTTTAACTTGTGGTAATAATGTTGCAGTCAGCATCTTGCAAGGAGGGAAGCTTGCAAAGGAATAACTCAACATTTCGGGAAATAGCTTTCTGGTGGAGTTAGATGACAAGATTGACTCCACTCACATGTCTGTCTATTAAATATACATGTAAAGCTATATCCAGCAGACAGTTAGTTTAGCCTAGCATAAAGACTGGCAGCGGGGGAAAACAGCTAGCAGAGCTCTGTCCAATGGTAACAAAAGCCGCCTACCAGCATCTTTAAAGCTCACTAATTAACATGTAATATCTTGTTTCTGTAATCCATACAAATTTCAGTAAAAGTATTAACTGTCATCGTTGATTTTGTTTGGATTGAACAAATGAGATATATTAATTATAGATATGTTAATTGGTGAGCTTTAGGAGCTGGAAGGTAGATTTTTGTACTACAACAGAGCCAGACCAGCTGTTTTCCCCATCTTTCCAGTCTTTGTGCTAAGCTATGCTAACCTGCTAGCTAGTGCTCACCTTATATTTAGCTGAGAGTGCTCTTATGTCTGTCCATCTTCTCCTACAACACTTTGCCAGAAAGCGAATAAGCGTTATTTCCCAAAATGTTGAATGATTCTTTTAAAAGCTTCCTTGCTAGAAACTGACAGCCACAGTATTACAACAAGCAAAAACACATTTTTGTAAAGTGAGTGGATACGTGTATTTCCCCAAAGTGTCAACCTTTTGCTTTAAGCATCCACCTGTTGTAGTGAAAAGGCAACATTGTCTTTCTAACATCAGAAAGATTATTATACCAGCAGAAAAACACTAGAAATAAACATGTGCACATTGAGACATGTAAATAACAGTGAAAGCTGATTCATACACTCAACAACTCATTAGTTACTTAGCTTTCTTTGTTTTCTCCATTGGTTTTCTCCATAAGATTAATGAGTAGTAAGCGTTAACTTGATCTTGCCAAATAGTGAGCCTGCATAAATGTATGAAAACGGTGTTATACCTTGTTTTAAATTGCTTATTTGTGATTTATAAAGTGTAACAACTGAATTAATAACCTAATCATAAACCATTTGTAAATCCTTTATAAAGGTAGACTTATTGTAAAGTGGTAGCTGGATTTTGGAAAAGCTGTGCAACCACTGTGGAGTGCGCACCTCCGGGGTCACAATTTCTAGATATTCTAAACTCTCTGAGAGGCTTCATGAAAAGCTGTCCTTATTTAAACACAGAGAGATAAGAGGAACACCAGCTGCTGCAAGCGAAAGCACAGACCAGACCGGTGAGTTGCACATGCGCCTCATGCTCTGCTGCACACCCCCAACACAAGTGTGCTGGGAGGAAGAAAGAAGAGGTTTTAACCGAGGCGGCTGATGTGATGATTTTATGTGTTTTACCAGCACGGAGGCATTCTGATCCAGGAAGCTGCAGAGGTTTCCACCCCTACAGCCAACTGGCAGCTGGACCGAGCCTAAACGTGGCATTCCCGCCACTGAGCCGTACAGGCTGCCTACCAGCAGGGGGTCGAGGGAGGCCTGAGAGGAGGTGTGAGGGGAGGGTGGAGGGAGGGGAGGCATTAAAGACACCAAAACAGACACAGAGAGGAGATTTGGAACAGACCTGCGTCATATTCCACTGAATCCTAAAGAAGAGGGAGTCTCTGCCTTGGATCACAAGTTTTCAGTTAGTGACAACAGCAGAACAAGAATATTGATATTGACAGTTACTCTAAGAGAATAGGGTTTTTGACATGCAAAAAAAAAAAAAAAAAAACCCCAAAAAAACATACAATATATGACCAACCACATGTCAGGGTTGGGTCCTGAAAGCTGGCTCCATTTGCAATATAGCTACCTGTTGATTAAAATTTCTGGTTTGTAGAAGCTTCGCGGCGAACAAACGTGTTATCACACCTTTTATCCCTCTTCAGTCTTTTTCATGATCAATGTGCAAAACCTTCTGGTCGCAGCTTTTCATTTTTAGCCCTCACTGACTGTCGATTTCACAGGTTTAAATGACAAATATCACAGACAGCAGATTGTATCAGGAGCAACTAATGAAGCCAAAGCTATCTGCTAAAATGCCAAAATGAAAACTCTGCTGTTGTTAAGGAGTTACTTAAAAACAGACTGAAAAGCAGCAACTCAGAAAATTCGAAATGTTGAAGTAAATGTATGTAAGTATTATCAGCAATGTATAAGTAAAGTAAACCCACTCATTTTGCAGAATCAAATGCATCTATGAGTTATATATTATTATAGATTATATTATATAGTTAAAACTAATACCTCAATGCATAAGTAGCATTTGTACTGTTGTATCTGATTGAGGTGTGGCTGGTTTATTTACTAACACACAGTTAGTCCAGTAGTTTCAGACTTAAGCTACCAGCCCCCTTCAAAGTGTGATAAATCGAGGAGTCGTGAGATGGTTAATGTGGCAGAAAATAAACAAGCCTCTGCTATAAAAAAAAATTCTAATAATGTTTTGGACTTTTCTCTAATATTTGCTGTTGTGAAATATTGGATAATTTAACCTCTTTGAGCCTCGAACAGTTGAATAAAAACCGTCTGAGAAATTTTGAGGGGAAATGTGTCTTTTGGTGGAACTGCTACCAACTAGACGTTTGAAACAGGACAAGGGGTCCCAATTAGCTGCAGCTTTTTCTGTTCACAGGCCAAAAATATTAGGTGCCGGTTTAACAATTGATTGGATTTTATAAGCTTTTATACTCCTATGTGTTTTATTTTTGAATCTTAATTTGTAAAGTAACTAGTAACTCTAGCCGTCAGATAAATTGGGTGAAAAGTTTAACATTTCCCTCTGAAATGTGGTGGTGAAGTATAAAGTACAAAATGGAAATACTCAAGTACAAGTACTTCAAAAATGTACAAGTAAAGTAAGTACAAGGCTTAGTTACATCCCACCCTTCCTGATGCTGATCAATTCAATAAGTGGACATGATACTGGATTCATATCCGATAAAATGTCATCGGAGCTTAACCCCGGGGGCTCCTGCTGTGGGTCCTACCTGTGCCAGCATGCCGGGCTGGATGTGAAGAGACTGGGACGACTGGTTCTGAGGGACTAAGGGTACTGAGTTGTCCATCCTCACCGGATAACCAGAGGGCTTATTGGATGTTTGAAGACCTAGAAGATGGAGGCAGATTATATTGTGACAAAAATGCAACACATGCAACATGCAAGCAAAGAGACACACTAAATGTAGAATATAGGAAATTTGTGGATTATGAAATTAGCTAGTTTCTCTTGATTGTGGAGAAAATGTAAAAATTGACAAATGAAGATATTTTATTCTGTTTATTGTTGTTATTTCTGCAGTTGCTGGTTGGTCAACTTATTGTAATTCATACATTTTTAAGTAGAAACTAATACTTCTTTTCTTTGAAGCAACACAACATGAGAAACAAGAATCACTGATTCTCACCCTGGATGGTCGGAGGGCAAACTATGAGCGTTTGCTGGAAGGGTTCAGTCTGGGTGCAGAGCTGGGTGGGTCTGGTCTGCAGGGGTACACCCTGCTGGGTCAGGCCCGGGATGTTTATGGTGGCCTGCTGGTAGAGGCCGGGCTGGTAGTTCAGCAACGGGACGTTACTGCTGAGGGACAGGGACTGGCCTCCTGTAGAGGCCATCTGAAGGACGCAACACGCAGAAGATGAAGATGAATCGAGTTCAGTAAGAAAGTCCAGGGGCCTCATTTGTCGAGGCAGCAAGTGTGTGTGAGGGAAGTGTCCGTACGAAAAAGAAAACTGATATGAACAATGATCAGTCCCACCAGCTCTACATTGATCTGCTCGTACACACACCTATTTACCTACAAATTTGTTTTCTCACAGAAAACATAGACCCAGCCGCCACTTTAGTTGGCACAACTATGAAGTCTAATGCAATCCAATACAGCAGCTCAGCTGCAAACTCTTCCTTCACAAAGATTATGTAATGAGATACTGTATAGAGAGGTATTCGTTTGACTTATGTTTCTTATTGAGGTTGTAGTTTTTAGTGATGTTAGACTGGACTGCATTATACTGAGAGGTGTTTCTAATGTTTTGCCCACCCCTCCATTTACAAACAGGAGGGAGGAAGAACATTAGAATCCCATTTTAGCATAGTGCACCACCACTAACTGGACCTCAATAATAAACATATGGTTGAGTAACACTTCTCTAACAGTGTCAGCAAGAACTGAACATAATAATCTTCCTAAATGTAGAAAGGCTGTGGCTGATGTGTTTGTGCTGGGTTGTAATAAATTGTATAGGTGTAAATAAGAAAAGTGGTCAGGGAGTGAATCTGTCTATAGTTACATCGATTAAAATGAATGGCATGAAAATACTAATGAAGATTGATCTAACTGAATGTTACCAACAGATTTTAAGGATCTCTTACATGTGATGCAATATTAGAGAAACAAGACTTAATAGCCACATTAATTTCACTGTGAATGAAATGATTACCTTCTTTTCTAAAATACACAGTGGAGAACATACAGTCTAAGGCATAAAAGGAATCTAATAAATCAGAATCTGGGTGTAGAAATAAATGTACACATGGTTTTTAGCACAAAACTGCTCATACACCCCGAGCCATCTCTTTACGAAGCCACTAATACAACCACTAACGAGTGAAAACTGGATCGACAAGCAAAACGTTGGGCGGAACACAATGACCCCAGGGCAGATTAGAGATAATGCTCTCACCTGATTGTGCTGGTTTAGTTGGCTACTAAAGGTGACAGTGAGATTGGTGGCAGCACTTGGGGTATTGTTGCTGGCAAACATGTTTTTTCCATTCTCAAAGGCGCTGCATCTGCGTTTGCATATATCCATGTTTTGGAAGCAGGACTTCACGCTGTAAAGGAAACAAAACTGTCAAAAAAAAAAAGAAGAAGCAAAATGCTAACTGCAATGCTAAATCGCAGCCACCTCGATAACTATAAAAAAAAAAACAACAACAAACAAAACAAACTCTATAACTCTACTGGTAATTTACTAAAAAACCTCTACAGTCAGCACAGTCCTGCACTTGCTGACTTACTGTGAGCTGTGAGGGAAGTGCAGCAGGTGCGTCATGGTAACAAAGGGGTGGTTCAGAGTCTTCATGGGAGTGATCCGTTTGTCCGCGTCAAGCGTCAGCATCTTCTTCAGCAGGTCTATGAACTCCCGTCTGTCAGCCTTCTCCGCCAAGATGTCCGTCCCCTCCAGGCTCGTCATGTTCACCTGCGGAGGAGACGGGGGAAGTCAGTGTGTGTCGATCTGTGAGAAACATCCCGGTGTAGCCAACACCTGTCGGGTTAACCAGGGATCTAATGCTGTTAACAGTGACAGTGCAGAGCAGACTCACACACCCATAATCAATATGCCTACACACACAGTCTCCTACATTGTATCCCTTAAGGGGTAAAAAATTACAATATTTTTTTTATATTATTGCTGGAAATTAAAAGAGTTACAGCAGTAATTTTACTGTTAACTGTAGAAGTTACTATCCCCTCTCCCTCCCTGAACACCTGAACAATGGCTGACCCCAACCACTCAACCTCAAGGGTCAGTGTTAACAGTTACTTCCTCACCTGCATCATATCGTCAAGACAGTTGAAGATGTATTTTCTTGCCTCCTTTGACTTGATCCCCATCTCTGCCTCATGCTCTGCGGGTGTCTGCAGAAAGATAGCCACATTAAAACCTCAGTACATATGTATATATACTATTCATATGCTTGCGCAGTAATGTTGTCTGTTTGTGACTGGTATCAGCAGATACACCTACTTTCAGTCTCCAGAGGGGGTAGCTCGAGTCTGGGCCTCTGTTGAAAAAGCGACTGGTCTTAGTCCCTGCACTCAGCAGGTACTCTGCTGGAAGGCCCTGTGTCTGGGAAATGTAACGTATCTGAAAGACAAATGGAAAAAAAAGAGAGAGAGAGAGAAAAAAAAGTCAGCGGCTGGTCTAAGACAAAAATGTAAACTTTATCACCTCTACTTGTGCAGTTTATAAAGTTAAAACCACCTGATGCCCGGTCGTGTCAGCGTCGGAGCAGAGTTGTTGTCAGTTTAAACATTAGACTCCCGTGAAAAACGTACTTAACTGATCTGTTATTTTACTATGATCTCCCACAAAACATGTTGTGAGATTTTCACATTTGCAATAGGTGAGAAATCAAAACACACTTTCCCGTCATGTCTGACACCCTGATAAAGCTGCTATATGACTGAACTGGCAACAACAGCATTCACCCTTTTCTCACACACATTCACCGTCTCAGATAAAGTGCTAAATCCCCTTAAAGGAACAGTTCAGTATTCTGGGAAAAATATTTGGGGTGGGAGGGTTTGCCAACTTTCTATTTTCTCGCTAGATTTGCCAACTGTTAAAAAACCCTTCAGCCACTTTTTTTTTTTGCAGAACAAATCTAGCGACTTTTTTTTTTTTTTTTTTGGGGGGGGTAGACTTTAACTCTCTTCCCATGAGGAGAGCTGCTCATGTTTTTTCAGTGAAAGTGCTTTCATGTGGCTGTAGCTCTTTGGACTGAGTGCGCTCAGATGACCCTGCGCTCACTCATGTTTGTCAAGGCTCTTCTCTGTTGTGGCTCCACAACGGTGTGATGAGCTCCCGACTGAAGTCAGGACAGCGGCGTCACTGCTGCCTTTTTTTTTTTTTCACTGCAGGTTAAAAAAAAACACACTTACATTTCAACAACCCTTTGAGCACTTATTTATGACTTGTTAAAGAAATTATAGGACTGAAGATGATTTTAGTCATTTGAGTTTTGGATGATAGTAGGTTTGAATGTAGTTATTGTAGATAGCTTTGCACCATAAAAGTGTCTGCCAATTGAATATAATGTATATTCATGTGTTGTATGATATGTCAAGATACACACACACACACATACACACAAAAGGAAACAGCCCCGCATATAACACTCTGAAAAACCACACTTTGTCATTTTTACACTTCAATTTTGTTTGTTACAGATTACACAAACTAAATATAACATGCTAATTCGTGAATTTATGAGGCGCTGGAAGGTTGTTACCATTTCCCTGTCTTTGTGCTAAACTAAGCTAACAGGCTGCTAGCTGTAGCTGTAGCTTCATATTTAGCAGCAAGAAAGCAAATAAGCAAATTTTGGCAAATAAATGCTGAACATTTCCTTTAAAACAAAGGTGAAATGATTTTAAACAAAAAGTGTATTATCACTTACTTCGGTTTCAAATGAACAGAGAATATAAATGTCACTTAAACAGTGTGTATATGAGAGAACTGCAGCTGACCTGATCGTACTCTGAGGCTCCAGGATAAAGGGGCCATCCCAAAAACAGCTCAGCAATGACACATCCCAAAGACCACATGTCGATGGCCTCGCAGAAAGGAAGGCCCAGAATGATCTCTGGAGCTCTGCACGCATGTCAAAATGAGCAAATGACAGAATTGCAACAGGTAATTTACATATTACAGACACAATGAATTGACCATTCATGGCCCTCACTGTACAGCCCGGGCTAACGCGCTCACCTGTAGTATCGTGACTGCAGGTAGGTGGAGCAAACCGCTTTGGACACGTGGCTGGCGGAGCCAAAATCAATGACTTTCACTCTGTACGGCTGCCTCAAAGGATCCACCAGCATAATGTTTTCAGGCTTCAGGTCGGCGTGGATCAGCCCCAGGCTTTTCAGCTTCATCAGCGCTGTGGCGACCTGCTGCAGAATGGGCCGAATGCACTTGAGCAGCAGGGGGCTGAACTTGCTGTGCTTCAGGAAGTCGTAAAGGTTCTGCTCCAGCATCTCAAACACAAGGCACGTGTGGTTCTTGTGCTGGAAACACTCGTACGAGCGGACAAAGTTGAATTCGTCGGCGTTCTCTGTGCTCAGCCTGCTGAGGATGCTAACCTACGAAGAGGAGGGGGAGGAAGACAAAAGATATATTTTGTGTTCATTAATGTATAATAATGGAGGATACATCAACTGCATGACTGCATTTTGTATAGGAAACATTTTTTGCTTGGTTTTCACTCCATTTATTTCCAGGCTTTTAGCAGATTCGCTACATGTCAGAGCCAGGCAAGTTGTGCAACGCAGAAATGCAACACATATATAGGAATATACGTATATATATGGATAAGATACGTGCTAGAGTTGCAGGGATATAAGAACCATGTTCCTCTTAGTCAAAACATGACTAAGAGTCTGCAGCCATGCTTTGGGAGATGCAGGCAGAAAGTACAATACTGCCGTGGAGTCAGTTTTTTTTTTTACCTGCATTTGTTTACATTTTGGACAACGTGCACCATTAAAAAAGATGCCGAATTAGCTATTAGCAGTTCATGTTTGCATTGTACTCATGGATGTACAAATACATATCACTGGATTATTTTGATACTGAAGAAAAGATCAAAACGTGATGATTTACTGGAAAGTTCTGGAGTCGTTTTTTTACTATGATTTCTAAGCAGATTATTTGTGAATCACCTGCTGAGAGTTAAAGATTGACGACAGCTTTCTATCTATGCAACCTGGTGTTTTTATTCTTTACATCATACTCACTTCTATTTGACCTTGCCGAGCATAAGAGGGATGGTTCTTCAAGATTTTAATAGCCACTATCTCATTTGTGCCTCGTTTCCAGCATTTTGCCACCTGGCCGAAGGTACCGCGTCCCAGGAACTCGAGCACCTCGTAGCTGTTGGACATGGAGCACAGGATCTCATGCTGGACCAGCTGGTAGTCGCCCTCACTGTGGGAGTTGCTGCTCTTTGTGGTAGATGTGGAATGTGCTATGGACTGAGCTGTGGTGGTCCCCCCTCCACCACCAGTGCGGTTTGAGACCACGGGGGCCGAGAGCTCCTCCAGTATCTGGACGCTGTCGCTGCTGTCCACCTCCTCGCTTTTCCGCTTCAAGCTGTACTGCTTGTGGTAGAGGTCACACGGCTGGGAGGAGGACTCCGCATCCTTGACGCGACGGCTAGAGGAGGAGGACGAGGAGGAGGAGGGAGGTCCGCGAAGGCTACCTGTGCTGTCTGCTGCCCGCACCACTGTCTGCTCCCGGGAGCCTGCAGTCGGCGGATGCACCTGGTTGGGGTTGTACACTGGATTGAAGTTAGAGCCAGAAGTGGAGGGTACAGCTCCCTGGGTGGGGCTCTGTTGGTAGTAACCATTGTCTCCCAGCTGGTTGGACACATCCCAGGCAGGGTTCTCCACTTTGAGCCTCTTTGAACGAGAGTAGGCACTGGAGGACACAGAGGGAGAGGAGAACACCTGGAGCTGCGACGCCATGTCTGTGGACGAGATTACAGATCGGAAGCAACCATCAATAGGACGACTAAAACCCTCCAGAGGCAAGAACCTGAAACAGGTGGAATTAAGAGTTTGTCATCTACTGATGATCAAACAGCTGTTATCAAACAAGCCTTTACTGTTGCACATTTATTCCCTACACATGTCAATTTTACATATTTCATCGAACTGGACTTTACATTGTACGCTGCTTTCCGCCTCCACTGTTACACAAATTAATTGTTGCTTGCACACGTCATTACTAATTTTCACCTTCATAGAGTTCATACACTTCTCTTCTTTCTGCAAAACAGTCAATATTTAAAATTTTTATATCCCATTTCACAACTATTATCAGTCTGTAAATAAATATTTATAATTATTTTTGTTTCATTTAATTAATCATTATTATTATCTTACTTTTGATCTATTCTTTTGTTTTCTTATTCTTCTGTGTTGCATTTGTGGAGCAAACACAGAGACACATTCTTTGTGTGTTTGCATTCTTGGCTGATAAACAGATTCTCATTCTGATGTGAAACAGATCCGAAGAGTGCAGCTCACTTTGAATGCACGGCTGGAAATCAACTCGGCACAACTCGGCTACAGTGATTGGTTGATTAACCGATTAGTAGATTGACAGAAATTAGTCAGCAAAAATAAAATGAACACAGCTTCTTCTCCCATACAGACCACATCAGACCAGATCAAGCTCAAAATACACTACACCTAGACTTCCCCCCAAAAAAACATACTTGTGGCAGTTAAATAATATATGAGCTCCTTCTAAGTGTTATTATTGTGGAAATATTATTTGCAAATGTTTGTGGAGAGTTGCAAAACTGTATCTTAATCTGTCTGCGTGTACTCAGATATGTGAATATAGTAGGAAATTTGTAAGTGTGTAAAAGAATCTGCAAATATATGCACAAAAAAAAAAAACAGAATGTCAATGCCCTTTTATTATGAATGACAACTGTTAATATCTAGTTTTATGTAACTATACAAACAACATACATACATATATAAATGAGCTGCAGACACATCGCACACATTTACACATTTCAGGCAAAGCAGGGGTGAAGCTACGAAATTCAACAGAAGCAAAATCTATTATCAGCTTTTCAGCTCTTGAAGCTGAAGTTTCAGTTTCATTAATAAAGGGGCATTTATATTCAGTTTATTGATTTCATATATTTGCAGATTTGGATTGGATGCAGATTTGTTTTTACACATGTACAAATATTTATCACATTTACATATTTGTGTACACTCTTGAACAACTCTGCACACATTTACCTGACCTATGTAAACAGACACAGATTTGTGTACACATTTGCTTTTTTCTTTAGACATTCACAAATCGATCTACACATTTACAGATTTTTGCACACATTCAGATTGAGATACAGGTTCACAACATTCCACACACATTTGAAAATAATATTACTACAATAATACCCACAAACTTGTCTATCACAGTGCTCCTGTCTATGCCCCACCTGCATCACACACATGACGGTCAGAGTTTTTGTTGTTCGCCCCTGTCCGTGGGATAAAGCTAACTGCTGCCTGACAGTCAGTAAACCACAGCACCTGGGCTTCAGCTCTTCTTAAATGACAATACCTGTATTTGATGCCTGAACACACCGTCGCCGATCTGACATTAGGGCCTCGTCATGTTGTCTCCGGGCTCGGTGTGGTGCTGCAGCTGATCAGCTGAGCTGCTAGCTGGAGCTGGAGCTCTGACCGTAGCAGGTAGCAGGGAGGATGAGGGCTGACTAAGCTAACAGCTAGCTAGCTACAAGCATCCGAGTCATACCTGACCCGATACCGCAGTCACATCGCGTGTCAGGCGAGCAACATGTGCATGATGCCGCTCACAGAGATCACATATCATCATAATGAGCGCTGTCGTCTAAACAGACCGAGCTCCATCATCACGGACCGTCTGGTCGCCGTAACGTACTTCCTACCGTGCCGACGTAAATAACGGCGAGACGTGACAGACGTCAAAGATCGTCTATGTGTCAGCATGTGTCACTATTTACTGAAACACTGCGCCACAGTTTTGAGTAAGTTTTAGCAATGTCAATGTGAAAAATATGCCATTACAAATAAATTTCCTGCATTGAAAAGCTTACGTGAGTAAAACTTTACTTAACGTATCAAAGTAAAAGTACTCATTATGCAAAATAAGCGTGTTCTAACATGTTGTGTTTACTTATTATATCACAGGGTTATTATTACTGATGCATTTATGTGTTTAAATGTTGTTGTTGTCGGTCGATACAGAACAAATTTTAACTACTCTATGTACTGTTGGGCAATTCAATCTTCCCAAGTACAAGTACCTCAAAGTTGTACAATACTGTGTGTTACTTTTTACGTACAATATGAATAAAGTTTGAAGTTAAAGATTAATCAAATGATTCCCTACCTCTTTGGCTCTTTTGACCCCTTGCAAGAAGCAGTGTCTGGTTTGGGGCCCTAATCATGTTCCAGATGTCTGTGCATTATTAACAATTCACTTAAGACACATTTCCACTTTAAATATCCCAGATGGTTCATTTAAACAATGGCTTGAGGCTGAAAGCAGTAAAATGATCCAACATTTCACAAAAACAGCACATTTTAACGTCATTCACATCAACATGTGAATACAAATTTGTGTAGCAGAACTTTGTTTCTTGTTTTCTCACCCATTAATAATCCCATGATAATCTTGTGACCCTTTGGAGGGGCTTGGCCCATAGTTTAAGAACGACTGGACCAAAGTTCCTGACAGTTTATGAAGTAAATAAACCAGCTCTTCCCGGACCAGCTACAACAGTAAAATGGCCATTTGTCTGTGGAATGAGTGTGTGCGTGTGTGTGTGTGTGTGTGTGTGTGTGTGTGTGTGTGTGTGTGTGTGTGTGTGTGTGTCATCTTGTTGAGTAACATTTGGGATTTTTTACTTGTAATGAAATATATTTACATTCTTGTATTTGTACTTTTACTTAAGTTAAGAATCTGAATACTACCTCCACCACTACACATAAGATAAATATAACACTGTCAGACACACACACACACTCACAATTCAAATACCAAAACATAACACATACAAACATCAGGATTTAACAGTTGTTGTCATTAAGATGTTGTGTACTGCAGTGTCAGTAGTACTACATACTGGAAATATACAACACTATTTTTTTTTACAGGATTAATTAATAATATCACAATTAGTTATTAAGGCAAATTACCTCAACACTTACTGTAATTTGAATTGTGTTATTATATATGTTGATATTAAATATTTGATTTGGAATGAGTTTATGCTTTTTATTTGGCTTCTTCTGTGTGTGAGCACATCCTCAACTCAAACATCATCCCTGACAGAAACCTTTGTCATTCATCAGTTTGTATGGTGATAAGTAACATGATAAGGACTTAAATCTGGATCTCATAACCATTCTGAAAATCAACTAGTGTGATGTTTCATGCGCATGATGGCAAACTCACTATCACATTTCAACACAAGAGGGCGCTAGTGTCGCTGCTACAAAACAGGAGGCGTGAGTCAGACTTGACAGAGATCTCTTGCTGCTTTTATGTAAACACAGACAATGTTTATTTCAGTCCACCTTTTATCAGTTCTCCTGTTCATTCAGATATATTAGCATTTTTGCTTCTACAGCATGTACACAGTAACACAAGCACTGCATTTCATAGTGGTACTGCAAAGTACATTTAAACAAAAAAATATTATGAAGACTACACCAGCATAGTCGATGCAAAACAACACATTCATATCAAAATAAACTGCTCATCAGGAGAAAATAACACTGCGACTTCAAGATGTTGGATTGGTGATGATAACTAATGATGATATGACTTATCCATACAACATAACAGAATTCAAGTTTAAGTAATGAAATATAATGGGAGTAAATGCATGCATTACACATACAGGAAAACTCATTTATGTAAAGTATTGATGGAGTTCCTTCAATGATCAGACACTGACAGAATGAGACAGAGCAAACGCATAATGATTTATACAATAAAAAAAAGAAACAAAACAAGTGCTTGGTATTTTATCCAAAGTTAAATCTAGCACTGTACAAAAGCGATGCTATATTTATACAAGAGGAAAAGACCAGCAAATCCTCATAGAACAAAATCCTATCAAAATAAAAGTCTGATCTGAGAACAGCCTCTTGCAGATATAATGCAGCTATTTTCAACACTTAATGATAACGAACAACAGCATCACAAAATTGTCATGATTTCTTCACTTTGATGCACTTTAAAGGTGGCTGGGTGGTGTGTCACAATAGTGGAATTTGAGCCTTTTAAAATGCATTAACAGTATTATTTATGTAGGTTTCTCCGCAGGATCACATGTGATGTTGAACATGCAACCCCAGTTTTGTGACCATAGTAACTGGAAAGTGGCTGTTGCACTTTTCAAGTATATGATATTATTCCTCTCCTGGCGCTTGGCGGACTACCTGAAGGAGTGCCGGAAGTGCACACTCCTTCGTTTCAGCTTCTCTGGGTTGTGGGATGCCATGTGGGAAAATTCTCGGAAGATGTCAAGGTACGTGGCGTCTCCTGCTGAAGAAAGCAACAGAAAATAATGATGAAAATGATGGTACATCATTAGGCACTGATCCCTTCTACCGAGAGCAAAATGTCTTGCAGCAAAATTTAGTTTCCATTACAGCAATTTTCTTTTTATTTCATCCCTATTTATACATTTATACATTATAAGTATATTAGACTGCTGTTAACAGCCCATGTTCAATAATGCTGGGGATTTAGATTCCACACTATTATTCCTTCTATGATCATAATTGTGATCAGTTGTGTGGTTTCTTAAGAGTAGGATTGCAAATGATTATTTTCATTATCAATTAATCTGCAGATTATTTCATTGATTATTTCAATGATTATTTCCTCACATTTGAGAGGCTGGAGTAAATGTTTTTTTCTTAAAAAATGAATAAAATGATTAATCGATTATCAAAATAATTTTTCTGTCAATCAATCAGTCAGTCAATACAATCAGTCAGACTAATCGTTGCAGTAAGTCACTTGATAAATGAGTCTTATTGCTCACACACACAGATTTTTACTCTGTGTGGTACTTAAAGTTGGTACTTTAGAGGCTTCTTGATGCGTGATAAAGAAGGACCCTGACAGAAAAGTCTGGCACTAGTCTGTGAACAGTCAAAACATCTTTTATATGAAAGTTAAGAATACACGCAATGAGGAAAACAGACAGCAGAGCAGCTCTGGGTGAGAAAGGCCTGATGAATGGAGAGGCAAAAACAGGCTGAGGCACCATGAAGCTTCCCTCTTTCAACTTTCCAGATACTGAGCTTTTACTTTTCTTGTGGCCATGGTAACCGCTGAATCTACAGGCATAACAAAAGCAGTTGAACTCTTTTGTGTCCCATGAGAGCTCCCAGGCTCGGCTAATTAAAAAGGGGAATGAACATTCCTGGCTTTCCCTCTCTCTCTCTCTGTGTGTGTGTGTGTGTGTGTTTGAGAAAAGCAGGGAGAGATCACTGAGTTCAAACCTTATACTAGATATTTGGGTTTCTTTCAAACACTTTATTTTTAACCTCCACTGTCTGGGCTTCATAAGCAGTGTATAAACTAGAAAGAAAACTAGTTGATTACTCGATTAATCATTTGAGTTATTTGCTGGTTCCAGTTTCTAAAATGTGAGGATTTGCTGCTTTTTCTGTTTTCATCATAAACTGTCTATATTTCTACTATCCTTATTAAATAAAGGCAAAAATGCCAAAAAAAACTGCAGCAGTTTGAACAGTTAGTGAATGACTTACAATATAATACAAAACAGTTGTATTCATACTTATTGTATCAATTGAAATAATAATTAACTATTTATAATTATTAGTTTCTGAGGTTAGAAATACTTCACAGTATAAATAAATCACACTTTGCTTATACATGTATACAACTACTTTAGAGTGTTTTTTAAACCGTCTATTAAGTTTCTATATGCTACTTATAAATGCTAAATATGGGGGGTTAACATAAAGGGAAACATTATGACTAAATATGTTTCTTCAGTCGGAGTCGGTGGAAAAATATTAATCAGAAACTCAAATGTCACACTCTCTCCATGCATATTCAAACATGTTAATCACATTCTAGTTTACATGATAAATATGTTATAATATTTGAAATCCTTGATCCATAATTAGTGCACCAGCAGCATGAAGTTAGAAGTTTGTTAATTCTGTTAGATGTAGTAAAAGTCTGTCAAAGCAAAGCAAAGAGAACTTAGAAATGAAGCAAGGAAGCAAAGGGAGAGGTTAGCGTTCAGTCACATCTTCCATTTATTTTCAGTATCATTTTAGAAGACACTGGGAGGAGTTATTAAACAAAAAACAAACATAGGTAGCAGTTAGTGTTAATATGCACAGGTACCGTATTTTCAGAGACAAACGTTCTCTTACAATATTCGAAGAAATTGTACAGGTAACAGTCAGAGAGGAAAAAATACAACAAAGTTAAAAATTGCATGTAAGAAGCAAGCAGTTAAAGTGTTAATAGTTTTTAGTTTATATACACAACAGTCAACATGTTGACATACTGACTCATACACTGTAAACACATTGTACTGTACAAGACATAATCATTCAGTGGCTCAATGTAAATGATTGTTTGGTTAGTGTTGACATCATTCATCTAGTAGTCTGCTTCCGGTGAACTTTTGTAAAGTACTGCACTAAATAAGAAAAGGCTGGATTAAGAGATATTGTGTGTTTCAAAGTGCGTTGACTCTATCTCTGACAAGCAATAAGGGAAAGGAGAACAAGTGAGTTGATCTTTCTGTCGCTGCCACATCCTTTAAAAATCTTTCACTGCTAAAGGACTCCAAACACATGTTGGCAAATACAAGCAAGGGACTGTATGGGAATTATCAAGGTGGAAGGTCAACTTTGGTGAACACCAACCAACAATAGAAGGCTGTTTTGACAGTGCTGACCTTTGAGGGAACGTAAAGCCAGAGAGTCCAAAATGAAGGAAGCTATCAGAGCTTAATAGCTATGTAGCACTGTCCCTTTCTCTGTTGGAGTGTAAACTCCTCTACAAAAGGGCAATGAGTTGAATAAACTGTATGATCTTATTGTTCCATTAGCAAAGAAGCCAACAAGCTTGCTAAGTTACAGGTAATGCTATTAACTGACAGTTAGCAAGCTTGTTAGCTTGGAGAGCTTTTTTCCTCCTTCAGTAAAACTCTACTGATTGAAATAATGAGCAAACAAGAAAATAAAATGACAGAGGACATAGCAAGGACCTCAGAGAACTATAGTGACAAACATGTTCCCTGCTGGCTAGCATGTTAGCAGTTAGCTCTCCAGCTGCAATAGCTCACCAGCTAGCCCTGCAAGCAAAATATAAAGTTTAACCCCCCCCCATTCCCCACCAAAATAATTTGTGTACAGCCCCTTAAAAGGTATACAAAAAATCATGGCCTGCTTTGAGAAAGAAAATAGCACAAATACTTGGTGGCTCTCTGAAAAACTGTCTCTGGTCTTTGGTGTGAACTAAACCCCAACAGTCAATAGCAAAAGAAGGACAAGCTCCATCTTTGGGAAAAAAAAAATTCACCAACATTTTTCTTTAGGCTGATTTTGCCTCATAACATGTGAGCAACAATGTGGTCAGTCACAGACGAGGCTGTTCAATGCTTTGACTAACAGTCGTCTCCAGCACATTCTGGATCACTGTCATTTACTGTGAACTACGAAGGGGGTCAAATAAAAATAAACTTAGTTTTGGGCCACGGCTTAGCTGCCATGTTCATTGTCATCAAGCTTTTCGCAGAAACATTATCCAGCCAATGTAAGACAGCGGGAAAGGGGTGTTCAGTCTATTGATTTCTGTCATGAATGTCATTCCATGCACTTTTGTCATGATTTGGCAGTATATATATATATGATACGGATAGTAACATTATTCAACAATACTAAATGTCATATATTCAGATACACTGGGTACAGAAGTAAACAAAAGCAACAGGGCTTAGGAAGACCTGAGCAATAGCCACCCATGCACTATAACTGAAGAACAAATCTAATATAGGCCTAATTATATTACATAAACAAACATTTTAACATACAAATACTATACAGTAATACATGTAAGTGTGGTTTATCAAAAATGTCCACCTTCCACTGCAGTTTGTACTGCAAAATTACTCCAAGTGATTATAATATAATGAGACTGTGGAGTATTGGCTTGCTTTCTCATAATGAGAATATAATACTGGCACTGTGTGTGAGTGCTCAGCAAAATAAAATCTAACAAAATATATCCAGCTTAAAAAAATACCATCTGCATTGTTGTCAAACATAATACAAAAAATACAGATTATCTGTACTGAAATAATCATTGCACTATTGCTCTGGGATTTTTGTTATAAATAAAAAAAAGAAAATTCAAACCTATCATGAGAAAAAAAAAAGACGGTACAACGACATAGGCGCAAAAAGAAAATCCAAATCACTGTTGGTAAGAAAAAAGTGCATAATTTTGCTTTTAATTAAACATAAAAGCTTCACTTGATCAGTCTCTCAAATCGATTCAGAGAAATGACTCCATGATCATTTACTGCCAGTCACAGTTATCACAGCCTCACAGTTACCCCTCAATGACCGTTACAATTTAAAAGAAAGAGTGCTACCTCCACTGATCACATGTGCATGGACAACAGATCCTAAGGTAAGTAAAAAAAAAAAAGCACAGCCAGATCAGATTTAGTTGAGTGAATTGGCGGCACTACCCTGTACTCGTCAGTTTGGCATCATTCCCATACTCATCTGGGCTACAAATACTGTAAAGAGCTGTGAAGTGGGAGGGCTGGTTCCAGAAGTGTTTTACCCCCAATTCTGTATTTCCATCTAAATTTTTCTTTACACAGAATTACAAGACTCTTCTGAATAGTGTAACAATCTTACAGGTTCATGTTATGACCATCAGTTTGAATTATTTCTACGTTTCTGAGAAAACATGTCATTTTGATATGGTGAATGGCTCTTAAATACTACAATACCCATGAGCTTAGGCTGCTATTGCCATGGAGAAGAAGCCAGTTAGAGGTATTAACCAATTCAAAACACTTTGTCATTGCAGTTGGGGACAAAAGACGGCGCCATAGTTGCTGAATTCACCTTCAACTGGCCCAGACTTGAAACTTCCCTGCTCTGTGATTGGATGGTTCTTGCTGAAATGCACATTGGGAGTTGTAGTTAAATTATTATTATATTATTAAAGTTTTTATGTACACGGACTTTGACTCTATCATGGAACCAGATATTTTTCTCATCCAACTGTAACAGTCATGTAACACTGTCTAAGATAAAAATAAATGCGACTGTTACTTCTAGAACCAAGGGCGCCCAAAATATCTCCTCCCACTTAGCACTACAATAACAACACGATGAAATTAAACCTAGAACTGTTGGGACAAATGAGCTGTTGAAGAAGGTCTTTGGTTCAGAGCACCCTGTACCCTGTAAAACCTCCAGATAAAGGGCAAAGTTGGTCCCGGATACACTGCTGATGACTTTGTTGGTGGTCTACTGATTGCTGCTGTTCCCTGCCAGTGATTTCTCAAGTCTGCAGTGATCAGACTGATCGGACCTCACTACGCCCATCTACACTGATTTGTTTTTGTTTTTTTGGCAAAAGTTCGTCGCTCTAAATCTGACATCATTTAAAAAGGAGGTTAACACTGAGTTCATGTGTGATCCTGAGAGGGGAGCTGACTGCTGGTGGACTCTGGTTTCTGGTCTAATGTAGATAGACAGTGCTGGGGGGAGGAACACTAGAAATATTCTGGATATATCTGATGTAGAGATGAAGTTAATCTGGTGGTGAAAAGTCTGTTCTCGAGAGAACAAGTGGAGGAAACAAGTAGGAGCATCCCCAACAGGTCTCTCTCAGTCAGTCAAATGTCTCTTGGCACCCCCTGCACTGGTTTTACACTGTTTGTTTTTTGTTTTTTTAAACCTGACTGGGCTTTATTCTAGCACTCTGCTATATTGAGACAGATAAACTCCTGAATGCATTTCTTATACTGTTGCTCAGTGGGACTGCTGATTGGGTATTGACCTGGCTGTCCAAAGGGTCCCTCCGACTCCCGCATCTCCTCATTCATCCTGGCCAAACGCAGGCTGAAGAACAGAAGGAAAAACAAAGAGAGTGTTAAAAAGTCATCAAATCTGGAGAATTAAAAAAAAAAGGAAAAAAAAAAAAAAACTATGAGGGACGTATGTAAATTAACATACAGTGTGACTATATCTGCATTGGCTTGCTGTACAGCTATACTCAAAGGGTCCTGGCCATCTTCATCCCCGTCGTTCTGTGTAGCTCCTCTTTTGAGGAATAAACACACCTGCCTGGAAACACAAGGGAAACTGAGATCAATCACAGCAAACACATGAACAATCAGATTCTCAATTTCAAATGTGTGTGAGCCGTACGTCCAGCTGAGTGACAAAAAACCACTCTTACTTTTCTTCGATGAGGTTTGCTCATATGAGTGTTTGTAATATTCATCAAACTCTCTTAACTGCATAAACTTCTCAACTGCTGGTTCAGACTGTTGAATACCACCTATTTGTGACTGATGCTCCTAAAAACTGCCACATCAGGCCCCTCAGATTGTGGTTTAATTCACTAGGATGTTACCAAAGAGTAAAAAAAGAAGATGTTCACACTGCAGAATTGAGTCCTGTTGTCAGAAATCAGCAGAAAAAAAGATAACAAATTTAATCAAAGGACCCGGAACAATTCAAAAATATGAATCATGAAGTTAGATGTTAAATAAATGTCTTTCATTCTTTCATGACTAATGTAAGTGACATGATGGTCACAAGTGGACGTGATGGTCACAGAGACCTAGTCCACAGAAGGTGATGTTATCCTGTCTACAGAGGGATGCTACAAAGGATGTTTCTCCAGCGACCTGTGGACCCTGAAGCAGCTGTGAGAGAGTTTTCCTACTAAGAACTGTAATGTATGAGCCACAGTGCTGAAATATGTTATATTAAAAGTTAAAGTCAAAAACCCCAGTAAATTGGCAGCCACATTGATGATGATGAGGAGAACAGAATATTAATTTTGCATCAAGTTTCTCTATTGTAGTTGATTTGGGGGAGGTTTTATTTGGCCACTTGGGGGCAGGAGAGACAAGTCGTGAACATTGATGTATCATCATCTTTGTAAGTTGATATAGTGAACAGATGCTTATTTACACATCCAGCTGTTACAGAGCAACATTAACACACATTTAGAGTTATGTTTCAAGCCACCGGTCCGATATTGACTCTCCTTTACCTCCTCTTGGTCTTTACTAACCTCTGAGGGAAAATATCCGTCTCTTTAGCTGCTAAATGCTCCGCCATGTTCACCACCCAATTTCTAACCGACGCTGGTCCTGAGCAGGTAGTGTAGTTATATCATGAGAGCTCCGAGAGCGAACCATAACATTAACGCTGTGTGCCGGACCGATAAACAATGAGTTGACACTTGCTGTAAAGCTCCGTAAAGCAGAGAGTGATGCACTGTCCTTTGATACAATGCTCTTATAAAAATATTGATTACAGCTGCTTTAAGTCAAACAACTTATTTCACACAAACTCTCTTTAATCACTCCTATGGACAAATCTATTCGTACTAGTGGTTTTTATTGAAATGTGTGAGATGGTTACAAATGCTTCAAATGCAAGCTGGAGTAAACAGTTACTCTCTGCCTCATGACTCACCCTGTGTGTCCCAGATATGTGGCATGATGCAGCGGGCCCCTCCCTCGTGCGTCTCTTTGGTTGACGTCAGCAGCGTTCTGGAGCAGGAACTCGCAGGCGATCAGCGAACCCTGAAGTAAAGTATTTAAAATGAAAATTCACTCATTCCTAGCTGCTGACATTTATTAGACATTGTCACAGTCGTTTTCTCAGACTTGACATTATAACATGAGAAGTGCTCCTCATGTCTGACAATAATGTCGAAATTTGGTAGAATGCCCCTTTTAGTCTTTTTGATCTATCGCTAAATGAGATGCACAAATATGAAGCATCCTATTTAACTCGTATCTGGTGCCACTCACGCCAATCACTGCCTGTATGAGGGGCGTCTTCCCTTCATCCTCATCGCTGACCAAACTGACGTCGGCCCCGTGAGCGAGTGCTTCAGCCATGACAGGCAGGTTGCGGGCCTTTGAGGCCTTGTACAGCAGCGCGCCGGGATGAAGGTCCCTTATGTCCTCCGGGTCTGACGTCTCTGGCTCGGCCTCCAGCTCTGCTTCGCCACTTGAGTCCTCGGAGACCTCACACTCTGAGGATGGTGGAAAAGAGACTAATTATTTATGTAACAGCAACATTAACCTACACAATCTATCGAAAATGTATTCTTGCGGCTGCTGACAAAAAAACGTAGGTCTGTGCCTGTGTTTACAAGCAAATTCATTTCACATTTTATTCCCACAGTGTGGAAGATTCCTCTACTGGTACTCACCCTCCTCTGTGACGCTGTCCACCACTGAGCCAAACACCAGGATGTCTGTGCTGCCGTCTGTGCTGCCTCCCAACCCGCTGTCACTGCTTAGGCCTGCCGGACCAGGAGACGCCAGAACATGGACAAATTAATTACCGCTGTCTCTTTCAGGCTGATCGGTATTGTTTAAACGCTCACACAAGCTCACGCACTCTTCTACACAAGATTCAGGCATCTTATCCACATGCTGCTGTGTGGCTTTAATCTGGGTAGTAAGGCTATTAAAAGGTGCGAGTAGCGGCATGCAGCGGCCTGTGAAGGGTGAATGTACTGTGTTGCCAGACTAAATAGTGATAGTCGCTTACTTCGAGGCCCAGATCCTGTGTCAAAGTAAGAGAAGAGAGAGTCCAGCTCATCAGGACAAAACAGGGAGTCTCGTCTAAACTTAGCAGCAGCTGTGAGACAAACAGAAGTGAAAGTGACAAGTGAGGACGCCAGAAAAAAACCCAGAAACAAACATTTTTTGGACCATTACCTTGGCCTAGCTCCAGTTTGTGCCTCTCATGTATTAACATTAGATTCAAGTCACAGTGCTAAGCATCTGATTTTCATAAAAAGTACAAACAGGCAATTTTTGAAAACCGAGACTGAGCCGCTAGAAGGTTGTTTAACAACACTGAACTTTGTTCTGAAGGTACTGACACAATTCTCCAAGACTCTTCCAATTATCTGACTGAAAACAAAAATATTCCGTTCCTTGTGTAACATGTTTATCATGTCTGCGTGTTCAGTTATCACTCTGACAAGGACAATCTTTGAAGATGCCTTTGCAATCTGGCGCTAAAGGGTTTTAAAAGGGGCTATTTGTAACTTTTCTCTGTCGCTGAACGTGGCTTCGTGCCGGGAGCAGGCGGTAGTGGCTGTCCCTTGACAAGAGCTTCAGACATCGCTGTGTTTACAAGACAAGAGGTTAAAATACGCCCTCTGAGCAGCACTTCAGAGCACGTAGGAAGCTACAAGGAGTCGCTATCGGAAAGTGTTGAGACGGGCCGGGGCTAGCTGGTTAGCGTGCTAACTTCAGTAGAAGAAAATACGTGATAGAGACAAGAGTTTTCCACCGCTGGAGACAGCTCTTAGAGAGTTAAGGAACGAATTTTGATGATTAACTCACAATGTTTCTTCTAGACTGGTAATAAACATCTGTTAATGTTATGCTATGTAGCAATAGCAAAACTTACACATAGCTCCTTTAAAGTACCTTAATTGCCTTCAGTGTGTCACAGCCAGTGGTCAGTTATGATCAATGATCTTCTGTGTTTTTCAAAAACTGCTGACTACATATTTTTAGTAAACTCAGCTGTACTGATAATACATGAGTAGCACAAACAGAGGCTAAAATTAACATCTTAAACTAAAACAAATGAACTACTTCAGTAGACAGCTCTATTCTGAAGTGATACAAACAGATAGAGATCAGTTAAACTACCTGAGGAGAGGGTAGAAGGGGAGGTGCTTCCGGGCTCTTGTCGGTATCTTCGCCGTGTTTTGGATACTGTGGTTGCACTGTTGTGTCTCCGACACTTCTTTACACTCCACCGCCGGTCGGGCTTCCTCTCTCCGTTGATGAGTATCTCTGTGGAGCCCAGCTTCTTCAGGAATTTCTTTTCAACATACTTCGCCTTAATCCAAGCCTCTTTCTCCTGCCTGCAAGGGACCAAACCACATATGACAAATATTAGTGCCAAAAAAAAATAATAAAAGAGATCATTTTCATATAGTTTAGCTGTATTTTAGCTGTAATTCCTACCTTGAACTGGAGGGTAATGGTTTCTTCAGACCTTGTTCTTGGTATGAGCCTTCATAGATGTGGTTGATGACACTATTTCCAAGCTCACACATCAACTACAAGGAAAGACAAGAGACATGACATTAATGGCGTCCACACTTCGGCTGACTACTTGCTGAGAGTTTAATGAGAACGTTGATACCCACTTTCATATGCGTTCACAGAATATAAAGCTAGGAGACAATTAGCTTAGCTTAGCATAAACTTCTCAGCTAACTCTCATCGAGAAAGTGAATCGGAATATTTCTGAAAATGTCAAACTATTCCTTTAATGTATTAACAACAATAATGACTCAACAATAATAATAACTGCATCATTCTTGGTCCTATTCATCAGGACACTGTTGAGACAAACTACCTTTAATAATTCTGGTTCCCATGAGTCCAGTGTGAGTGAGCGAACCTTCGAACAGTGAACCCCAAGACTCCTGCAACAAAAACATATTTTGGGTTTAAAAAAATGGTGTTTATGTTCTATGGTCAAACAATTTGAAGGCAAAAGTAGAAGATTTTGACTTTGTTATGACTATGAGGCAGCAGATGGTTTCCAGCACAAGAATACAAAAGTAGAATATATTGTTCTAAGAAAATAGGAATTTTTCTACAAATGAATCATACACTATGGCCATGGATGGATTAGTGATCTGACAGGTCAGCGAGGCTCCGGGGCCTAGTCAATATTTCTTGTTTGACAGCCACAGAGCTCAATTAAAAGACAACACAACCACAATGACATGCAAAGTGATCCCAAGAAAAAATGACAAGAAAGAGACAAAAAATAACCACAAAGAGACATAAAACATGAAGAAACACAAAAAAGAGACACAAAATGAATATAAAGAGAATCAAAATGAACGCACAAAAAAAACACGAAACGACAAAAGAACCAAAACACCTACAAAAAGACATAACAATTACAAAGAGACATAAAATGACTACAACGAGAGCCAAAAAGATTACAAACATGCAAAATGACCACAAAACAAAAAACACAAAACGACCACAAACAGACACAATACAACTACAAAGAGATGTGAAATTATCCATAAAAAGAGACAAAATGACTGTAAAGAGACACAAAACAACCACAAAGAGAGATAAAATGACTAAGAAGAGCTACAAATTACCCCCAAAAGAGACACAAAATGACAACAAAGATGCAAAATAACAAAGAAACACAAAACGACTACAAAGCAACATAAAACTATCACCTCAAAAAGATACAAAATGATCATAAAGAGACACAAAAGGGCATGTCATTTGTAGTAGTTTTGTGTCACTTTCATTCTGGGTGTCTTGCTTCTATATAGAAGGGGTGGGGGGAGCCTTTTACTTGTCTGTGCCCAGGGGCCAATTTTCTTATAATCCATCCATGACTGTGGTGTTGTATGGTGACCTGGTTTGAATGGCTGCAAGAAACTAAAATCACAAGAGTGTTATCCTGGGGGAAATGAGAGAAGCCGCTCCCAATGTCATGCAAATCGCCAAGTTCCACCAATGACGCTGTCTGGCATCCTGGCAACAATGGCACAGTAGAGAAAAAAAAGCTGATAGTATTTCTCCCTTTCGTTTGCCCTGCATTGTGACAAGAGGTCATGTCTGTTCTCACTGCGAGAAGAAGAGGCCAAAGAGACAACATGAATATTCAACAGGTGGGTACACACACACACACACACACACACACACACACACACACACACACACACACACACACACAAACACACACACACACAAACACATATATACAGGAATGGGGTTCATGATTACATAAGCACTGATAATTGCAATTAAAAATAACACACAACTCCTGAGGGGAATTTTTCCCACTGGGAGCTTGAAAATGAACCTCAGTGACACAACAATGTGATGTAACCGAACAAGAGCGTGGCGCACCGATCTGAGAGTGTGTTTATCTGCAGCAGGAATCTTCATTCAACAGCATTACATCAGATTCACCAGGAGCTGACAGTGAATTGAACTATTCAAGGACTTCTTCGCTGTGTGTGTCTCAGCTCTGTCTATTCATCTTCTCACTTCCCTCCCCTCAATGAAAGCTCTCAATCAAAGCCAGGCTGATCCAACGCGCAACATACTGCCCTTTAATCCCTTCAGCGGTGTGCGCGAGAACGTGCTCGGTGGCCTTGGCAGCATAAGGTAAGGCGCAGACAGTTGGCACCACTTCCTTTCTTCAGAGCCAGGAACCACACGGCACATGGCAGCGGAGGAGGAAGTTTCCAGATCCTTCTCTTTGAAGGAAAATTGCATTTTTCTCATTGTTACTTCACTTGGATGTTTGACCGTCACTGTGCTCTATGAAGATAGGTTCACCATCCAACCCACCCAGGGTCATAAACATCTCAAAGCACTTCAAGCAATCCAAGAAAGTGCATCTCAGAAAATATAAATACTAAAGCAATACATCAAAATATCAACAATACACTGTTTTAAACTGGAAGGGGAACTTGAAATGTTGTGCAAAAGCATCTTTAAAATGCATATATAGCCTGAAAAAGGTCACACAGGAAAATCTCCACACATGCATGCACATGCATTGCATTCATACTGGTGATTGTCGACACTATAAAGAGATAACATTAAGCTATATGTTTTGTAAATCTGAAGCATAAAGCTACAAAACGTCTTTATTCTTAGGATGAGGAGCCACTCCTCGATGTGGAGATCTGTAAGGTGCCACAACTTTTAACTAAATTTAAAACTTCCAGTGCATATACACTGAAGATTGACTTATTTTAATAGTTTATGGATTTTTAATGAGGGACAAGGAGAAAGCCAAGTATTTTTATATGTCCTGCAACATGTCTGGAGGGAATCTTTAAAAGTCCCGCTCCACTTAAAAATATGTTTCGCTTCCTGTTGCTTCACTTGGATGTTGTAGCTTCACTGTGCAGAGTGATGCATGTGCAGAGTTTGACACAGGAAGGCTGTTTTCAAGTTCTTCTATTGAAAGTGGAAAAATTTCTCTGTGGTCACCTACAATCTGAGCTGAAGGCGTGCACCTGCAAGCATGATATGTAACATCATCACTACTTCGGAGTCTAATCCTGGTCCAACAGGCAACTTACACTGATGTGATGTAGAAAGTTGAAGTCTCGAGTGCATAAACATCGATAATTGACTTACAGTGATGTAGGAGACATCCAGTAGTAAAAATGTTATTACATATTCGCATGTTTTTTTTCGGGGCTCTACCTGTGGATGCCGGAGCACTCGATACACAGCAGGATGCCCAGGTTGATGGAGGCCCAGCGGGGGTCGGCCTGGCTGCAGTCACAGCACTGCTCGTTCCCCGGCAGACACTGGATCCGCTGCAGGATGGTCTCCCCCCGGGCGCTGCGGTCCCGTGGCTCACTGGCTGAATCAATACTGCTGGTGGACGGGGAGGCAGTTCTGTCCAGATGCTAAATATAAACACATTGGATTGTAAAATACCATACCATGCTCTCCCTGTGTCTGCTTTGTTGTACCAGAATAGCTGGGGTTCATCATGTTAGGATATGTTTGTGTATAGTGTCCAGTAAGTGCTCAATGTAGTCAGATTTAGTCGATTTACATCAAATTAAACTATCTTGTTAATCAATTCTTTAAATTTGTTAATTTGTCATTTATTTTGTCATTTAGTAAACAATAAAAATAGAAAAGTCCAGCTTCTCAAATGTGAGCATTTGCTGCATCTCTTTGTGTCCTATGATAATGGTGTGAGAAATGGACATTTAAATTTAAATTAATTAATCAAGAAAATAATCAGCAGATTAATTGATAATGGAAATAACTGTTAGCTGCAGCCCTTGGTCAGTTACACACACAATGCAACAGAACGGTACAGTAGTGGAATGAGTATTCAGATCACTTACTTCACTAAAAGTAGCAAAGCCACTGCTTTATATACTTGAATCTATCACAATGCAGCATATTTTATAACCTGATCATTATGTTTTGGGTGTAAATTGTTCATCTGCAGTATCTAGTAACTATATTTGTCAAATAAATGTAGCAAGAAGTACAATACTTCCCTCTGAAATCTACTGAAATAGAAGTTAAGTAGCATAAATTGTAAAAACTTAAGTAAAGTAGATTGCACTTATTCGGTACTTGAGTAAATCTACTTAGTGCACCTCTGCAACAATACAATAAAACATCATAAACAAGCTATAAAATGTATCTGTGGTGGTGTAAGACCAAGAATTGTGACTTACCTCTATATAGTAGGTATCTGGGCTCTCTCTGTAGGCTGAAGCGATGCTCGCTTGAACTGCCTGAATCCAGGCTTGTCTTAGCTTCTCTGATTCAGCCTGAAGCATACAGCTCCTGCAAAACAAACAGTCTTGGTATTACCAAATCATAATGTCCCTCCTGACAGATCTACACACTGTAATACAGTGTAACATGCTTAACAAACAATACAGGTGTCCTATGTTAGCCTTAGATCTCCTTCAACAATAGAAATTAGTCAAGAATCATATTTGTGTATCTCAACATTTAAAACTTTACTAAAAGTAGAAATAACTCATTTTTAAGTAATAATAACAATTTTGCAGTTAATGTTAATGTGATGTGTAAGTTAATGTGATCAGTAAATGTTTTGGGTTCTGTGCTGAAATGAGATCTACGAGGTGCAGCAGATTTAGATCCATGTAGATTTAAATCTTACATGGATCCATGTTATCATGCAACACCAAGTAAAGCTGAGGCTGACGGGAATGTCATGAGTGAGTTTGCATGTATTTGGGTATAATGGCTCTTTAATGGACAGTTATCCAATGCACCAAATTTCACAGCAATCCAATCAATATTTAAGTCGAGATATTTTGCTCAAAACGATGAAATTTTCACTGGATAAGTGAAAGCTTTGACATGATGTTGGAGCTAGAAAGGATCACCAAAGCCATTTGGATTTATCCTCTGGGAAACATTAACATCTGCACCACATTTCATGACAATCCATCCAATAGTTGTTGCGATACTTCAGTTTGGACCGAAGCAAATGATGTTATTACGGCAGAGAGGGTGAGCCTTACTTGGAGGGGGATACGACCTCAAAGCAGAACCGCCTCTCGATGTCCTCACATGGTTTAACGGAGCACAGCCGGAGGTCTTCCACCACCACCGTCAGAGAATCCTGCAAACACACAATCAACTTCTCATTTTTCCACTTAGCAACAGCACAAATGCAACACAAACAGAAAACAGCTGTTCCTCCCTGATAAGACTTTTTTCTTTTTTTTTTTTTTTTCCTGGCAGTTGGAAGCCTACGAGTATCTGACCATTAGATATTTACACACACTGATTTCAAGCAGAGAATTGAAAATGACCTGAAAACCACACGGGGCTCTGCTCTCCGTCGAGCCTCAGATTGAGCGCTCACTTATCAGCAGAGATCTCTTGACTCGCAAACAACTGAATCGGTGAGCAAGTGAGTGATGATGGATTTCAGTGAAGATCACTGAAACCCCCCCATTACACTTAACCTCTTAGAGCCCAGGTAGCTGGAGGATATATGGACTTGCCTTGAGCTTCTTCTGATAGACCAGCTGACTGTTCTGTATGGAGAACCACCGTCTAGAGAGAGAAGGGGGGGGGGGATAAATAAAAACATATTTTAGATGGATATCCTTTTCGATGCTTGAGGGTCAGCCTGCAAAGGTTGAACCACTGTGGACACCAGTGATCGAGAACAGGTAAAAGCATCACTGAGTGAAGTGGCTTTTGCTCCGGGCGGCACAATATCCTGAACATGTGAAAGAGACAGGCTGACAGTGTACTATACATTTTTATACATAGTATATTACATTATTTTATATTTCTTATACCATGGATATTATATACTAAGTCATGGTATTCTCTTCCACTTATATTACATATACGCTATACTTCATAGCATTGTATTATAACTGCATAGAAACTATGGGTCTCTGCTTGGACAAAATCAAGACAGTCACACCCGTCCTTACTCCCTAATGTTGCCATGGTGTCAGTGAGTTAGCTGTGGGCTACAAGTGGCCCAATTTGTTTTTAAAGCTACATTTGTTTACATTTTGGCACCATTAAAAGTATACCCAATTGGCTATTAGCAGTTCCTGTTTGCAGTGTGTCCACGGATGCATGCACAACTGCCACTAGAATACTGTGATACTGCAGAAAACTTAGAAAATGTGAAGATTCGCAGGCAAGTTCTGGTGTTCCAAGGGGAATCCATTTTTCTGTGATTCCTGAGCAGATTTATGGACGTTATCAACGTTAATAACATCCAGTATTATTCACATATCATAGCTACAAGAACTGCATTACTGGATTTCTTTTTGCAACAGTTGCACAATTCACTTACATTGTTTTTTTCTTAATGTCATATCTCCCTAATTTCTTTAATTTATTACTTTGTTCTTTACTTTGTTTACATTTAAAAATATATTTCACCAAAATAGCTCTTTGTCTATTTTCTAACTCGTACTACTGTAACGTGAATTTTCCCTGGAGATCAATAAAGTCTTATCTTGTTTTTTTTCTGCGTATAAATACTGTGCATCGTGTGAAAATGAGTACAGTTGCTAATTCTTTGTAACCTCATCCAACGTCTATGGTAATGCTAATGCCACGTACGGTGCAGTTTTACCATCAGTTTACTATGTATACAGATGTTACAGTAAAGAGAGATTTTTGCCATGTTAGTTACCTGTTCCAGGTCTTAAAGGCATTGCTGGCCCTCTTGAACAGGTATCCCTCCATCACCACACCATTAGGAGCATCCACGTTGAACTCCACCTTAGAGTCGTCATACGAAAAGTCCTGAAAGAGCGGAGAGAGAGAGAGAGACGCGGCACCCGAAAATTAACTCCGACTGTCACAGAAAAAGTGAACACACCAGCTGACCGTTGGCGGGATGTTGTTCTAACCTTTTAATGGTCAAACAGGAAACAAAACACTTCTCCCCTCTCTGTAGTGAAGAGGTTTGCATGTGCGCTGTTCCTGGAATACCAGTGCTATTCGATGTGCATTGTACTGTACATACAGTCCCTAAACCGACCAAATCATCAGACATTGTGCGATGATGCAGAAGCGGTCACGTGTGAGTCCTTGTATGCATGTGGAGTGGAGCTGTGGAGTTGCATGCCATCTTCCTGTGTGGCACACAGGGGCATTTCATAACTCAACAGATGTGAGTATGACGCACATTATTACATAAACAGAGTGATTCATATGAAATTACCCTCTAACCTCTTCATGACTTACAGCATGACACCCAACACTTTCATACTAGCCAGCAGAAAGTAGTACACAGGTATTAAGGGCTTAGGCCAGAGTAAATTAAAGGCTTCAGGAAGCAGGAAAATCATCATTTAAACATCAGTGTTTTGATGTTTCATTTGAGGGAAGACAAATATGACACAGTGTGTCCTCAGACTTCGAGTACACAACATCCTACAAGTAATGTAATATGCAGCGGGGACAGAATATTAACTTATCCAAAATTGAATTTCAACTTTGCGTGCATGCGTCTCCGAGAAGAGACCAAACACAGCCCTCCCCAGAATACATGAAAGCGTCTGCTGGAGCGACCCATATAAGAAACAACCTTCACTGACTCTGTTTCATAAGAGGGTCTGTGAACCCGCAGCAGCCCTGAGCACACCATCATCTACTCACTGCGTGTCTGAATAATAGAACGACTTACTGCTCTCCATATATCACCATTTTTAACTTGTATGCATATGAAACCAGGGTCGAAATCCCGCACACAGACGGCACTGCGTTTACTGGAGGAGACATGTTTCTGTCGCAGACAACTGTCAGGCATCAATTTTACAACGGGAAACAACACATCATCACATGAAGCCACAGGTTGTAACCAAATCTGAACTAAATCTCAAAGACTTGAGACAATTACTAGCTTACAAAAACCAGTCAAACAACACATGTCAGAAACCGAAAGGAGAAAAAACACATTTGTGATTTTTATCTACAAAAGAAGTGGCTCAAAAAAGGAGTAGGGGAGGCAATAACCTGTCCACATTTTATAACTAAACTAGGAATAGCTTTAAACCTTTGGAAGAAAAAACAAATCACACAGCCATTAATGAAGAAAAGGACAATATAATCAATTACATAATAGTTTTACATGACGCAGAATATTAAGTATATTGCCATAAGTGTGCAGGGTATCAGCCTTTTCTCCACATGCTTGCATTTTCCATCAGTGTGCATTAGATAATGCTTATTTCTGCAGTTAAACACACATAGCAGATACATCACTGAGTGTTATGGCTGGGATTTGTTTTTTAAAATTCTGATTGTAATGAGAGTGCGCTGAGAAAAAGTAATGACAGGGATTAAGAGAGAGCCAGAGATAAAGGGAGTGAGTGAGAGACCTACTCTTGCTTTGCAAAGCTAGAAATCTCTAAAGTCAAGACAAAGAAATCTGAGAGGATCATTTAATGTTACAATAATTACATGTATAATAACTACAGTACGAGCAGCAACAAACAAGCCAATGTAATGCAAATCAACCCACCAAACTGTGGTCCCACCGGCAAAAGATCTTCATTTTCAGACGTTTACTGTGTTCCAACAACATTGAAAAGCAAAAAATAAATAAAAAAAAGGCAAATAAAAAGCAATAAAAAGGCTCCTAAAAACCAGAACTCTCAGAGCAGAAACATGTCTTCACTCTCTGAGGGCTGCAGCTCTCACGGCGCAGTGTGTCGCTGCAGCACGGTGCGTAATTCCAACACTGACATGTGTGCCCTGCGCTACAGCCACCTGCCTGCCACCCTGTGAGCCTCAGGATTAGGACTAATTACCATACAGCTGCCAATATATCCGCGGCAGGGTGCTGTGTGGAAGAATAGCGGACTACACTACACAGCACTGTAGCCGCTCTTGACCCAGAGACGATCACACTGCTTTGACGCTCAAGTTGTGTGGGTCTGCTTCAGTTTTTACAACTCCCTGAACACACCTCCCTTTGCTGAAGAAGGTGGGAGTTTCAGTCCCGTGTTGACCCAGAGGGAATCTGTCTGGCAGGCAGCCAAGATCACTAAACAAACACAACTTTAGGTCACAGTGACCATCTACACTCCACAACAGCTCTCACAACCAAAATCCCCTGCAGTGCAACTTTCTTAAATCTGTGAGGAATCAAGCCGGCTTCAGCTTACCTTCAGCTGTCTGAAGCCTTTGATTTCTGAATACAGCACATGACAAACACTGAACAAGATGTGCACTGGGTGGTACTCTGCAATCTCTCGAGCCCACAACAAAGATCATCTATTTTTAATGACGCAACGTCACACAGACAGAAACCGAACGTCGGTGAATTATTGAACGAGCGGGGAAACAGAGAAATGTTACAAGCACTACAAGTAAGTTGTGGTGGAGCAGCAGCGCAGACAAACAGGAAACAGACCGGGACACCGCATGATGCAGACAACATGTCCTGATGCTTCATCCACCTGCTGCTGCTGCTGCTGCTCTACGTAGGGCGATGATGCAGAGCTACAACGTCAAATGGTGAGCCCAGTTGGTAGCACTGATTACTCAATCTGCTGTGATGTGCTTGTTTATTGTCTCTAAGGTCCTCCCGTGTCTCATTATTACTACAGTCTGAGAGCTCTAAGACTGGCTCTGTGCCGTACATCTGCTGGGCCATCTTAAGCTCATCCTCAACACACCTGCTCGACTTCACTGCAAAGTTACCCAAGGCTACAACATCTCTCAAATCTTTTTAAATTTTTTTTTTTATAAATACTATCCAGCCATGAAAAACACTCCACAATCTTCTGTTGTGTGAATGTGAAGGAAATCGCCACAACAACAAAACAAAGAGCCCAAACTGTGGTGATCAGACGGGGCTCAAGTTAATGCTTTTAATTAAAAAATGAGATTAAAATGAGAGTCCTCTGGAGCAAATGTTAACACAGATCAGTGGCTAATCGAATGCCTGACAGCACTATTGTGAGAAGCCCTCCCTCTGGAGACAGTTCTCTCCATGTTCAGCTGGGGGAAAAAAAGAAAAAAAGCTTTCTCTGAATCCTTAGGAACTTCACTGACCCCTCTAATGAGCTCTGGTAGAACACAAAAGGGATGTTGAGAGGTTCAAAAAGCCAGCGCCCGAGACAAGAAAAAAAAAAACATGTGACATTTCAGTCTTTGGCGTCTGATGAACTCATCTAATAAAAAGGCCCTGGGCTGAAACGTCATGTGTTAATGAATAAATGGAGCTATCTTTGTCTACACAGAAAGTGTTGTAACGCCTCTGTCCCTCCTTTAAACAGAGAGGACTAACTTGTGGGGTAGCTTTTATTTTGAAAATCTTTCAAAAATTTGAACTTTGTTTTAACAAAGCGGCTACAAAAAATAAAGTAATGTGTAAATACTCATTTGACAAATATTCTTTTTCTGACTTTGGAGCTGCAGTCACTTCACAAAAAGAGGCAGAAAGCTGCTGCTGGAGTTTCCACTAAGACCAGCAAAGTGGATCATATCAGTCCAGTTTCAGATCTTTACACTGGTTTTCTATTTTTCAAAGAAATGATTTTAAAATACTGTTGTTGGTTTGTAAAGCACTGAATGGTTTCAGGCCAGAATACATTTCTGATCTGCTGCTCTATTATGAACCGTCCCGACCCCTCAGATCGTCCGGGGACCGTTTCTTTTTCCCCAGAGTCAAAACTAAACACAGAGAAGATGTCCCATATCTGGAACAAACTCCCAGAAAACTCTCAGTTCTTTTAAATCAGTGCTTCAGACTTTTTCTGTTTGTCACTGCCTTTAATTTGTCCCATTTTGGATGATTTATTCCTGTCTCCCACTGCACTGTTATTCTCAAGATTATTATACATGTTTTATTCTATTGTAGCATGTTTTTTTATCTTCTATTCGACTCTTTTGAATCTTATTCAAATTTCTTTTTATAGTGCTTGTGTTTCTTAATATCTTCATGTATTTTACGTCTTGTTATATAAAGTTACTATACAAATAAATTTGCCTAATTGCTTAATTGTTTATGCTTTATATATTATATAACAGTAGCCTGCGTCTATTTAGGTTTCTAGAGTTTGTATAAGCTATTTCCATACAATCTTTATTTATTGCTTAATGGAACATCAGCAGATTAATTGCTCATGTAAAAAATCTTTAGTTTTAGCCCTAAATTTTATTAAAAGTTTTTTTTTATTTTTTTAAAATTTATTCTTACATTTAGAAGCGATTACAACGATTAGATATGGATTGAAACAAAATTGAATCCGAAATTACTTTAGTCAAAAATAATAGAGAATAGAATAGAGAATAGAGAATTAGTGGTTTTGGACTTTAGGTCAAACAAAACACGGCATTGGAAGAGTCACCTTGTGCTGTACGTTGTTGTGATGGACATTTGTCACAGTTTTTTTTTTATGTTTTACGCACTAAGCAATTAATTGATGAATCTAGAAAATAACTGGCAGATTAATCGATATTGACAATGATCATTAGCTGCAGCCCTACTTACATATGTCTACATATTTCTTTTTGCAGGTGCCATCTATGTCTCCTGGATATTTACATCTGTGATGTTGTGGTTTCATGCTTTGTTGCCTGATGTAGAAGCTTGTTGATGATCATAAAAAGCAAAATATTTAATCATTATTTCATTACAACATCTATCTGGAGCATGAGGCAGTAAAAATAAATCCAGCCACGCACAGCGGCTTGGAGCATGTAGCGCTGAACCAGTGATGTAAACATAGGGATATAGAATAGCAGGCAGTAGCCGACTGCCTTCGACAGGACTTCTCCATTAAATCTGTGGTTAAAAATGAATGGCGCTGGCATTTAGATGCTTTTGCTGTTCTGTGTGCCCCAGCCAGCAATAGTGACAGTCCACAGGTGGAGCACTTTAACTCCCTTTCTGCTCCCCTGGTTTTTTTTTTTTTTTTTTTTGCTTGTACTGAGTGTACGGGCTGCTCCTTTGTCCTGGGCAAGTTTACACAAGGCTTATTGCACATGCTTGATGTGACAAGGAAGAAAAGAGACAAGGAAAAAAAAAAAAAGGGAAGGAGAAAAGAATAACAACATATAGGCCGGTCATACTGTTCTAAAAGCAGCAGAGTCAAAGAAGGGGAATATAAAACAAGATGCAGTGATATTCTACAGTTTTTGGCGTGAAAACATCTAATATCTCATTTAATATTTTCAGATTCGGAGTGTTTCCACATCACTTATGATGCATTTAGAGTAAAATAACATGAAAAAGCAAAAACAGAAGCTGACTGACCTATTTTTGTGTCAATCTTGGCCAACAATTACACTCTTATCCATTTTAGGACACTGCACTTTCGTGGTGATGTAACAGACAGTTTCTATACAGGCCGCTCTAACTAAGTTCAGTGTTTCTAATTGTTCTGTATAAATGATTCAGGACGCACGTCAGCTTGCCCTCAAGGCTTCTGGAGTGCGACTACAGCTGAGGAAAACTTCAAAGGGGTTTGCTAATGTTCTGCACTAACACTGTGGGCTACGCTGCACCCTCCCACTGCACTAAACCATAGATGTGTTTCAAGTAAAAACGAAAATTCAGATGGGAAAAATAAAAATAGAGGAGTACTCACCTGCATGAGGGTCTGAGAGGAGATGGTGGCATTGGGAACATGCGGACAAGAAGAAAGGAGAATACAGCATTAGAACCACCAAAAGCAGACTGGGTTAAATGGGGATAATACAGTAATCTTTTAGGTTGAATGCACCTCTCCTTATCCTCTTTACCGGTCCCCCCAGTAATGAAGCTGCCCATCACACTTCAGCAACAAAACACCTTACCAACCGACTATAACACCACAATATTTTCATGCATATTTCAATGTGGCTTCTTCACCTTTGTGACCTTGTATATTTACTACTACTACAGATCCCTTGGTGATGGATGGTGTATGAAGCTTAGTGTCTAACAGCTCTGGCAAAAACAGATCAATAACTGGCCCCACATGTGACCCAGCCCTTCCCCGTGGCTCTATCCACAGCACAGACCGCGGCGCCCGGAGGAAGAGCGCTGACCGGAGCTGTCTGACAGATGGTCACTGATCCTGGGGTACGGAGGAGCCAGACACTGGCCCACTGAAAATAAAGGGTTTTTTTTTTTTTTGAATTATTAAAGAAGGAGATGGCAGACAAGGAGTGCACCCAACATTTATGGATTTGATTATTTGGAACATCAAAGTGTGATCGCAGAGCCTGTTTAAATGTGTAAAAATAGGAGTAAAAAATTCTAGTGTAATATGGTGTGGATCGATAAAGTAATAAGGGCGTTATCATTACCAATTAAATTAAGTGTGATTAAGAGTCGTCAGCTATGATAGTGAGACTGTACCTCTACAGCAATGGTTTGAGCTAAAGGCTAACATCAGCTTGCTGACATACTCACAATGACAATGCTAGCATGTTAATTTTAAGATAGCACTGCTACTGTTAGCGAGGTAATCTTACAAATATCTTGACAACTGTTAAATAGATTGCAGTGAAATTTTGTGCAGAGATTCATGGTCCCCACAGGAAGAACACTACTGACTTTGGTAATCCCCTGACTTTTCCTCTAGCACCACCAAGAGGTTGACGTTTGTGGTTCAGAGTGAAATATTTTGACAACTATTCACTGGATTTCCATGAAATTTACGAAAGATATTCAAGGTCCCCAGAGGATACATTTTAATGATTTCTAATGGTGATCCTATGCATTTTTATTTAGCGCCAACATGATTTTGTTTGTCAAATACTTTTATTCATAGCCAAACAACGACAAAGCTAAAGACATTCCCTTCAGCCTCAGCACTGGCATTGAGGTGTGTCTTCTTCACCATCTGAAATTTCTCAAACCAGAGAATTTGACAGGATCCTTAAATGTGGTTTTTAACATCTGAGTAATTGCGTGTTTTATTTTAATAGATATAATGTCACATTTTCAAGAGAGGTTAGTTTACTGCAAGTCTGTTTTTGTCATGATTGTAGTTTTCATTCATCTTGAAGGGAACCCAATTCCACAGCAATCCAACAAATATTTGAGATGTGTCTCTAAAAACCACACGTGAACTGACTCATCAGAGTTAGTAGGATTCCTCCTCCAGGGAACATGAATGTCTGTACAAAATTTCATATCAATCAATCCAGTAGTTGTTGAGATATTTGACAAATCCTCAACAAACCATAAGATCAGCACTTTAATGGACTAAGAACACAGTGAGCTCCCGCTTACAGTAGTCAATGTGCTGACAGTTGCCATCTACAGCAGACAACAGTGGGATTAATATCTCCTTAAAAACACTTAAATCCACCTGGTTTAATGCTTAAATCAATGCCTGGACTTTGTTAGAGAGATTAATCAAACACTTCCCAGCTGCCCAGGTCTAATCCCTCCCCAGTCACAACAGATGCACTGGGCCAAGTGGCAGACTGGATCTCGGAGGTGTGATGTGAGCACATTCACACCCTGTTAGCTTCTTGCTACAGCTCAGTGTCAACCTGTCAACCTCTCACACAAAAGGAAACTTCTTCAGGGACGAACGCATGTGTACGATTTCGTGCAAGGAAATATCAGAGATAAACGTCAAAGAGTTTAGTTCTTGAATCCAGGCTTTACAAGTTGTGTGAAGTGCTGAAGAAAAACAGTCCAATCTAAGCCTGCACACTGATATAAAAAAAAAAAAAGTAGAAGAGGGTCCTCACATGTAAAAGTTGTACTGATGATGGTCCTATGAATGAAACATTCATTTTTTTGTCACTTTTTGCACATGTACTAAATTCTTTTTGCAGCGCAAGAGCCCCTTGTATTTCTTTGTGGTCAGTAAGTGGCTGTTTTCTGGTATGAGAAAGAAATACTGAAGCCATGTCAGGTTTCTGCAGGGTTGTCCAATTAAAAGGTAAGGCTTTCTAAGAAAACCAAATAATACCTGTTTCATAATCAAACAAAATATGAAGGTTTGATGGAAAACCTGCAGAATCATTTATTATCATATCACATTTAGAATAGAGTATCCCCCTGCAGTATATAACAGTAACACCTAAACATTTAATTAATTAAATTAACATTACTTGGACCCAGATAAATGGCAGAAAATTAATAGATGGATTAACCAATAAAAATGACTGATTTGATCAATGTAAAACCTCTTTACACCTTCTACGGCAATTTTTTGAGGATTGAATTAAATGTTTTACGACTTCTCATCATCTGCAGACACCCTGCGTATATTTGGTAAAATAGGAACTCACCCTCTGCTGAATGGTGGCATGTTTATGCTCCATTTCCCTCTTCTCCATGGCTGAATCAATCACCAGCTGATCCAGCTGATTAAAAAAAAAACACAAAAAAAACATAAAGTAAAAAACAAAACAAAAACAGGTTCAGTTTCGCATCAGAGACATTCAGCCAAAGGTGCACCAAGTCAAACTCTTCATTTAGCAGTGAAATAATCCTAAACACATAAAGCATTACAGTGGGTAAAGGTGATGTCAGAGCTGCAGTGATGCAGAGTAGCTGACTGTAACACTTTCCACTTGCAAACACAGGCTAAGCCTCCAATGACAGTGTTAGGTCAGTGTTTGGTAATGAGGCATTGATTCAGTTCTCCTGCAGCAGTCAACCTGCTGTGGCAAACAAGTTGGCCCACGATAACATGTGCTCCAAACAGCTCTAATGGAGCCTTTTTTTAGTAAGTCACAAATGAAGTGCATGCAGAGAGGAGGCTTTTTTTTATGAATAAAGTAGACCCAAAACCCAACCATGAAGCTATTGTATCGCAATGTTTCAATCATCAAGTGGAAATTTAATGGACAAATTATGCAATTGACATTTGTCGATAGTTCAAATGAGGATCAAACAAATTCTAATTCAGACAATGAGGCTGGGTGGATAATGCAACCCAGCTTTGGGGGGGGGGGCGCAGAAGATGCTCCTCTCACCTCAGCAGCCAGTTTCTTCATGTACGGGTCGATCTCATCCAGCAGGTTGTAGCCCTGCTGGAACAGCGAGTACTGGGCGTGCATGAATGACAGCATCTGGGTGGGACAGGAGCAGTGGTTTTTCAAACATTATGAAGTTTTATGACACAGTCGGATGACTCTGTATTTATATTATAAAAGATGCAGATGTTAGTTAAGGGAGCAATGCACGTGTCTGAGTCGACTTACTGCATCTAGGATCTCAAATTTCTTCTTCGCCTGGAGGACATTGATCTGCAGGAAAAAAAAAAAAAAAAAAAAGAAGTATTTCTAAATGAGCATTAGATAGTCTGGATCCAGTGGCTATTGAGAAAACTCCCTCTAGTGGACAATATCCTGCTTTGTCTAATTGTGACATTGTTAACCCTTATTTCATTGTGTGGGGAAGAAGCGGAAGGTGGAAAAAAAAAAAACCTGCCTGCCTGACGTGGATGGGTGACCTCTCTCTGTGTGACTGCAACACTAAATGCAGACTTGTTTCTTTCATACTTAATGCGACAACAATGACCCCTGCTGTTAAAGCCATTTGCATTGTATTTCCTATCTGATGCAAACCTAAATGACATTTTGTGCTACATTTAAGAGGTCGCTTATACAAACAGCGCATCTCCCCACAGCTTTGACCTTTCCCGCCTTGAGACACTTTCAGTTAAGACTCAAAAGGGTCAGATGTCTGAGAGCAGTGAGAGACGGGTGCCAGCAGACAAAAATCAAGAAGGGAAAGAGGGCACGGCCATCGTGGCGATCACACTGAATCAGTCTCTTTGTTCCCGGCGGCAGTCTCGGGTAGGAGGCTTACAACTTGTAGGGCAAAATAAACCCATGCTGCATATGAACAGAGCGGAGAATGTGTCACATAGATCAGAAGGACGGATACAGACGTCGCTGCAGGCTGAAGGGCCTCGTCGTGGTCATTCCTCGATTGTACAGACGAGATTAGTCCGGCTAGCAGGAATGTAAACGAATACAAGTACAGTACCAGATTGTTCCCTCTAACTTGACTGCAACTATTTGCCACAAAAGGTCACACCACTTCTTCTTGAGAGTTATAGCTGATGATGAGTGCAACACGTATCATAAACTCTCTGCTGCAATCAGTGTTTAGAATCTGGACCATCACTCGTTACAGTGGTAGCAAGACGATCCAGGATAAAAATCCATTCAGAAATCATATAAAGCTGACAACCTTTAAGATAGGCCATTGATTCTGTAAAAAATCTGAGTTCAGTGTTTTAAAAAAAATGGGGTGTAATGGAGATACTGTTTCTGAATGACCTCAGACCTACTTTGACATTTCATGTTAGTATTGTTTTTGCAATTCCAACTTGAACAATTTTTCTAAAGGTTTTATTATTTGGCTATTTTGGGGAAGTTGGATAAAATATGTAGCCTGTGAGCAGCTAACCTAATACATGTACTGTATGTATAAAGAGCGTAAAGTGCAGTTAAAAACATAAATATAAAATAAAGCCATCTCCACAGTTTCTAATAACCATTGCACTACAGGAAGGAGGAGGAAACATCAGGCCATAGATCTGAGTCATTTCTCTGACCTGTAGAACGTAATCCAAGGCGAGGTGTCGGAAGCACTTGCGGGTGATGCTGAGCGTGCTGGTGGCTTCCTCGACCTCGTGAGGCTTGTTCCTCGGCGCCTGGGCGTTCTTCACCTGCGCTATTTCCATATCCTCACGCACCCTGTCAAAGTGCTTCTTGGTCTCCTTGAACTTCCGAACATCCCTGACGGACACAGAGGAGCAAAAATTGAAGTACAGCCACTGAATCAAAAGCTTCATTCAGGAGACAGGGGAATTACAGAGTTTGAATATTTACAGGAGTCAAACCGTGAAGTCAATGTTTCTGTTAGAAATAATCTGCTTTAGCTACATATTTCATGATATGTCTGTGAAAAAAATACCTAGGCTGCAAAAGGTTGCACTCTGTTTAATATTTAAAAACACCAAAAAGGTTTTCAGGGGTTAAAAGGTCTACCTCTGCTCTTGTGGAGGTTGTGAACTTTGCCTTTTTCTACCTTTGCTGAATTTTTTAATACACGTAAAAGTTCTGCAGGGACGCCTGACTCAAGCATCGTGAATTGTAGGTTTACTCACTCTTTCACAAAGTTGTGCAACTGCTGCTTCACAGACCTCTGAGCTTGATCAAACAGTATCTGAAACAGACGGAAAGAAGAAATTAGTATTTTTGAAACACATTCAGACTTTGTACACCTGGAGTTGAAAGCCATGGGCAAAAACCTTTATATGTTGCTGGTTACCAGCTCAAGGCTATTTATCAATATATCAATCATTTAGAGCTAGAACAATTAGTCAATTGACAGAAAATTAATCATTAACCTTTTTTTTTTTTTTTAACTGTGATGAGCATTTTTCACCATTTTCTGATCTTTTACAGACAAAACTATTAACAGATCGATCAAGACAATAAGTAATAGCTGCAGCCTTACTCAAATAAAATGATGATCTTTACAATTTCTGTTTACACAGAATTGTGATTGTAAAACTATTAAACTAATGATCAATTATACACCAATTTGTGTCATTATATAATCAACACACTACTGAGTTAACTTAACGCAGTTCCCACAAGAAGAAAACCACTAGCTCCCCAATCATATCTAAGACAATGGTGTTTCTATATTGATATCAGTTTTTATTATTTAGACTAATAATGGTTGCACAGTAATAATCCACTAATAATCCACTCAAATTACTATTGGTTACCAGTTGGTAATAATTCAATATCTGTACTGAATATAATTTTGTATTACTAAAACTAAATTTATGACAGTTGTTAAAACTTGAGCTTGTTGTTTAACACTAACTCAGAATAACCATATTTCAGTTTGAGTGAATTACCCAGCAGTAATATAAAGTATAACACTAAGAGCCATTGGTACTGTGTTAAGTTTGATGAAAATTAGCTTTAAGTCAACTCTGGTACAAGATGCTTCAAACTTAAGTATTGTATAGGTTTAAAATTACTGATACATTAATATGTACATCACTTTAATGTTGCAACTGGTAAAGGGGGAGCTGGTTTACAATTCTTTGTTTTAATTAATAATTAATTAATTAATAATTCTTTCTTATCTTACCTTATATTAGCCTATAACAATACATCATAATTCATATATTAATAATTTTTTTTTGTTGTTTTTAAAAAAAAGTATAAAGGAGGAGAAACAGAAATTGTACCGTTCTATAGTAAATGGTCTCACTACCACTGCAAAAAATGTAATGAATAAGAACTGAATGTATGATGTCTGCACAACCTTATGAAAAGGCAACAAGGTGCTGTCAAACCACCTGCCTGTATTTTAACCAACAGAGGGCGACAAAGCACAACTTTTTTTTTTTTTTGCATGGTGCATTCAAATGATGCAAATCAGCCCCTTAATGCCTGTTGGGATGAATGGAAGAAGAATGTCACTCAGACTCGAACACAGCCGCTCTAACACAATAACACACTGCCTTTAGTTAGGTGTTTTACATTCAAGATCCCTCCTCTCTTTCACCCTCTGAGCACATCGTCTGTGATTGCTCCTGCCATCCCGCTGCTGCTGCTGCTGCTAAATAGGTCACTCGGGCAGAGAGGGAGAGAGGAAGTGAGTGGGAGGGAGGAGTTTTTGGTTCAATGTGACACTGCAGAGTCGGCATCCAATGCAGGGTACAAACCCTCTCAGACAAATTGTCGTTGCCCATGTCCTGTCACCACAGCTGAGCAGCTACATTGGTTGAAGGGTTTGCGTCCTCATCCGGCCTGAATAATTGGATAAACAACTGTGTGTGTGTGGATTAGAAGATTTGAGTTAGCAAGGCCCAATAAAACTAGGCTTATGGGTGTTTTAACTCAGGGATTACAGGAGCTGATGATGAGTGAGACACTTCACTATTGTTGCCGCTGTAGGCGGTGAACGGAGTCAGCCACTAACCAGCATTAAAAATATAAATATAGATGACTTTAATTTGACCAGATTTAAAAATAAAAATGTGGTTCAAATGGAAGTGGTCGGTTTTTCAAGTATTCCTGCCACCAACTCTAAAACGGAAGTGTTTGTTTTGATCATGGGTTCAGGCCTCATTTTATTGCTCTATAAACTCGCTGGGTCTTAATATGCGTGAAAGTGGAACAACAAAGAAGCTCTTCCATCCTGTTTGTTGCTTTGTGGTTTCTGTTCTTACATCACAAAACATCCACTTTACTGTATGTGATTAACGAACAAAGGAATTCCTCTGATACTGCACCAGATTAGACTTTTCCAACTCTCTAACAGGTGAACCGATGTTCCTAGTCGAGTAAATAAACTGCTTTTAATGGCTTCTTGCAAAGTGTCAAGTTCAAAAGACGCCCTGATTGATTGCAGATCACCAGTGTCCGACTGTGCATGTGTGGTCAATCTGTTTCCCTGGAAACACTTTAACAAGCTCTCAGAAAAGTGCAAGTGAGAATTGGAAGTTTGTGCCATCGAGGGCTCCCACAAAAAGGCAGCGACTCAAAACACAAGATCAGCAGGGCAGCGGTGCGCAGGGGCCATAAACACTTGAGTGTAAGATTAGATTGGGAATTGTGCAGACAGGACTGAGGTGGATGGTGGCTCAATGTAAACCACAGTCTTTACATGTTGTTAAGTCAACAAGTGCACCGCCATGATGTTTGTGAGTGAGTAGTGGCAGGAAAGCCGCTGAGACTTCCTGGCTCTGGGGTTAGTGGAGCCCATAGCATTCCTGAGCTGCTTTGTGGCAATTTGACACCCTACTCTCATTGGACCAAGATTTCACAGGTTGTTTCTGCGTGATGTGAACCAACCCGACTGAAAGCGAGGAAGGCGTGTGCTGCCTACAGATATACAATATGCCTAAAGGGATATTATGGTTTGATCAGGATAATAATGTAGCGTTCTGGGGATGGTGATGTTGGTGTTTGGTCTATCAGTCTGACGGTGTTAAGATTTCTGAAATATCTTTGCAAATACTCGATGGATTGCTATAAAATTTGTTTTTATGATGCCCAGAAGTTCATTTCTAACACTACTACAAATTATGAATGATATAATTTACATTTAACATGAACATATCATCATTATCAAATATTAATCTAAGAACGCTATATACATGAATACATGCATACTACACATAACCACCATTTCATAGAGTAACCTACTGCATTACATGTTCAATATTTATTCCAGCACTGTTTATACTACGCATCTATTTAATTACCTACATGTATGTACATCTACAGGTCAATGAAGATTTATGTTCAACGCTGCTTTTGGACATGTATGTAAAAAAAAAAAAAAAAAAAAAAGGTTTTTGAGTCATAGTCATATGCGGTCCAAACAAGCTGCTCCCATTACTCTGCTAGTGACTATGACCAACAAGCTAACAGGACAGGGTTAGCTAGTCGCCCCAATTTATATTTGATTCAATAAATATCACAAGAATTGAAGTTATATTTTACAGAAACAGAAAAACGAAGGATTTCGTAAGAACTGACTTTAACTTTGGTAGATGCTCAAAATTAGCATGTTAGATGCTTGGAACATTAGCTTCACATACTGGTATGCTACAAATTAGAATGTTAACATGCTAACTGTTAGTAAGTTGTCATGCTTCTGTTACCAGTAAGCTTATTACAGATTCACGAGGCTCCTATTGTGGCAACAGACATTCAGTTGTGTTAAAATAATGGATGAAATCACGCTCTGTTTGGACTTGAAATCTTCTCACCAATTACTTGACTATCATAACAATTAGTCTCATTTTTGACAGACGGATCAACAAAAACAACAGAGCGGGAATGTGGGCGAACAAAGACAACGCTGTCAAACATGTTGTAAGTAAGAAAGGACTATCTGGCACTTGCCTGATATCTCAGCTAAAGAATGAGACACCATCACAATGGACTACTGTCCTGACTGTCAGTTCGCTAATTTCCCTCTCATTCCACTAGCATGTTGGGACGCAGACTGATCTAATGACATCGATCGAGCAATTATTTTTTGCCCTGTTGGTGCACAAGAGTAAGCACACAACTTACTTAAAGCACCTTTGTTAAATTGAAGAGAAACTGTCATAGCGTAGCAGGAGAAACTGTTGTTTTTAGACTTTTTCCAGGAAGGTAGCCTACTTTAATAATCCAGCCCTCCAACAAAAATGTTTGGTCCCCTGACGAGAGCTGAAGTTACAAAATTCTAAGTGATCTTTCACAAATCTAGCGTAGATTACAAAATAAATAAAGTCTTATGTAAATCCCAAAAATGTATTTTCTAATATATACTACTGCCCCAACATGAAGAGATGGAATTCATTGTACTGAAATGAAGTGTAACTTATGAGATGAGTAACACAACTAAGAAACATAAAATAATATAATTTGGCCCATTTGACAAGAACAGATTTGTGTCAACATCAGGTACTATTGTTGTTTTTCATTTAACCATAAATGAGGCAGGCCACTGTCTGTGCAACAGCCAATCAGGTACATTTCCAGCCTCATAGTGAAACACATCAATATAATGTTATTATGTTTAAATTATGTTTTTAGCCAAATGAGTGTTAACGCAAACTGCTGATACTCCCACACTCACAAACATACTAATTACGACATGTGCCCTCACAGATACAGTCCTAAAACTGTTAAATAATCAATGCAATTAAAGGAAATAAACACACAATACACACAAAATAGAGGCATGTGGCCTCCCACTCTTCAAAAACAATGCTGAAAAACTGGCCCAAGGTTGAAACTAATACTGACACCTGCTCTAGGATTTATTACTCTGCTTATTTTACATCTAAATATAGACCTGTGGTTCCCAAACTTTTTCTGTCATGCCCCCCCTTCAGAAGCCAAAAAACAGCTCACACGCAAACCTCACAATTTTTTCAAAGACTAAGCTGCAATATATCTAAGGGCAAAAGTCCATGTAACATTAAAATAACATGGAATATCTCACATTAAGCCCCTATTATTAATTAATCTATAGTGAGATGAATGTGTCCTCGTCCAAACAGTGGAGATCAAAATTGCTATTTATATTCATATTGTTAAAGGGCTTTAAGGCTGATCTTACCATAGCACAACTACTGAATGAGCAGCTGTCAATATGACGTATACTGAGGAACACAATTACAACCGTGTTCAGTTCCATATAGGAGCGTTTAGTTCATTTAGTTAAGTACATTTTTACTTTCTAAACAAACAATGCTGGTGCAGTCTGGAAGGAATGATAAGGACTGCAGTCGTAGACAAAAAAAAAAAGCCTTCCTATTGTGTCTCTTTGTTTTCCCGTTTCCAAATATAACTGAAAGACACTAGTGTTGGCGTCCCACATGGGAATTCACTCACTCATTCAGTATGTAGAGCTGGCTGCACTTGGACATTTATTCTATTTAAAGGCATTCACATCCAGAAAGTCATACTGTATGTAACTGAAAATGTATTTCAGAATCACATGTAACCTAAATTATTTCCTCCACTCGTTCATATTTTCTCCCCATCTACCTACTGTAACCCCCCCTCCCCCCTCTCAGTTCCCCTATGTATAAACCATGCATTAAGACTCGGCAGCTCAGTCTTGGCAGCTCAGATGTTAGTCTCACTTTGCATCTCTGTGTCAGTCTCCCCTCATTTCTAATGGATGCTCAGAGAGTCAAACATAAGTCAATAATTTATTCAGAGTATTCATATGGAGTTTCATGCTTGAATTAAACAGAGACTGTCAAAATGTTGGCCTGATTCTGCTGATGCTTCCGCCCATCTGAAAGAAGACTTGATTGTGAAATCTTTTGAAAAGGGAAAAGACGCACGGGTCTCGGAGCTCGAGACGAAGGAGCTACACTTGGCTTGCGTTTGCCATTCGTACAAACAGAGCCTGTTTGTTCTGTTGTGTGGTAATAGACTGGCAAGGGAGCCAAGCTATCAGGAAATGGAGGGAAGCAAGGGCCAAGACTCTTTTCTACTTTTCTTGGCTCTGTGCGCTCGGTTGTCTCAGCTCTCGTCCATGTGCTGTAAACGCTCAAACATATGTGCTGTTTGTGTTTATTTTGCGGGGTTTTAAAAGGCATCTGAGCGTGCGTTTCGACAAGGGCAGTTGGCACTCAGAGGTCCAGTTTGTACCAGTGCCATTTAATATTCTTGAGTGTCTGCCGCGTAGAACGAAAACAGTGGCAGCTGCACGGCAAAACATGCACGCAGAGGGACATCCGTCACAAGAAGCAGATACAACCATCATCATCTCTTATTCATCGGAGCGCTGCTGGAGTCCCTCGGCTGCAGGGGGAGCTGCACAGTTAAATGCACGTGGTGTCTTTCCTGGTTAAAAGATGAACATGTATATGATGTCAACAGCAAATGTCACAGCTTCAGCAAATGAAACTCTTTAATGTACGCGCATCACGAAGCTCTGCTCACTGTGTTAAGGGCACAGCGTTGCAAATATTATCATTTCTGTGAATCTTACATCTCAGGGGAATCCCTCTTATCGCTTCAGTCTCACACAACTCTTACACACATACACACACACACACCTGTTCTCCTTTTACATCAAAGCTACAAAGAAAACCTTTGAGAGCCAATCATATTAATGTCCAGTCAGACTCCTGGCTCTAATGGACTGGATGGAGGCAGAGGGGGAAAGAGGAGGCTGAAACCCCAGCTGAGCTTACAGTGGAAGAGGCCAGCTGATCCCAGGCCAAACCACGCTCTGTTGTGGTCTCTAAAGTGTGACACACTGAACCAGACAAACAGGGACTCAAGTCAGTGTGACACTGACGGAGCGATGAAGTCTGCTTCTGACTGGAGCTGGCAAGGGCTGCAAACAGAGAAGGAGCATGTAATCCTAAAACTACCAAAAGCTCTGAGATGAAAACATTCAGAGAGGTAGAGCAAAACAAAAGGAACCAGATTATGCATTTCAGTAAAACAACACCACAATATACAGCCTCAAAAATGACCCTCATATTGAATCAACACCTCACTGACAGCGTAAAGAAAACTCAACAATACAACCTTCACAAAAGCAGCATTTTTTGCATATTAATGACATTATATCATAAAGGATTTTTGTCCACTCCAGCTCCCAAATATCATTAGTGTGTTTTAAGGACTGCTGATTCCCCATAATATACATTTTCCTACAGAACCAGCCAGAAAGACTTCTGAGATTACGTTTTGTACCAAGTCGAAGTCGAAAGTAGAATTTTAATTAACTGTTATGGAGAACTTAAAACTCAGTTGCCAGTCGGTAAGCCTAGTTAAAACTAATGCAATCTAATAGAACAACTCTCCAATAAATCAAATCATAATGTGAAAGTTATAATATTTGATTTTTGTTTGAATTGTTTTCGAGAGACATTGATTCAATGTTATGATCATTTTGGAGGATGTAGATTGTTTAATTACTTTACGTTATACTGAGAGGTGTTTCGAGGATTTATCACTCCTGATCGATAGGCAGTAAATGGGCTGTTAATGGAGCCTTTCAGGTTGCTTCCAGGCATGAACAAATAACCCCATAAACACCACAAATTGCTGCTTTTATACTTCAGTAAACATACTCTAACTGGTGAGATTTAGAGGTGTTGCTAGGTTGATTTTGTCTCCTGGATATAGCTTCAAATTTCATGGACATCATGAAAGTGGCATCACACACACACATATATTAGATACTGTAAGAGCACACTATTGTATGGTCACATGCTATCGACAGTCACGAACATACATACTGTACACATGACTGGTCATATGTAACACACTCTGTGACATGTCAAGGTTATACAGGGTTACTACTGTCCAGCGGCTAAAGCTAATCCACGTCAGCCTGACCGACCCGAGCTATTAACCCTCCATTTGTATCGCTAAACTCCCAGTACCAACAGACTGGGAGCGAACGGGGTGGAGGGGTTTGCAATGATGCATCTTTGTTTCAGCTTCAGGAAGGAATGTAATCCACACACAGACTCACACACACACACACACACACACACACACACACACACACACACACACACACACTGCACTTTACGGCATCGTCAAGTACGCAACGGGTTCAAGCTGATGGACTTCAAAGGCTCTTGGAGGGGCAGAATGGGGGCAGGGGGTCAGGAGCCTTGGAGGCGGGGAGGGGAAACAACACAGCAGTGAAACACAAGCTCGGTCTAATGTCAGGGGGAAGATATGGATAATATAAAATACTGTAACAAAGATGAGTGTAAGGAAAATATAGATAACTGCATTTAAAAACAGAAATGGACTTTACTGCACCACGTTCTAATAGGGCACCCTTTATAAAAGAGTTATAAAGGTGTACATTTTTTTTTTTGGTTTTCAGGTTGTGAACACTGCCTGTAAGTAGCATTCAAAAACATTTAATACATGGATTATAACACATTATAATGTAGTTTCTATTGGACACTGTGTGTGTAACTTTGCCTGTGTATACTGTGTATATTATTGTACATGAGCAAACAGGGTATAAGTTTTTCTTTGTATGAAGATTTATATGCTGCATATAAATAATAAACAGGGGGTTAAAGTATTTATAGAGAAGAGCTGCAGACAATCTGGACCAAAAGCCATTTATTATCAACATATTTACTCTTATAACTGCATGTGATCATTAAAACCCTTCATTAGTTACCTATTAACATCTAAAACTGCAGAATTGATTGGTAAGTGAGAAACCCATGAACATTTATTAATGGGTCGTCAACATTTATAACTGAATTATTATCATCAAGAAAAGCCAATGGGATCTTTCACAACCTGTCAGCTCCAAATTTGTTCTTCTTAATGGCTTTTAACAGATCCATAAAGCATCAATAAATACTAATTAACATACCATTTGTAACAGTTGCCGGTAACATCTGTACTGCACCATATGAGGGGGAATTCCTCTTGTTTAAATCCATTTTAGGAACACAGAGTTGACCCAGTTGCCATTTTTACCCTCTGTGGTACCGAGATTTGATAAAGCTCTGATTGACAGGTACAGCACAGACAGTTGCACAGCGCCAGACGCAGATGTAATGATGTGTGAAAGAAGTGATCCATGTGGGATCAGTTCAAACACCGCTCAGCCTGACCCTCTGCATCATACTAAAGGGAATATAGGGCCCTAGTGAGGCCTTAAATGCCAGTTAATGTTTAGCATTTCAAGACTGGATGAAATCATGGTGCTGGTGTGTCTCAATCTATTGTATGTGGAGCATATGGGGACAGTCTGGAGAGCAGGCTGACTTACCATGTGGTAGTTGATGATCTCCTGGAGGCTTTCCCCGCACTTTTCCAGGCACTCCTGCAAAGAAAATAACACATAACTTTCTTTAACTTCTAGACAATACATAAAGGGGTATTCTCATAACTGCAGCTGCATTTGCATTTGAGAAGAAAATAAAAGCTGTCACAAACTAGAACCAAAATTTATTTGAATTCTAAGTGGGAGAAAATGAAAAGATCTGCAACGCTACAATTAAGTCAAAGCTGGTTAATGTCACTGAGGTGGACTTTTAAGCTCTAGAGGATTTTTTCCCTTGAACTTTGTACGGGAAAAGGAACTGTAATTGCAGGGCTGATTCAGATCTTTTTATTTTTTTTTTTCAATTTTTTATTTTTTTTTTTTACAATGGAAACTACAAATATGAACAAGACTTTAATAAGAAACTCACAATTAGTCATACAGCTGAGGCCAAGAAGGCTTTTAATAGCACTTAATGTCAGCAGCAATGAAAACAGTCTAAGACGCTGGTGCCGTGAGTTGAGCCAGAAGTAAGTTTCCAGACTCGATCTGATCCTCACTTACTAATCTGTTAGTAATCAAGTTTACTCACACACACAAAAACACACACATACAGTACAGAGCTGTAAGGCTAACACCCAAAGGGGGAGGAAAGTCCCCATCCCTGGAGACATTTACTGCAACAGTCCCCTCCACTAAATTACAGAAAAATATGACAAAGACAGACAATAAAGCCACAATAAAGACGACAATGGATCAAACAGAGGCCAGATGAAATGATCTGGACGCATTCCCAGCTCATCAGAAACTCACCGAGATCATCTCATCCTTCTTGCACTGCTGGGACAGATCCCGGATGCCGTTGACAAAGAGTTTGTTGGCGCTCACATACGCCTTCCCCGCTTCAATCATCCCGCTGCATAGCTTCACCAGCTGTGGAGAGATAGAGACACGTTTGGAGAGGATAAACGGAGGTATGGGAGGGCTTTGCAGGGTGGTAGGTGCCATTAAGGACAATGTCAATCATGCCCTGAGCACATTTGTGGGCAACTTAGTGTGAAAATTGACGTTTGTGTGAAAATCAAAAAAGAACGTTTTTGTTAATCTGATAGACGGATACGTGCTGAAACCAGCATATAGGCCTATGTGGGAACCATTATGATGGAAGAAAAAAAATATTTTGTCTCCAGGAGAGCAAGACTCAGTAAAAGCTCATCAGATGGGCAGCTGTAACTTCAGCTACAGCTCTTTTGAGCCCCGTTTATTTGCCTATGCTTCCTATATTCAGGTCTGCTGAATTAACTATTAGCAGTTGCTGTTTGCAATCTGGGTTACTGGATTATTTTGATACTGGAGAAAACTTAAAAATATGATGATTCTCAGATGACTCAATATGTGTTTCATGTCTGCGTTTTAAGATTTGACCGAGTTATGACTCATTCTCTTTTGGCTTTGTCCTGTAAAATGTCCATGTCTACCACATATATATTTCAACAGTAAAAAAAAAAAAAAAAGATATATAAAATGTGAAATAATAAATCAGTAGGCTTCATCCTGGCTACAGCCCTGAATGTTGATTGTGATTATATTGTCTCTTTATATGTAGATTTCTCTATTTCACCGAGGCTTGGTGAAATAGAAATCAGCTCAATACGAGGCTCCATGTGACTCTCACTGAGGTACAATCAACACTTTAGGGCAGCAGCTTTTAGGGCTCAACATCATATGCTCAGCCACAACACTCAAACTTTTGTCTCAACATAAAAAATCTCCACGTTTTTTTTAACCACACATGGACAGGGATGCATGTCACACAGATGCATGTTTGTTGTCTAGAAACCACCTTTGGTAACATAAGCTAGTGGGTGCGTTGTCAGGTGGGGTCCATATGACGCAAGAGCACGAAAAAGCTATTAATGTTATCCAGGACTGGAGAATTGATAACAGACGCTGATAATTCAGCGTGTATGTTTTGTGTACGACTTGTATCTCGACCACATACTGTAACGTATTAAAGTGAATATGCTTCATTTTCTCTGCAACTGTCAGCAAAATTTGCCAAAGTCTGCTTTGTTTAGCTTCTACTTTCATGAAAGGAAAATTAATTTCTTCTTATTTTTCACCCTGTGTTCTGTTGCCAGGCTTTCTGTTTTCCCAGCACTGTTTTTTATCCAGCAAAGTCCCACTTCCTCCCATCTGTTAACCAGACATAGTGTAAGACTGAGCTGCTCTGTCCTGTAGTCTAAGGGAAGTGTTTTGACATTTTAGGAAATGCGCTTATTAGTTTTTTTTTTTGTCAAGAGTTAGATGAGAAGATTGATGTGAAGTCAGTTGAATATGAAAGACATAATTAGCTGAGCTAAGCATAGCTTGCCTTGCTACAGAACAGTAATGGGTTTTGGTATTTGTCCATACAACACAGCTAGAAAGCAAAAGCTACTGTAAAAGTGAAGTAGACCATTTGGCTAAATGACATGCTGATGTTTAACAGGTACAAAGTTTACTGTTTTCACAATCTTAGTTCAGTGTGTTAGCATGCTTACATTTGCTAATTAGCAGTAAGCACAAACTAAATTTGGACATAAAGTAAAGGACAGGATGAATTTAAAAATTTGACCTGATGATAAGAAGAAGTCAAGGGATCCCAACACTCAAAGTCATAAATGTGAACCCGGTGGCGGTGCTAGCAGAAAGGTCAGGGGGGTCAACAAAGTCATTAGGCTTCATCCTCTGGAGGCCATAAATGTCTGTAGAAAAATTGATGGCAATACATTCAAACGTTGTGGAGATATGCCTTGAGCCACACTGCTAACACGGCTAAAAATGACCATTTTAAAGCATTCATTATGTAATGTGAGTGCCCTCCTAATTACATGTTACTAATGAGGTTCAAGTAGCAAAGAATAAAGCATTGGAAATCTATATCAGGCAATCAATTGAAACCTGGATCTTTATTTTTTTCTTCTTCCCCCTTTTAATTTTTTAATTTTAAACTGCGCAACTGGGTTTGATTAGAATCATTCATGCAGAGCACAGACGTTTTTAAATGATCCCAGAACTGCAGAGGTTTTCAATTTCAGATGCTAAAGTGAGTGAGTGAGTAAAAGTGAAATTCTCTCCAGTGTTTTAAAGACACAGTCTCATGAAGGTACAAAAAGAGAACAGTTTGATTATGAATATTTCATTTTCCGATTAAAAGTGCCCTGGATCCCTTCTGGTTGGGAATATAACTTTAGTGGTTTCCAACACTGATGGCAGCTAAAGAAGAAGTGCCTGCCTGACTAATCCTGGCTCTCCCTGACACATGCTGTAATTCAAAGTCAAAAGGAGCAGATGGACCTGTGACATGAGCATTACAGGCAAAGCATCTGGCTGCCTCATTACAGGGCAACTGGATGATTTGAAAGCCAGCGTGATGCTAATGTTTTCAGTCAATCCCATCTTACACTGCTGCCACATCACACTTCCTGGGCTGAACTGTTCAACAGGACTGAGCGACACTGCACTGCCCATTATGTGAAGTGTAGACCGCCAGCAGTCGAGGCTAGCAATGTTAGCTATGTGGGATTAGGCACTGCAGAGTAATATCATGTTGAAAGTGAGCAGCTGAGTGTACTGGGCAAGCTGTGTCTAATGTCTGTTGCAGCGAGATATACTGTGACAGAATGTGGAGAACGACATACCGACATTCCTCCTTTTGAGTAATTTTTTATTCAGTGCTGTCATATGGGCCAACGATCAGTGTGTGAAATACCCTGGGGTGGGGGCTGGGGTTCAGACCAGCACTTTCACCAAATATGTCCAGAACTGGCTACTGGTATAGGCTTTAATGGCAAAAGCTCAGAGCACCAGGGTACTGTAAGTGCACATAATGTCTGTGGGAAATAAATAAATAACCATAACGCATGCAGAACGTGAGGTACAAGGACCCTCCATGTTTTTAATTAGTTTGTTCACTTATGTTTCTGCCCGAGCTGATTCTCTCTCTCTCTCTCTCTCTCTCTCTCTCTCAGCAGAGACGAACGCTCAGACCTCTACAAAACAGCTGGCACAGCATGGATACCTTCATTAATTATGTAAATCTAGCCACACAGCACCAAGATGGTAATAGACCTTTTAGTACACACTGGTGACCCGTTCCAAAAAAGATTTCATGTTGATAGTGATTAGTCCACTTTTTTTTTTTTTTACTTTCAAATCTTCAACCCCCATTTATGACCTACTTGTTTCTATAGTAAAATAACAACCGACATTTTGCATATCAACTGTTTACATGTATTGGACTTAGATGAGGCTTTTCAAATATGCAGAGGAGCAGAGCAAAGTTTAAATCTATAAATATGCATATTTGCATATCCATAACCAGCAGTGCTTGTATGCCAACAGATGTGGCACTAGGTTATTTTTGTAACCCCGTCAAAAGATTTTGGTTCTAAGGTTCCTTGAGGTGGTGTTTATTGGTGTTCGAGACCCCTGAGAACACTTCATTTCACACACTGCCAAATACAAGGGGTCTGGAAAACCCATTACTCAAATCTGATGTTGATGTGTTTGTCACTATGTGCGCAAAACAAAAACACCTCTTTACAAAAACAAAAGTCACAGATGTAAATCTACAATACAGAGTTCTAACTCCGATCATTACAGAACATGAAGAACACATAAATCATTACTGTGCTGCTTCAAGTGTGTCAAACTTGTGGCCACACCTCAGCGATCAGTGATGTCACTGATGCCTTCAGGTGTATGCTTTAAAAACCAGATTTGCACAGAGCTGCAGCCAATGTGGCAGGATTTATATTCCATATAAATTCAGCACAAAAAAAGGAGACAGAGGTGACGTCACCTGGACTGATCTCAACTGACGCTTTGCAGAGAAAGAAAACAGGCACGCACCGAGAGCGTGGGCTGGATACAAATGGACGAGATGTTGCACTGTCTCTGCCAAAAAGTTAGACAAAGATGTATTTTAGAAGAAAGCTATTTTTCATCTATACAAGACTTTTCAAAATGAAGTTATTAAGTGTTTTACAGGAAGCACCCTCTTGTGTGAAATTTTGCTGGAGGTTGTTCCAACATGCAAACCTCAAGCAGTCGCATTTTCACAGCTCCACCCAGTGAAAATCGGTGTCACATCTACCGCTTGCTCCACATTTCGTTGCGGTTTTCACTGCGCTTGCCTCGAAGCAACATGTGGTTTACCAGCAAGCACCATCACTAGTCAGGTTTCCATTCAAGTGCAGCACAAATCTTAGCAGAATTTCCAAAACATTAGCGGAAGAAGAAGATTTGAATGAATTAATGAACGTTTCCAACAACTAGCACAAACCGAATATGAGGAGTCGGGGGGGATCACAACACACAGGTGGAGAGAGCATGAAGAAAATATGATGTTTGTTTCATGTATTAATTTGTCTCCTCATTGCTCCACATACATGTAGAGCTGATGTTTGCTTTGGTGGAAGCTTAAGTGAAAAATCACATGCTTCAGATATGTCATGATATATTCGCTAATCAATGCACTTTCAGCAAAACACAAACCTTTCCACCTCGCCGTCAGTGTCATATTTTGACACTTTATTTCTGGAATTTCCTCTCAAGTTTTTTAATGTGCAAACTGAAACTACTAATGAAAACAGGTGGATGGAAGGTGTAGCGAGAATTATAACATGCTTGACAAAAGGCCGGCTGATGGTCAGAAGGTAGAGCGGGTCGTCAATCAGAAGATCGGTGGCTCCTCCAGTCTGCGTGTCCAAGTGTCCTTGGGCAAGATACTTAACCCCAAATTACCCCTGATGGCTGTTCCATCAGTGTACCAATGTGTGAACAGGTGAATGTGACAAGTATTGTAAAGCGCTTTGAGTGGTTGATGAGACAAGAAAAGCACTGCATACATTGAGCAATGCGCCAATAATTTCCTGTCCTGTTATTTAGTGTTGGTTTGCTCCTTAACATATTCTAATACAATACAAAAACAATCTGCCTCTGAGAAAATACTCCTACAGGACCTGACGGCACGACTGGCAGTGACAATAGCAAAACGTCTTACCTTATCTAGTTTTGCCTCGATCTCCACAACCTCCGTCTCCACCTCATCAATGTTTGCCCTGAAAAACGAAAGCAAAGGGAAGCTGTTAGTTTATGTGTGTTAACGTTGTTGACTGTAAATCCATTGAGATCATTCGTCTCATTGGAAAACAGCCGTTCTGCAATCTGTTCCTGATTTCCCACGTTCTCAGAAAGCACGAGGAGCACACCATAAATCTGTGAATGACAGAAGCCAAAGCCAGACATGTTTCGCTGCTCAGCGACAGGCGAGAGTCTGGGTGTACTTTACGTGGGTGAGACGCCGTCCTGGTGGGAGCGGTTTTGCTCTGTCAAAACAAAGTGGCAGACGAGGTCTCCTACGCGGTGCGGGGAACATGGCTGTCTGGCTCATCCCACAAGCCCCCAATCCACCTACCCACTGTCAACACCGCCGCCACCAATACCACACCCAAATGCATCTGGAGCCCCGAACCAAGTGGGAGAGGTGTGATTTACAGCCAGAGGCTAACAGCTGGATGATGTAGCTCCTAAAAAAAAAAGCCCCACACTCTGTAGCTTCTCCACAAATGACGTCAGGAGGCAGGATGTGGATCGTGAACACTGTCTTGATGAATTAATTTCTATCTACTATCAAATATGTGCAATTTGCTGTTGCAGTTTAGTTGCATATGTACAGAATTTCAGGGAGACAGAGTCGGAGAGGCGGGGGTTTTTTCCGACGCTATCCCACAAACATTTCTGAAGAGGTATCCTGGCACTTTTCTCTTAAAGCTAGTTTTCCATTTGATATCAAGGAGATAGCATTACAATTGGCAGCTCTACAAACACAGGAGCTCTGTGATGAGAGTATCCGTGGCATATATCAGCCATGCCTGGCAGGATATAAAACTTGTATCTCCGTCTCATCTCTTTCCCTCTGGCCTTGTGTGGATTAGCCTGCTTGGCCGGGCTGCGGAGAGCGCAGGGAACGAAGGATGGCACGTGCGCGCGCCCTCCTCTCCTCCCCCACACGCCTCTTACTCCCACCATCCCCTTTCATATGGAAGTGAGGGAGTGGAGGGAGAAACACTCCAGAGAGGAAATATCTGTCAAAAGCTCCAGCTCACGCAGAATGGAAAACATACATTACCTAAATAATCAATACCATATTATTCCACATGTGGACACGTGTTGTTGTAACCTCAACTGATCTCCTACCGAACAGCCTCCAGCCAACCACACCCAGGGATAATCTTTGCAGTGAGCAAAGCTGTTTTCATTGCTGATGTCATTTTTGAAACTGCCCTTTTCATGTCATAATGCGGAGCTTAGCGGGCTCTAGTTTTCCAGGAGGATTGTTCCCTCACGCCTCTCAGCAGGAGCCAGGCTGATCTTGAAACTTTTATTTATTTATTTATTTATTTATTTTTTTTCCCCAAACGTCTACAGATGCTCAACATAGTTCATAAATTCTAACTGGCTACAAGCAGAGGCTTTCAGAGGCATTGATGAATATTCTCTAAAAGAAAAAAAAAGCACACTTTTATCTGCAGCGCTTTTGATATGATGAAAGTTCCTCTCAAACTACTGTAAAACTTGCAAATTATACTTTTAACATCCATTTTCCAAAGCACACCATCAGTGTTAAGATGTGGGCATCTAAAGCAGCTTTGAAATTTATTTCACGGTGGTATGAATATCAACTTGCACAGACATCAGATGCGCTTTAAACAGGGATTTAATCATATTAAACACTCTGTTACCTTTTTGTCTAAGTTACATTTTTAAATGTCTCCCTGTTGGTGCCTTAACATGTAACCTACTGCATTACTCACTCAGTATCTGTTCCAACAGCCTTACACTATTGTATTCTTGTTTACAATTTACACAAACTGTTTGACTTGTACTGAAAATAGACACTGGACCTTCTTGTTCATTATTGTTTCTTTAGATATTTATAGAAGCATCCATTTTTCCAGCTATTATAGTTCAATGTTTATGTTTATGTGTCTTCGCTCTGCTTTGCTGTCTTTGTTTTTAGCTGCATGTCTCTCCGTGTCTTCTTGAATTATTTTTGGACCTGTGTATAGGTGCACGGAGAGCAAAGAAAAAAACAAAAATTCTAATTCCTTGGATTTCTACACTTGGCCAATAAAGCTGGTTCTGATTCACACTGTCTTGAAAGGGACTGTGTGAAAATTATTGGGGATGGAGGTGGGGTCCGAAAAGGGGGGAGTTTATATAGGTTTTCTTTTTCTTGCCAAATGCAGAGGTGGGGGACAAAAACTGAATTCATCCCATTTCGTGGCAGCGAAAAAGGTCAAATCTCAAAGAATCTAAATGACAACAAAAAATATTAAAGGGATGACGCTGGGTTTCGACCATGCTTCTCCTGCACAGCGCTGCTCCTAATACACTGAACCAGCGTGGCTCATCATGGTGACAGCCCGGCTAGATGATCCAGATGTGCAGACTCTGGCTCGTGGGGCAGCTGCTCTCGCTGAACCCCCACCCCCAGGCTAGTAACCCCCACTGGCCTGTCTCACTGCACATGTCTCCCATAATGGATGCACACGGTGCCCTGGGCCCGTAGCCACGGCAACCATCTCGTAAGTGGGCCGCAGAGGTCCCCGATGTGCTTACGATTTGACCCTTATTCACACCACGGGGGGGGGGGGGGGGGGGGGGACGCTAAGTAGATAATAACATGACTCACAACAAGGCTACTGTGACAGGAGATGACCATCGCTGCACCATTAAAACCTCGTCAGGAGATTATTACACAGCAGTAAATCTACTGGTGCTTCACTTTTCGAGTAACTGACTCAAACGAACATGCAGTCGATGGTTGTTCTTAACGACTGATTGGGACCGGACAGCAACAACACAATAAGTTAAGAACTTGTCTCAGCAGATTGAGTTTGTACTCGCCTGTTAGTGTGCAGGATTAGTCTGGGATCATTTATCTGACATGGAACAGTGCAGTTAAGTAGCGGTGTAAAAACATAATAAACACTGCGATTGTGCTGAGCAAGCTGCAGCTCCGGTGGTTTCTGGCTGCTGACGCGGCGTCCAGAGGAACGGCTGAGGTGCTGTTTACTGGCCCAAAGTGGCAGAACAACCCTGTTTCTCTTCAGTTCATGGGCTGACTCAAGACTTAACTAGTTTCACATGATGCCGTGCTCAAGCCTTGAAATGGTGTAATGTAAAACAACATTCTGTCCATGCTGGCTTTATTTCGTGGTGAGTGAACTATGACTTTTAGAGTATCATCTCAAAGAAAACACTTCCATTATTCCAGGAAGCAGAGACAGAAAAAGTATTCAGACTCACTTAAACCTGCTTAGTTACACATCAGCAGTTAAAGAGCAACAACATATGAAATATTTGGTGTTATGCTTATGTCCATGTGATCAATGTAAGTCCAATATTCACTCTCCTTCTAGGTCTGTTTTTTGGTCTCCGCCATCTCTTAGTGCTGCTAAATGTTCCACAGAGTTCACCAGCTACTGTCTAACTGTCATTCTGCTGTGTGGTGATGAGCAGGTAATGCACAGTGGGTTTTAAGAGCTGCCTGCTGTGGCTGTAAACAATGTGTGAATTGTCACGTTGTCATTTGCTATGTAAAAATATTGATTACAGTCGCTTTAAGTAAAAGTTGGACTGTCATGTTTTAAAAATACTCAATTACAGGTAGAAGTCTTGCATTGAATTTTTTTTACTTAAAAAGTAAAAGTGCATATTATTAGCAAAACGTACTTAAAGCATGAAAGTAACAGGGTTTAAAATACAGAACAATGGGCCATATCACAGAAAACTCACATGTGCATTAATGTTTACATCGAATTCAAATTCTACATTTTGCTTCACTTAATTGATATTCACTGAATGAGGAAATAGAATTAACATTATTTTCTCTGTGTTGTTTTTACATGAGCTTCTGCAGCTGCAGCACAGCCCCCCTCTGAGGAGCAAACGCCGCTGTCCCTTGCAGCAAAAAGGAGAAATGAGTCAGGACAGGGTTAATAAATGTCACAGAGAGCAGTGATGAAATATGTAGTGAAATCCCCACAACCCTTCAGCACAGCAGAATATCCGTTTTGATAGGCAACTACCATTGTTTCCATTAGTGCCAGCGTCATGTTTGTCTGGTAACTGGTCCCTGAATCACAATAAACAGTGTCAATTCTGTTATTAACGTGATTAGAAGCTGGATTCTTGTGTTACACATCATTGTTGAAATTTTTGATTTTTAGTACCTCAAATTTGCACCTAAGTACAATACTTGAGTACATGTACTTGTTTACTTTCCACCACAGCCAGTAAGTGCGTCTTGGCTGCTGTGTGTGAACCGGATGGCTGAAAAAGATGCAGCTGGGCTCGGATGCCCCAGAGGGGTGTGTTTTGGAGCGGGGAATCGAGGCGGAGGGGCCTGGTGGTCCGGATAGAGAACGAGCAGGTGGGATGCCGAGGAGAGAGCCAACACTGGGTTCCAGGTAGTGACCCCTAAAACGCAGCCGCGGCTCCTCAACCAAACTCAAAAGCGTCCACCAGCTGGGGCACGGCAACTAAACCTACAGACAGCGGCCAGCTGGGGAGAGCGAATTAGCCACTGAGTGATGCAGCAGTGTCAGTGCGCTCTGGTCTCTGTGCCAGCATACAAATGAGAACAGCTGTAGAGCAGGCTAAGATGCCAGCTTCAAGTGATCCTCAGTAATCAGCAGACTGTTTGATATCAATCTGCTGTTTGCTCTTTCCTACACTCTTCAATATTTCTTCTTAATTCAAAATCTACCACAAAAGGTTTCATCAGTGTGAAGAATTTGGGAGGGTGTAGCTGGGACCGGAGGTGGGGGTGGAGGAGGGGAAGCGAGGGGTTGGAGACAGGGCGGCCCAGTCTGTCTGAGGGGCCCCCATTGTGACAAAGCAGCTTTCTGTCTGGAGAAAAGGCGGCATTTTGTCATAATATTGATTGCTTTAGTGTCCTAATTGGGGCTGGACTGCAGGGTTGAATGGCTGATTGGAGGCGGGGGTGGGATCCCCGAGCATATTCCCTTCAGCTTCGTTGAGCAGCAGCTCG